CCACGTAGAATGATGCGACAGGTCGACTAAGAGTATACTTCCCTAACGACTTCACGAGTGGGCTCCTGACTGTTCGTCATGTCATCCAAGATGCGGAGAGGGGGGGGGGGGGGGCCTCAAAGATGTGAACCGAAGACACGAGACCCCTGTCGGTCCACGTGTTCTGCTATGTGTGAGAATTTGATTGTTCACGCACCTCTTTTTCCAACTCCGATGACAAGGATTGCGCAACCTTTGACACCGTACCTTGTTTTGTCTCTCCTGTCTCAGGAACCACAGACAAGAGACAGAGAGTCACCGGGTCAAAGGTCACCAGGGGGGGTGTATGCTAGAAAGAGAGAGAGAGAGAGAGAGAGAGACACGGGAAACCGACAAGAACAGAGGGTTAGGACAAAAACGTGAAAGATAGAAAAAAAAAGAGGTAAGTCATGGTACAGAGACACGGACATTGGAATGTTTCGTCGTCACTTATTTCACCGTCATTTTTTTGTTTGCCACTCTACGCGGTCACCGCCGCGTCTTGGCCATGACCATCATCGTCATCATCATCAATCATCGGTCACGAGTCTCCCCTTGGGTTTCAAGAAGACTTGGTCACAGCCCGAATATCTTGATCATCTCTCCGTCTTATCAAAGTAATTATAGTCAGAGTCCATCTTCTGTACCTTTTCGGACTTTTTTTTTTTTTTTCATTCTTTTATCTTGTTCTTTTTTTCTCTCCAAAACCATCATGTCTCGAAAGCAGAGGGGACAGGCAGGCAGTCCATCCTACAGAGCAAAGCTCAGCCTTTAGCCGGCTAAGAGTTGGTTTTATTTTTTTTAAAGAAATAAAAAAAATAAAAATCTCTCTCTCGAATCTATGAACATCACTCAAAGCGGCGATTACCCCTCTTCTTCCCACGATCACCAGACCATGCAAGTTGAGTTTGAGAATGACTTTGTTTTACGATATCCGGAGAGTCCCACCCCCATCTTGGCCATCCGCGCCCGCTCCGCTCGCCCCGGGGGAGGGTCTAGAACCCGATCCGACCTTTTCCTTTTTCTCTTTCGCTTACGGACTGTGTTCCCTCGTGGCTGGGGAGTATGCGCAGGACGCATTCCCTCCTCATCTCTTTCTTATCCGTTGTAGTATTGAACAATTGGCTGTGTTGCCGAAGGTTGGATCTAGAGGTCAAGGCTACGGACAAGATTGGGACACGAGGCTGAAGCCGTTCCGCGGGAGCGAATGAGGCAATTTCTCTTAAAACTGTCTTCGCCACCCTTTCGATCATCGCTGACAGCGTAGACAATCGGAACTCGTGGAGAGAGGATGACAAGCAAACATACCGAGGGGAAACCTTGGTTCATTAGCCCGGGTCGCTAGGTCTTATGGCCTGCCATGAGAGTTTCAACCAGAGGATTTGCACCCCCTTCCCTCCCTTCCCTCTGCCAACTTTCTCCAGATACCGTCGGAAGAAGGAGACGGGATTTTGCCTTTCGTACTAGCTATTTAGCTGTAGGTTGTAGAAAGCCTTCAGGTGGCAGGTATTCTTGNCCCCCCCCCCCCCCCTTTCTCTCTCTCTTTACCCCAGATACCGTCGGAAGAAGGAGACGGGATTTTGCCTTTCGTACTAGCTATTTAGCTGTAGGTTGTAGAAAGCCTTCAGGTGGCAGGTATTCTTGCTAGATTCTAGTATTACTACTGTGCTGCTCTAGTACAATACTAATCTACATGGTAGTAAATACTACTAGAAGACTTCAACACTCCGAGGGGTTGGGGTCTTGGACGTTGCTGCCCAGCACGACATGGAAATTGAGATGAACCTCATCGGTCGGGCAACTGAAGATTAATTGAACTAGTCACATTGAATACTACGACCCTAGCCAGGGAAAGCATCTCAGTCCCAGGCAAGGATCGTGAGACCGTCTGCCTCCCAGCCAAGGCAAAGAAAGACATCGAAACCTATGCTGTAGAATTTCGATACTGTCATAGTGGTAATGACTTCTCTCAGTCATCCGTGTTACATCGCCCTAATTGATAATGAACTGTGTCTCATCCATATATCACACATGACAATGGTCAACCACCCTGGTTACTATCATTTGAAGATTAACCGTGAATCCCTTCGAATGCCAAGCCTTTGTACCGTGAATCCCGCCAATACATATATGCCCGCATATACATATACATATACTGAAAGAAAAAAAAAAAAGAAAACAGTTATAAGAGAACAGAAACATTGTATATACCCAAAAGACAAACCGTGAAAACGTAAAACCGCCCCCTACCCCTCACAAGTTAAGGAAGCAGAATAGAGAGAATGGGCCGACACCCTACCACAATCGTCTCTGATAATATACTCGCTCATTCGACCGCGACAGCCTTTGAATCTCATCCCTGATCAGCTGCCTCCTCTCAGCCCTGCTGACGGGGACCTTGGTGTTGGCCATCGGATCAGGATGATCTACAGCCCACGACTTCTGACTAGCCTTAGCCTTGAGGGCGTCCAGCATGGCCAATTTTCCAGCCGTCACCTGTCTCTGCGGCTGCTGCTGACGTTGTTGTTGCCGATCCGCCTCCGAAGCCGACGGCTGCTGCTGCTCTTGTTGTAGTAGTCGCGGCTGCACATCGTCCGACGTCGTCTCCGTGACCTGAATCACCTGCTGCTGCTGCTGCTGCTGCTCCATGTACTCCCGTCGCTCTCTCTCCACCTCGCTCTCGAACGTGACGACCGTCCCGTCTTCGAGTACCTTTGTCGTCTGGAATTGCTCCGGCAAGTATATCTGTGGTTTCGGCCGGGGCTGACGCGGTCGGATCGACGCTCGGAGGTTGCGCAGGGTGCGCTGCTGGATTATGTAACCGCTCAGGAATAGCGCTAGGGTGCACGAGACGACTGTTCCGACGGTCAGTATGACAGAGGCGGCCGGGAAGGAAAATAGGGAGCGCCATATTCTCAAGATAACGTACTGACAAACGTGGTGATGAGGAACGACACCTGCGACGAGGTGAGGAGGATACGGCGCATGATGGACAATGTTTGCTCTGGTTACTTCAACTACCGGTTTCAAGAGACGAGTGAAGATCGATAGGAAACAGGTGTAAGAAAGCGAATAAGTAAAATAGTCTATTTCGGAACAGGAATGAAGTGCTTTGTGTGTATCCTACTTCGTTTGAAGACGTTACACAATGGAGGATGTTGATGACGATAGGAAAGTCGTGTATTACTCGTATCTGTGCTTGGGGAAGGGGGGGGGGCGTTGGCAGGGTAACGGACATATCTGGGACGTCACCTTTTTTTTCCCCGAGTTCCTCTCTTTACTCGTATGGCCGGCTGGACATCCACACCTGGACATCGCAATTCACACATTTTCACGACGACGAAGTGGGAATTCTTGAAAACGGAGACACCAATTAAAAACAACGAGGGGAGAAAAAAAATGTCTAAATCGGACGTCATCCAAGCCGATGCTCGACGCTTCCTGGACGAGCGTGGGTCGGGCGGTCCCCTGGCCCCCAACGGCCTGAACCCGGCGACTATAATGGAAAAGGCCGTCAAGGAGCGCATAGTAGACTCCTACTTCTACAAGGAGCAGTGCTTCGCGGTCAACGAGGCCGACATAGTGGACAGGGTGGTGGAGCACGTGCGCTTCATCGGCGGCACGCACGGCGCCTCGCAGAAGCCCAGCCCGTTCCTGTGCCTAGCCTTCAAGCTGCTCGAGCTGGCGCCCAGCGACGCCATCCTGACCGCCTACCTCAGCCACGGGGGCGAGCACTTCAAGTACCTGCGTGCCCTGGCCTGCTTCTACATTCGGCTGACCAGGCAGGCGCGCGACGTCTACCTCACTCTCGAGCCCTTCCTCGAGGACCGTAGGAAGCTGCGCAAGCGGAACCGGAACGGCACCTCGCTCACCTACATGGACGAGTTCGTCGACGAGCTTCTCACGAAGGACCGCGTGTGCGCCACCAGCCTCTGGAAGATGCCCAAGAGGGAGATACTCGAGGACCTCGAGGTGCTGGAGCCGCGGGTCAGCCCGCTCGGTGACCTAGAGGATCTGCTCCAGGAGGAGGAGGAGGAGGAGGAGGAGGAGGAGGAGGGGGAAAATCACCATGATGAGCCCCATGGAGAAGAAGGAGAGGGAGAAGAAGAGTCGAGACATGGTGATAAAATCAAATCCGAGTACAATGACGACAACGACGAAGACGACGACCACCACCACTACCACCACCGACGCACGCCACCCGAGCCATGAATAATATGATACGATTACGACACTATAATCACAACCGCAAAGAGCCTCCCTTGGGAGGATGCGACGCACCTCGACTACGCTACAAGTTCCATGTCGGCGGAAATTCAAATGTCCCAGTAACGAGTCCACCCCAGGGGCATGGACCTGCGTCAACGTTGAGGGGGGTGGATATCAATACGGTTCAGATACCCCCTCACTCTCTTAGAAGGGGGGAACCATGTCGATGTGACAGACGGCGCTTTCCATAATCCACTTCTAGTCCACGGAAGAAACAACCCATTTTCAGGACACATGGTATATTGCAAGCCTACTGTACATGTATATATACAAGACAATACTAGAAGAAAACAACACTACGGAGTCACCATCTTCTCCAACTCCTCTGCCATAGCCAGCAGCCTCGCATCATCCCAGTACTGCGCGATAAGCTGCATCCCGGTCGGAAGCGCACCCCCAGTCTTGACGGGCACACTAATGGCGGGCAGACCGGCCAGACTAGCAGGCACGGTCAGGACATCATTCGTGTACGCGTCGACGACACTGCCGCCGCCGTCGCACTCGGACTGGTCCTGGAGCCGTGGGGGGAGGGTGGGCGCTGTGGGGCACAGCAGGAAGTCCACCTGTTCGGGGCCCTGCTTGTCGCGCAGCAGCGTCGCGTCGTCCATGTCGCTGAGGTCGAACTGCGGCGGCTCGTAGAGCGGGTTGGCCAGGCGGAAGACGCGGTCGAAGTCGCGCTGGACGAGACGACGCACCCGCTGCGCCTGGATGAAGTAGTTGTCCATGGCGTCGGAGCTGAGCGTGTACGTGCCCAGGAGGATGCGGCGCTTGACTTCTTGGCCGAAACCGGCGCCGCGCGTGTCAGAGTAGAGCGTCGTCTCGTCGTCTCCCGTTGTCGACGACTCGGTAGGAGGAGAGGAGGAGGAGTCGCCGTACCGCACACCGTACCGCACACCGTACCGCACACCGTCGTACTTGGCCAGATTGGACGACGCCTCGGCCGGTGCGAGCACGTAGTATGCAGCCAGCGCGTCGCGCGTCGTAGGCAGCGATACCGGCACGACGCTGACGCCCCGGGCGGCCAGGGCCTCGGCGACCGCTGTCCACGCCTCGCGGATCAGGGGGTCGAGCTCCTCGACGTTGTAGTCGAGCGGGATGCCCACCGTCAGCCCGGAGAGGGGGCCCAGCATCGGCTGGCGGACCCCTGCGCAGCGCCGACGTGTCGGGTCGGACAGCGAAGTCGGGTCCTGCGGGTCGTGCTCCCGGTCCAGCCCGCCGTCTACAACGAGCTCCCGGATGGGTCCGACGCTGCGCGCCAGCAGGCCTACCGTGTCCAGTGAGTTGGCGTAGGGCACGACGCCGTGCCGCGACAGCATCCCGTAGCTGGGCTTGTAGCCCACGCACCCCGTGTACGCGGCGGGCAGGCGGATCGATCCGCCCGTGTCGGTTCCCAGCGCCACGTCCGCGTCGCCCACGGCCACGGCCACGGCGCTGCCGCCCGAGCTGCCGCCGGCGGAGAGACTGGTGTCCAGCGGGTTCCGTACCGGCCCGTGCACAGAGTGCGTCGAGTGCGACCCCATGCCGAACTCATCCATGTTGGTCTTGCCCACCACCGTGCCGCCCCGCGCCCGCAGCTGCCGCACGACCGTCGCCTCAAAGGGCGACATGTGGCCCTGCAGTATCCCCGAGGCGCACTGAGTAGGCAGCCCCAACGTCGCGATGTTGTCCTTGACCGCTAGGAGGAATCCTCCTGCTCCTTTCCATGCTCCATCATCCGTCGCGCTGATGGTGGTCGACCGCGGGACGAAGTGGTTGGTCGCCGTGCTCTGCAGGCGTTGTTGCTGCTGGTACGAAGCCGTCGCACATCGGATGAGGGAAGATTGCGATAATCGCAGTGGTGCCGTCGGTATGCGGCGCACGCGTGCCGCCATCATCTTCGGTAGAGGTTCATGGGCTCAATGTCATGTTTGCAGGAGAAGAGCTGATTGTTGCTGATGGGCCGCCTTTTTCGGAGCATGGGTCACGACAAGTGGCCCCACCATTGGCTTGTCTTGTTCTGTCTCAACCACCAAGCCTCAATCTTCTTTTTTTGTCAACATTCTATTGACGGGATGCATTGACTTCTCATGCTCTCCTTTTATGCTCTTTGTTACCATTTCGGTTCACGAATTGTCGCGTCCGAACATATGCGCTCTCATGACTACAAACAATGGTCAGGTGGTTGAAAAAATAACGGCATTGTATCCTGTCTAATCTAGTCGGTGCAACCGCCGAGAAAGCAGATGTAATTTATCCGCGTTTCTTGTTTACTGTTCTTTCTTTTGTCCTTTTTCCTTCTTCTTCCTGCCACTAATCATACTTCCTATCCTGGTTAACGCATACCCCCTCTTAAATCTCACCGTCCTTGTATAGACCTTCCTCGAGACCCTTGATCTGTAGGGCCAGGAGCTTGGAGAAGAAGCGGCACAGGGCGAGGTTACCACCGTGGAACCAGAAGCCCGGGTGGCCACTCCTCTGCCAAATGGTGCGCGGCTCGCCCTCGCTGTTGAAGCCCCAGACGTCCTTGACGCGGTCGGCAACCTCGTCTCCAAACATGAGACGAGTCTGAGAGCGCATGTTCTGGTACCCGGTGGCGAGGATGATCTCGTCGGCCTCGAGCTCGGTGCCGTCAGCGAAGCGCAGGCCGTTGGGCAGGATCTCTGAGATCTCCTGGCCCTGCTTAATCTTGATCTTGCCGTCGGCGACGAGCTTGCAGGCGCCGACATCGATGTAGTAGCCGCCGCCGCGCTGGAGATACTTGATCATGAGGCCGGCGTCGTCCGGGCCCATGTCGACCTTGAAGCCGGCGCGGGTGATGCCGTCGAGCATGTCCCTGTCCACCTCGGCCATGCGCTTGGCGATGGAGTGCTCCCTGGTTTTGAGGAGGGGTGTGGGCGTGCCGTGGGCCATGAGGTCGCAGTCGTCGGCTGAAGGGCCATTCTCGTTGTACGACTCGCCCATCGACACCTCGACGATGGCCTTGGACGAGGCCACGCAGGTAGTCGACCTCTGCACCATGGTCACGTCGTACCCCTTCTCCAGGTAATCTTGGGCGATGTCGTGGGCCGAGTTGCACGACCCGACGACGACGGCCCTCTGGCCCTTGGTGTTGGCCCTGGCGCCCGGGAACTCAGATGAGTGGCACAAGAGGTGGCCCTTGAAGCCGTCGGCGCCCTTGATGTCCGGCTGATTCTTCTTGCCCGAGTGGCCCGTGGCCTGGATCACGTGGCGCGGGTGGAAGGTGCGCACGTCGCTGCTGCCGTCGGCCAGCACGCGGTTGACCACCACGGTCCAGTTGCCCTTGGTCTCGTTGTACTGTGTGTGCACCACCTGCGTGCGCGTCCACACGTTGAGTTCTAGCAGCGTGGCGTAGGCCTCGAAGAAGTCGCCCAGCTTGTCCTTGGGCGTGAAGATGGGCCAGCTCGACGGGAAGGGGAGGTAAGGCAGGTGGTCGTACCAGATCGGGTCGTGGAGCACCAGCTGGTGGTAGCGCTTGCGCCAGTTGTCGCCTACGCGCTCGTTCTTATCCACCAAGAGGGTATTGACGCTGAGCATCTTGAGGCGAGCGGCGGCCGTGAGACCAGCCTGACCGGCACCTAGATTCCAAACGAGGTTAAGGTCGGTGCTATTCACAAGGGCTCTCTGTTTTTTGTTTTTTTGAGAAAGATTTAGTGAAAGAGAGAGGGAGAGAGGACAATGGGGAACTATTGATACTATTACTTACCAATGATGAGCACTGCAGGCTCATTGTCGGACGTAAATTCCTTCTCGGCGTGCCTCCTCTCGGCCCAGTTCTTGCGGCCAGGGCGACCGCCGTGCTGGACACCGACTGGACGACGGGCGTTTATGCTCTCCTCGTGGCCTTTGAGCTCCTCGAGACGGGTGTACAGTGTAAAGATATTCCACTTGCCGTCCTGCTGGACGAGGTTGACGAGACCGCGTCCGGAGCCGATGACGGTCTCGACGGAGAGAAAGAAGCGCACACCCTTGACGTCGCCGCGGTCGTCTATTGAGGCCACGGCGGGGGCACCGACGTCGGAGGAGCCGTCGACGGCGATCCTCTTGAGTCGCAGACCATCCCTGGACTTGGAGGCGGCCTGCAGAAACTCCTTGATGGTGGGAGGTGTGGACAGGGTGCGAAAGGCCCACGTGACGGCAAGGTGATCGCGCCAGTAGGCGTTGTCGGCGAACAGGCTGGAGAGGGCATCTGCGTCGTTCTTCTCTAGGGCGGCGTTGAAGGCGCTCACCAGGTCGGAGGCTACCTGTGTGGCATCGGTGTCTGCAGCAGGGCTCTTCGCGACAGGGTACTTGGCCATGGGTATGTTGACGGACCCGGGGACCGGCCGTTGGTGTGAGGGGATTTGGGTAACCATTGTGGATGTTTACGTATATATATATATGTGTGTGTGTGTGTGTGTGTGTGTGTGTGTGTGTGTCTGGCTGCTCGAAGAGGATGGCGATAAGGAACAAGGAGAGGATATGAAGGCCAGAAGAGGTGTATATGTACGATGGAAGCACAAGGATCAGAGAGGAAGAGGAAAAGGGAGACGGAGATTAAATATTGCTCTGTGTCTCGTCTACATGATTTCGGGTCCGATTTTCACGAGCCCCACGGTGATAAGACGAGCAGGCTGAGTGACGTGTTTACAAGAGGGCGGTGCCGCGTCCGGGCCCAAGGGGAAGCCGACATGGATATGCACATTGTACACAATCAGCGGCGTATTCTCCTCACGATAAGCTGTGTGTTGGTCTAGAGAGGACCGGCTCTTCAACCCCGCACAAGTCCAGACCAGACACTGTGCGGGGGTAGGAGCAGGCAGAAGCAAACGGTGTATGTACGAGTATGCATTGTGTGGAAAGAGGAGAGGAGAGCAGGGTCATCTGGCACGGGGTCAAAAGTCAAGCGGATACGCTCGGGATTTGCATTGGGGAGAAGGAGGAGGATGTATTGTTTTTGTGGGCCGGCGGCTCCGATTACCATGACGATTTATACGGGGGGTGCTGAGTAGGTTGCGTTCTTAGTGTAAGATATACAGGTAGTAATCGTATTGTATAATATGGAATATTATGGATGACCCATGGGGGGTTGTTAGTACTAACAATGTAGAGGGGAGGTACATGTATCTTGGACGGAACTGGAGTTCGGACCTGGAGATGGCGGGGCCGACTGGCGGAACCGATTGTAGGGGGTTTTCATCAGAGAGTCGGAGGGTCAGACAATCCCTTGACGTGTGCACCTGTTTCTGCAATGGCTGTCTCATTATTAATAGCTGTGGTCATCCTTGTTGAGTTTGGTCTATCTCTCTTGAAGGAATTCTCCTTTGAACCGAGTTGCCAATACAGATGTGTTGAGTGGCATTTCTAACCTTCTACTCTTATAGAGGCACATACATATAGGGGGGAAGAGAGAGTTCTCCTGCTGCTACCTGCTATCACTGCTAGTAAGTATTATTGCCGGTATCAGTATCTATATTACTACTTGAAAGTCTGGATACATTATTACCAGACTTTTGGTACAATATACACCAGCAACTGTACACAGACAAGCACAGGTATGGTCTGGACAGCTATGGGAAACGACACGACCTGGAACCGTTGGAAAAAAAGATGGCACCCAAGGATTTATTATTGATACTTCCCAACTATGAATCCCCACGGGGAACGGCATGATGAAAAATGATCCATAATCCCAGCCCCGGATTTGGGTATGAATACAGTGGGGAATGTACCACCAATGCCAACGCTAGTATTACTCAGCAAGGTTCTTTTTTCTTCTTTTTTTTTCCCCAAAGGCTTTAGAAACCTTACTTAGCTTTCAAAATGCTTCTACATGATAGTATAGAAAGATGGTAAGAAGTAAAATATAGAGAATTTAGTCGAATGGATAGAGATGAGCCTCAATATTCATATGTATAATATGTATTATTGTGCATGTGCATGTAATGGGCGATATATTAACGGTATTAGCGCTCGTATACTCGTAAGTACTATTATTCACTGCCAAGCTTAGAAGTAATCACAATAGGATAGATACGTGTATTAAAACTAATAAGTTTACTCAAGGCAAGAGCCCAGATGTCGTCTAGACTTCCCGGCATATCCTAAACATGACCCATCGCTCCTCCCCTCCCGAGTCTCCTCTTCCCCGCCATCCCGCACTTGTGACTAGAGTTAGCGTCTTCTCTAGCGTCGTTCAACTACTAAAAGAGATAAGATGGGGAAAGGCTTGCGCCACCTCGCTCTATTGCTTGTACTCGTACTATCTACCCGCACCCTTGTCACTCTTGAAGTCTTGACCATAGAGGAGCGGAGATTTCAGTACGTACTGCTGCCGGCCCCCTCGTCCCTACCTGTCCCTTTCTTCCCTGCTCTGGAGAGGGAAGGGGGGGGGGATAGGATGGCAGGGAAGTAAAGAAGCAGCCGGGAAGGGGAAGCACAACTGGACATCTACCTCTCCTCCCGTTACCTCACCACCATCACCATCCTTACCAATCTTTAACATAAGAGTTACTAAAATAGCCTGTACGTCGCATCCAACAGGAGGTCGCCGTCACCGCTCTGTTGCTTTCCTCTTCTCTTCCTCTTCCTCTGTCTCCTCGTTTCGCCGATACACGAGCACGCATACATAGTGCGTACACCATGGAGAAACGTCGCCAGAATCATTCTTGCAACCAGTGCAGGAAATCAAAAAAGGCTTGCGACGGATATCTTGTCAACAGCCGTCAGTCTGATCATCCATCTCTTAGCTGTGAGTTCCCATCTTCTTACTTTCCCGTCTTTACTATCTCTTCTGTTTGCTACAAGGCTCCTCTCCACGTCAATTTTTTTCCATCACATGCACCATATCTTCAACAACTCCCGACTGACACCAAAATCCCGACATTCAGGTCCTTCTACCCTTCTTCCATGCTCCTACTGTCTGAGAACCAAGAAGGGTTGCAGCTTGAATCCTTACTGGGCCCAGGCCCAGAAGCGAAAGTCTTCGGATGTGCAGCAGCAGGATCCATCTGTAAGAAATGACAGACCCGACGATGCATTCTCTCTCTCCGCCATGGACAACACGGGCATCTTTCACTTGTTCAACTCGCCGCCGCCTACGCAGCATGATTCACTACTTTGGCCTACGCCTTTTGCCTTGCCCGATGGCCCTTGCTCCTCCGAGTCCAACGGACCTTCCACAGAGGCCGAGACGCCGGCCTATCCAGTCGACGCCAGCTTGAGCCACCTCGACTTCATGCCATTTACCGCCGGGAACGGAGATATTGATCCTACGGCATACAGCACCCTCGGGCCCTTTACTGATGCCGACGACTCTGCAGCCGCCTTAGCCGACTACAACTCCGAACTGTCACCTTTTAACGCTCGGAGCAGCACCACGGTCAATATAGGACAGACACCCCGAGTGCCGCCATCGATGGACCAGCAGAAAACTCCGCTCTCGCCGGCTCTCTCTGTGCACAACAGCAGTCGCGTCACAAAGAAACACCGCGGAAGCTGCGGTAGCGGTAGTAGCGCCGCCTCCAAGGATCGCATCCGACATGTCCAGCATCACATATCGCTGTCGCCCTTTAGCATCGACCACGCAGCCATGACGACTGCCAATCGTAGCCTCATCTCCGACAGCCTGTTCCGCGTATACCAAGACGTCATGGAGAATAATCTGGCCTGCTGGCTGGCCGAAGAAAACTGCCCCTACCAGATGATCCCCAAGAGACGGAGCAGCCACGAAGCCAACCGCCACGACCTTACTCGACAGGATGTTGGCATCCATGCAGACCTGGGCTTCTCGTGGCCCAACCGCATGTACAACCGCGTCAAGAAGCTCGACCGCGTCGCTCAAGCTTCCAGGCTCGTGCGCCTCTCGCCCTTGGAGAATAAGAAGGTATCGAAGGCGCTCGATCTGACAATCATCTCGTTTGCCGCCCAGTGGGCCCAGGGAAGACATCGGAAGCAAGGGGCCTGGTCTACCGACGATGGCGATGACGACAGCATCCATGATGGATCTGACCAGGGTGGGTTCGAAGAAACGCTCCGACAGACGCTGTGGGAGCAGGCGAGAGCAGCGGTGCAGGACGTGTCGGACCTTGAGAGCTACCGCGTCGTCTTTGCCGAGCTGATATTCGGCATGAGCCAGAAGCCTTGGGCGGAGAAGGATGGGTGGGCATTCGATGATTGCATCGACAACGACAACGACGTCTGCCATGTGCGCTCCTCGATCCTGCCGCGGGTCATGGACATCATCTCGCAGAACGGCCCGCCGGTCTTCATGGAACGAGCGGCACGCAAAATTCATGCCCTCAAGTACTGCTTCGAGGCGTACGAGTCCGGCTTCCCCGAGGCAGTGCGGACCCGAAAGGGCGATACAGCCAATTCCATGGCACGCATAGGGCCACAGGAGAGACAGACGATTGGCTTGCTGTATTGGTTCGCCATCATGACGGATACAGTGTCGTCTGCGATGAACGACAGGCCCGTTGTCGTTCCCGACCAAGACTGCCCGCACGACGGGGCCGTCGAGGCGTCAAAAGGCAGCAAAAGGCCGACAGACAGCGCCCCCTGCAACGCAGGTAACCCCACAGGGAGATGGGAGCTAGATCTCTACGCACAAGAAGACCCGGGGAAGCCGTCATCTCTGCAATGGCCGTGCGCCCACGAGGCGGCAAGCAGGGCCGTAGCCCGCTCGGCGGCCGTCAAGGTGCTCTTCTTCCGACACATATGGTACGTGCAGAATGCCCTACGGAACAAGGATAGGCCCGACGCCATAGAGGAGACGCTGCGCCTTGCCACGGCCGTCCATGCCTACTGGAGCAAGACGTACGGCGCCCTGTTCCGCCAACTCACAGACAACTACGACGTCACTGCACCGCGCGTGAAGAGCTGGTTCACATGCATCGCCATCCCTTGGCACCTGGGCTGCCTGATGCTCGCTGACCTGATCGACTTTGTCGACGACAACAAGCTGGGCCGCGAGGACGACAGGACACGCCGCAGGGATACGCAGATGACCGGCAGTATGAGGAAGTCCAGCGCCATCGACCTGGCTGACCTGGCTGCCGTGGCCATGCCCTCTTCCTTTTCGTCTTCTTCAGCTCACCACCTACCAGATTTCCACTTTGCCGTGAATGAGAGTCCGCTCCTCACGGAACCGTGGAACATACTCCTCATACGGGCGTTTGTTAAGGCGTCTGTGTACCACCTCACGCAGGCCGAAGAGATTCAGAAGAAGGAACAAAGAGGTGAGAGTGGCGGGAGAGAGGTTCAGGACAGTGTCCGGTGGGGGGAGAGCTGCATCAGGGCGCTGCAGCTACTGGGAACGAGGTCGGCCATGGCGAAAGCTGTGTCGGATGTCTTGTATAAGCCGCTTGACGGGTATGATCCCGCGGCACTGTTTACGCCTGGTGAGGTGTCTGCTTTCTGATCCCTTTACTCTTGGATTATTTTCTAGTTTTGCTGTTTCTTAACGAGTATATTTTCTTGGGCTTTTTTTTTCTTTTTCGTAGATATGTTTTCGTATTAGTGAACAAGCTAGGAGTTAGATTAGAAAAGATTTATATATAAGTTCGAAGTAGGAGTCGAATGAATGTATCTCGACTCTATAGATAAAGATGTATGAGCGCAATGAGAAGGGCTCAAAAAATTCCCATTGAACAACGAAGATAAGTTTGCTATTTGTATGCAAATCGAAGACGACCATATTCACATGCCAAATTTGAGCGCTAAGCGGGCGGTGAAGGCGCGACCCAGGGTAAATTAGTTGGTTAATTGCCCATGACCAGCTTTCAATTTCTTTTTTCTTCGAACCCAACACAACAATCACCACTCTATACCGTCAGGCACTAGGAGAACATCCCTCCTTCTGATTTCCGTCACCGAAGATGCAAGCGCCGTAGGGCAGCAGTAGCAAGAAGAAAAAATGTCGTACAAGCGCGAGCATCCAGACGTCGAAGACGACGGCGGCGACAGGACAAGCGATGTCGATGCAACGGCCAACAAACGCGCCAGGCAGGACGGGCAACAGCCGCAGCATAAACGTCGCAAGACACGACCACAACAGGGATCTGGATCGTCAGCCATGATATCAGGGGCAGATCCGACCTGGGGACAGAAATATGTCTTTTCGAGCCGCAGCGATGCTACGACTATACCCCCCGGGGAGGAGGATGACTTCGAGGACGACACCGATGCCATGTCTTATCTGATGGCTGTGAGGTACATCATGTGCCTGCTTGGTGTTTTGGGACAGAGAGATAGAAGAGAGAAACTGACAGAGACACACAGACAGGAAGCACATGGTATCCCGCATCTGCTGGTCGCACCGAAACCCCAGATCGGTCCACAACTACCAGCCGAGTACCAACGAGACGACGACGAGCAAGGAGAAGCAGCAGCAGCAGCAACAGAAGCAGAACAAGACGGAGACGATAACGGAGAGATATATACTAGCCAACAGGGTGGATGGTATGAAGACGGCGCATATATTGCCGACCCGGATGATGACGACGACGACGACGACCAAGAAGAGCAGGGTGACAGCGGGCGACCGGCGTCGGAACGCGCCGTGCAAACCGCCTATTTCGACTCTATACTGCGGCAATACCTCTCCCTACGGACCGTCCTGCACAGCGCAGCAGCACGGGTACGGACAAGGGCATCGCTCCCCCCGCTCCCGCGTGGCACGCCCACCGACGCGCCTCCGTTCGGGCGTAACTCGCCTACAACGGCGACGTGGTGCCGTGCCGTGCGGAACTCGGACCCCCACCCGGCGCAGCTGGCACGTATGACCAAGGATTCTGTCCTGCGCGTCCTGCGCGTCATCCTGGGCGGCAAGTTCCTCCGGCAGGGCTACGGCGTGGAAGAGCGCACGAGCCGCTGGCTGTGGGCCCTGCTCGCCCGCCTCCCCGACAGAGGCAGCCTCAACCACGCCGAGGTAGGCTGGGTGCGCGATCTCGGCCGAAGAGCTGTCTTGCTGGGCAGGAGTCTGGCCGAGATGGCTACCTTGAGGGATGAGCTGGATGAGGGTGCGCTGGGTCTTGACGAGGCCGTGAATGGGAGCAGTGGCGTGGTGGCAGACGTAGAAGCCGAGAGGGAAAAATATACTCAAATGGACCACAGAGACAAAGAAAAAGAAGAAGAAGAAGAAGAGGAAGAAGAAGAGCCGGAGACTCAACTGGATGGGAAGGAAGAAGATCAGGAAGAAGGCGAGATTGACGACGACGACGACGACGACGACATTGCCATGGAAATTGCCTCCAACTCTTCCGTTGACAAAGATGATGTCCCGCATAAGGAGGACGATTTGGAAGACGCGAGGGCCAGACTACTTGCGCAACTCGATCAAGTCAATCACGACGATCGTGACCGGCAGGAAGAAGCCGCCAGGGATCGCGCACGCATCAACATGCGTGCTACGCTCAACATGATTCTCACTGTCGCCGGTGAGTTCTACGGCCAGCGGGATCTTCTCGAGTTCCGCGAGCCGTTTGTCGGCATGTAACCTTTGGGGCATAAACCGGATGTGAAACAACACACAAGGCATGTCATGTATATATATCTTATTCATTGTGGTGTTTTCTTGCGTCATGTATGGCATTGCTTAGTGCTAACTTAGGGCTAGCAGTCGTTGGAGACTAATAATATAAAAAAGGACAACTAAAAAAGATCCATGGTATCTCAATCCAGTGCTATTCTTATGCACAATCCTGCTTGTTTCCTGCCACCTCGATTCCTCGGGTCCATCTAACGCCGTGCGATAAAAAAAAAGAAGAAAAACCTAGCTCAAGTAAGAAGACAAAAATAATGACAGTCGGAATATCGAACATATACAAACAACGTCGGAAACGCAACGCAAACCATCAGTTGGTCGTATCCAGGCCATTGGAGTCAAAGACAAGGAAATCAGCCTCATCAAAGTCACCGTCAACAGCCATGTTCTCTTGGTCGACGGGCATTGTGGCCGTTTCCGTTCCCGGCACCGAGTTCTTCTTGAGGGTACGGGTCCGAGGCACAGCAATGGCACGGGAGCGAGCGTTGCCAAAGCCGACGGGCGTGAGGGTGCGCGGGCTGACGTCGTCAGCAGCCGAGACAGACTGGTGCACAGGCTCGATGGTGTCGTCATCGTCGTCGTAAAAACGCTTGCGCACATTGTTAGGGCTGGCCTCAACAGCGCTGCTCTCGACGCTCTCCTGCGATAGCGTGAGACCGGGTATATCGTCAATCGAGGGCACCCCCTCTGAATCGTCTAGGTGGGTAGTCGTGGGTTGGCAGTCGAGGCCGCCAATCTTGTTGATGCCACAGAAGGGTAGAAGCTCCCTAGAGACAGCAGCCACAGGACGAGATGTAGCAGAGGCGTTGGGGTTGGAGCTGGTGGGCAGCGGCGTGTTATCCGTCCACAGCTTAAAGGCGCTGGTCGAATTGGTCTTGTAGCCCTCGGGAACAGATTTGCGTATACGCATGCCTACACTCAGAAGATTGGCCTCGATGCTGGCGGGCAACTGGGGAGGCTGAACGGATTCAGCGGTGGTACCAGTGCCACCCTCGTTGCTGTGGGTGTTGAAGAAAGATGTAATCTGACGCTGGGAGGGGTCCGAAGAGGCGTCGACAAAGGCACGCTTGACACGGGGGTTCGACATGTCGGCAGGTTTTCTTTGTTATAGACGTATGTGTATGACTATGAAGACACTTGAGGCTGTCGTGCGTGTTGACGAGGCTTATATAGAGGCCGTCTGAAGACGTCGAAGATGGTTCCGGCGATTGAATGACTCGTGGGTTAGGTTGAGTGATAAAAGAAGTACAATGAGCGTGGAAATTGTAGTAGGAATAACACAAAGTATCTCAAGAGGGGAGAGTTGTGTTAGCGATGCTAACGAAGGCTGATGATATATGATTGAAACCTGTTACATCAGATAAACCTACGATAGAGGAGAGGACGAGGGGAAGGGAAAGTGAAAGGTGGCTGGGGGAAGGGGAAAGGAAAGATGAAGGTAAATTGGTAGCAGGGAAATAGAGAGAATAAAAGTGGGACGCGTGACGCCAAAAAAAAAAAACCCCCCGCGTTCTCGTCGCGCTCTCGCGTAAAGAGCTGATTGGGAAGGTACGACGAGTGTCGGAAGCCTTAGTCATCCAAACCATGTGGACCAATTGACAGCTTGTGAAAAGCCAGCATGACGAATTCATAATTGTGTGTGGGCTTGTGCAATATTTCAGGGCCCAGCGATACAGCGGGCCTGTTGTATTAGAGAACGATGGGATAACTGATAAGACACGAGCCATAGTATGGCTGTTATCGTAGTTTAATTGACGTATCGTTGTATGAAATTTGTTACACTACTGCGATTGTTCAAACTAAAACGGCGATGTCCATACCGTCATACGAATACGGAATATAGTAACGAGACGGCTTGCGGTCACACACATGCATACACAACAAAACTGCTTACTGGAGCACGACACCTCAATGAACGAGTCCCATAGTAGTAGCAGTAGTACAGCAACTCTAAAGACGAACACGTCGAGGTGAACACGGGAGTCACTCCATAGTAATGACCCAAAACAATGTGGTAAACCCATTTTGATTTCGCAAAAAGCACAGTGTCTGTCCACCCAGATAGATCTATAGCCACTGGACCTGGGTATGAAAGCGATCATCAAGTAGCGGTTTCCACTTCATCGCATTAGGTCATCCTTTGACCGAAACACTCATGAAAATGCCTTCTCTAGCTATCCACCCCTAAATGCAGTTGCTTTTAAATCTCTTGTGTCCCTCTTTCTGCCTCCGAGATCCGACTTCTGAAGAAAAAAACGGGAAGTGCGACGGGAAAAACTGAGGAAGGTTCTGTGTGTGTATGTGTCCCATGCAAGATATCCGGAGACCCCCAAACGCCCTTTTGTGTGTATTGGGTATTCCATCTTCTACCTGCAAAAAAAGATAGATGTGAAAGAAATATTTCGCAAGGGACGGAAAAGACAAATGAGTCGTAAACCGTCGCCACGTCCCGTCCTCACGTATGTTTTTTGTGTGTTTTGCGTGTTTGCAGGTTCGAGATGGCCACCGTGAGAGAATTGTTATTTTTTTTATTGTTCAACCATAAGACTCGTGAGTACCCAGAGAAAAAGAAACCGCCACGCGAAAGGTGTTGCAGCAGTCTACTTCCTGCGGAAGGAGCAGCCCTCGGTCAGACGGGCCTTACCACCGGTGGGCTGGCAGAGAACTGTGGTGCATCCCTGGCAAATGACAACGGTCTGGGCGTGCGAGAAGACGGTGGTGATGGTGAAGCAACCGGGGCACTTCACGTCCATAAAGAAGGAGCGAGGGGCAGGCACAAGGGTCTATACATTGAGAAAAAAAATCAGAAACATGTTTCCTAGAAAGAAGAAAGCGATGGGAATGTAAACATCTTCGTTATTCGTACCTTGAGCTTGTGCTTCTTGGCCTCGGCGGCAGGGGCCGGGTTCAGCAGGTCAACGGCGAGAACCTGCATGGAGATTCATTAGTTAAAACATTCATTTCCTGGTATATAATATCCATTCTTTTTTATCAAGCCGTCTCCATTTGGAGGCCCTCCAATCTCAACTGCCGATAGTCGCGGTATCCATTTAGAGTAGCGAAGGAGGGAGGGTTGAGTTTCCAAGGCGGTATAGGCGCACAATCCGATTCTCCCATGAGGCGCAAGATCCGGAGTTGACCTATTTTTTTGTTGTTCCTCCTCATTCTTCTCCGGTCCTGGCTCGATAAAAAAAACTCTGGAAGGCGGCACAAATCGCTTACCATGTTGACTGATCGTCTCGGTAGAAATTTGACGTCGAGATCTTGCGAGTGTCGTAGATGCTTGCCTGGTCCTGGCGACGATTTTCTAGGCTCGCGGAAGATGCGTGAGAGTGGGAGTTGAGCAAAGAAAAGTTCGGTGGCCCTGAGGGGGCCCTCATTGACCTCAAGCTCCAAAATTCCCACAAAAGCGGACTAGTGCCATAGGGTTTATCTGCCCGTGAGCACGTGAGGCTCAAGCCCCCATGGTTTTTTGGACAAGCAGTGGGGCCGGTGGATCATTACCCCGATGGTGGGATGTGGCTTTGTCCAGAGTTTATGCGTAACCAGGCAAGGGGGGTCTTGTGCTTGGATTTTGTCCCCTTCCTTGTATTATTATGTTAGCGTACTTTTGCACAGTCAGCAACCTGCCTGGTTTGCAGTGATGCAATCTGTTGGTAGTGGGTGCCTGGAGGTACAGAGGTAGAGAGCTAGGACTGCGTCAACTTTGATGACTCTTTTTCAATACTGCAGCACATACAGTATTCCGACTGGCCATTTTTTCTCTGCTATTACAAATATACAGTCATGGCTACACCGGGAGACCAGCGCATTGCCGTCCCTATAGATGACCCAAACGCAGACACCGAATGGTCAGTATTTTTGCCCCTCCTCTGCCCCTCCATGGCTGTTGGCGGGGTGCTGACAACGAGGCCGTTAGGAACGACATCTTACGCTCGCATGGGGTCATCCCCGAGAAGCCCCCAAGTCCGACTCCCATGATAGAGGAGGCCATTCTCGAAGGACGCAAGCTGGCATACGAGAACAGGCTAGAGGGCAAGGATCTTGACGAGCTCGACGAGCTGGAGGACGACGAGGACGAAGCATTCCTGGAGCAGTACAAGCAGAAGCGCATGGCCGAGCTCAACGAGCTACAGAAAAAGGCCATTCACGGCACTGTGTATCCGATATCGAAGCCCGAGTATCAGCGGGAAGTTACGGACGCATCCAACAAGGGCCCCGTATTTGTCAACCTCACGTCGTCCATGGGGACAAATGTGGAATCGAGAGTGCTCTCGGAGCTGTGGCGCCAAGCTGCACACGAATACGGGGACATCAAATTTTGCGAGGTTAGAGCCGCCCAGGCCATTGAAAACTACCCGGACCGCAACTGCCCGACCATTCTCGTTTACAAGAATGGCGACATTGTCAAGCAAGTCGTCACGCTTGCGACCATGGGTGGTACGCGCACAAATATGCAGAAGATTGACGACATGCTGGTTGAGGTGGGAGCGGTCCCCGAGTCCGACATGAGGGTCGTCAAGCGCAGGCGCGCCGCCGAGGACGCCGAGGAGGAGAGGCAATCAGGCGCTAGAAAGACCATCAAGAAGGGCGCCACAGTGACATCACGGAGCGACGACGAGGACAGTGATTGGGATTAAACCGAAAAAAGGAACCATATGGCAAAAGAAGAAAACAACTAAATGCTGTCGCCATGCCAAATATCGATGACATCGCTTTGCTATCCATCCCCACCGAGTAAACCTTGTCGATGAACAATATGAGCCTAGACGCCGTTTCTAGGAATGTCGACGACAACGAAAGTAAATCCATAGCTCCCTTATATCTGGATGGCTGGTTACTCGGCGATGTGGCCTCGTGCCAAGTATCGCGCATACATGAAGTCTGTTAGTGTCAATCACCGTGACAGCGACAGTTCGGTTGTCAGGAGCCGAGCGGTGACCAGAGACAGAAAGCCTCGAAGGTAAAAGCGGCAAAACCCCCATATTTGAGGAAACAAGTTTCGTCCTACGGTCGATGACGATGTCACGTTGTTGAGAAGTATTACGGAGCGCGACTGGCTGATCATGAGTTGAGGTCAAGGGAGAGATCCGCACTAACACATTCCGGCACGCGGCTGATACAAACAGGCGAAAGAACAAGGAAAATATCGTCCACACTAAGTAAGATAGCGTCAACTAGCTCAATAAATACGCGTCAAATCAATCTAAACGATCAATCATGGCGTTTGTCAGATAGGCTGGACGTTCCGTTGTTCGTGGTCTCGAACCCAACTTTTGACAGGAAATCCGCCCAAGAACTCGCGGTGCGGATATTTATTACCCTTTTGGGTAATTCAGGTCAATGTGAGTCGTCTAAATGATGGCCTCGATCTTCTGGGGAACCCACAGGTCTCGGTATCCAAGACAGAGCCATGTGATCTACGCTTCCCTGCCGAGTCAAGAACGGCGGTTCAAGGAGGCTATAAGGGACCATTGTAATAGATACGCACAATAACGGAGGCTGGCAACCCAATAGACAAACAGTTATTTGACAATCGACATTCCCATGGCCGATTTGTGTTTCAATATGTCTTTGAAGTCATCCAAGATCACAGGTGCATCTTGCTACTTGCCCTCCTTCGACTTTCAAGTTGCACATAGTCTTTCCGCTCTCCTTTCAGTCTCTCTCGAACAGATCCCCTGGTGGGATATCAAGAGAAGCAATCATGCCTCTCAAGCGCCTGGCATTGCCGATATTTCTCGCCTTCCTCAGGGGAGCCCAGGGAGTGGCACTGCCTGCGACAGATGTCACCACTACTGCGGCTACCAGCGAGGCCACCGATGCTGCTGCCGCGTCGATCCTGGGCGTCGAAGCCCCCAGCTCCGCCATCATGTATGCCGCCGAGGATGTCATTGCCACTACTGTCACTGCCAACGTCAGCGCCAAGAGGGTCCCCACTGGTACCGTCCATGTTCTGCCCAGCCTGTCTAAGGTCATGCCGCATACGGAGGGATACGTTGTCACGACGATTGAGAGCATTCGTTCGGGGCCTCTGGTCACAGCCTCCATCCCGCCGGTCACCTCGCTTATCAAGCCCCTGACTGCGTCGCATGCTGGGCGGGACGAGCCGGAGGATGTCGAAGAACTGGTCAGGAGAGCAGCGACTGATATCTTTGCGTCGCCCATCGCCACCATCGCCCCTGCCGCCAAGTTCAAGAGAAAGACGAACCACCCTGTCGCGCGCAAGGGCATCATCAACTCGGGACCCAAGGACACCAACAAGTTCTACACCAACTTCTTCCTTGGTAACAGCACCTCGCCCACTTACACGTACCCTTACGCCGTTACTTATCTCAACGGCGACGGTGTCGCGGCCAGCTATGGAATTTCCATGACACATACCGAGGCCAGCAACTTCGTGTATGGCGATGTGCAGTACAATAATGCGGCACGGTACTACATCAACCCCGTTGGTGTCGAGCACATGATTCTCTCGGCCACCGAGCTCGGCCGCAGCACAGTTCTCGAGATGGACCGGACATCGCAGTTCCACGCGCGGATCCTGCTCAAGAAGAACTCTGCCGCCGCGCCTACCATCTACTTCCCTATTGTTCAGGGTATGTCGTACCTGACTGGCCGGTTCGAGGGCGGGCACCCCATGATCCAGTCGGGCGTCTACTTCAAGTCGATGACGCAGGTCAAGACGGACCCCAAGAAAGGCGTGCGCAAGTACGTCTTCAAACTCGAGGACGGCACGACGTGGAACGTCTACGGCTACCACACCAGCGGCTCGGCCCTGACCCTGACCCTGATCAACAGCGGACTCGCCCAGAGCACGGACGCATTCACTGGTGTCGTCCAGATCGCCAAGAACCCCGGAACCAACAATGCAGAGATGTACCTTGATGACGGTGCCGGCGTTTGGCCCTGCGGTGCCACCCTTACCGGATCCGTCTCCGGACACACTGGAACCTACTCGATCGAGCATGACCGCTGCGGCCACCCCAACGGCTATATGAATCTGTTTGCCCTGCCCCACCACGTCGCCTCCTTCGACAAGGCCACATCCAGCCTCGTCACGGGTGTCAAGATGCAGACCCCTACCAAGGGGAATGCCACACTGGTTCGTGGCAGGATCTGGACCATGGTCGAGTCAGCCCTTCCCACGGCCATGAGCTTCGGCCCCTGGAGTTCGGGTCCCAAGGAGAGTCTGTCTACTGCTGCTAAGGCAGCTATCGAGCCTATTGCCAAGTCTGAGGCGTCGCAGGACATGATTGCCCTGTCTAACGTGACTTCCATGTACTACGGTGGCAAGGTGCGCCCTATCCGAGAAACTCAACTTTGGTATTGGATTCACGATGGTAACAGCGCTGACTGTCGACAGGTTCTCCTCAAGTTTGCTCAGCTCGTCTACGTCATGCACGACTTGGTTGGTGACACGGCCATGGCTCAGTCGGCCCTGGTCAACCTCAAGGCTGCCTACAAGGTGTTTGCTGACAACACCCAGGCCTATCCCCTTGTTTACGATAGTATGTTTGCAGAGATAATATCCTGCCCCCCCCTCTTTTTCTAATTTGGAGTCGAGACAGTTCTGACTAAAGCTTGCAAATGCAAGGTGCTTGGGGTGGTGCCGTTTCTTCTGCATCGTACGTTGAAGGCGACTCTGGGCTCGATTTTGGCAACACGTATTACAACGACCACCACTTCCACTACGGCTACCACATCCTGGCGGCGGCGTACATCGGCCACCTGGACAGCACGTGGGCTGAGAACAACAAGGACTACGTCAACATGCTCGTGCGAGACATTGCCAACCCGAGCAGCGAGGACACGTACTTCCCGCAGTCCCGTCACTTTGACTGGTACCACGGGCATAGCTGGGCCAAGGGTCTCTTCGAGGCCTCTGATGGCAAGGACCAGGAGTCAAGCTCTGAAGACATCATGGCTTCCTACGCCATCAAGATGTGGGGTACAGTCATCGGGGACTCCAACATGGTGGCCCGTGGCAACCTACAGCTGGCCATCATGCGCCGCAGCATGCAGAGCTACTACCTGTACACGAACAACAACGCCATCGAGCCGTCCAGATTCATCGGGAACAAGGCTGCCGGCATTGTCTTTGAGAACAAGATTGATCACACCACCTACTTCTCCAACAACATCGAGTGCATCCAGGGCATCCACATGATCCCCGTCCTCGCACCCAGCGGTTTCATCCGCTCCAAGACTTTCATCGAGCAGGAATGGAACACCTACTTCGCCAACGGCGCGATCGACAAGATCGAGAGTGCCTGGAAGAGCATCATCTGGGCTAACTATGCTCTCGTTGCCCCTGAGAAGGCCTGGGCCTACTTCAACTCGTCGTCCCTGAACACCGACCACATTGACGGTGGTGCGACTAGGGCGTGGTATATGGCTTATGCAGCTGGTGAGTCTTGCGGCTCTTTGAGAAGTAAACGCAGTCGTTACCGTTTACTAACATGCGATGATATAGGTATTGGGTCAATTTAAGAGGAGAATTTTGTGTCTTCTGATTTTGGTTTGGTAAAGGGAATGGATTAAGGCACAGGTGTGATTATTCGAAGTAATGCAAGTAATATACGAGTAACAGTATAGTTCGCACATATGTTTGGCCAGAGAGGAAGGAGGACAGTTGGCATACACAGAGATATTAGAACAGAGCAATTGAACACTGCCGAGTATTTTACGACATGCAACACACCTTCACGTCCAGACAGGTGGACAAATGATGTCATTATTGTAAGATTCCCATTTTCTTGTAATAAGAGGTGTGTCGTCACCAAGAGACATATAATAATACTCCGTACTCCGAGAACCGGAATCTATTGTGGAGGGGGCGGGAATCCCCCGCCACCGGTTTTATTTCCAGGGACTTACAGATGCTAGTCGCGTGCGTCGCGTAACGCGTTTTCCCTCCTCCACTTTCTTCCTTATTTACCTCTCCGACGCCTTTGCACCGCAGCCAGCAAGGTACGGAAATTGGCTCGGAGGCATCGGACGGACACGGCCTTTTCAGACGGGAAAACAATAGAGGGACTCTCAGGGATAAAAACAGGGAGAAAAAAGAGAGGAAACTTGCAACAATGGCATCAGAAGAGCCCTCACTGCCGCATCTCCCCGCCGTGTCGTGGGACGAACACACACAGAGCTTCTCCAACAACCCCAAGAAGCGTGGACGGACGTCGCGACGACCATCACCCTTCACCGGTAACAGCGGGAATGGAATCAACAGCAATAACTCGAGCGACCCCGCCGTCTTCTCAAGCGACGACGATCCAGCGCTGGACAACTACGTCGAGGGGCGGCGGAAGAAGCGATACGTGGGGTCATGGTTCCAGCAGCATCCTACGGCATCGTCATCAGACTCTGCCTTTGGTGGAGACCACGAGCAGCAGCCCCTCCCTCACCAGCCAAAGGGTGCTAACCGACGTACCCTGGCGCGCAAGCTGGACAGTGGTGTCTTCCTGGGCAGTGATGGGAGCGACAACAGCAGCAGCGGTGACGATTTTGTCCTGCCAGAGTTCGAGATGAACGTTGCAACGCGATCCAAGGTACCGCAGCTTACGGTGGCGGCGGCGAGGAAGACGAGGAGGAGGCAGCTTTCCGAACCGGAGCGTCAGCTGCAGGAAAAGATCCGCGAGAGCCTGGATACGGCCAACGAGACGGTGGACTTCTGGTCCATGGACCTCGCCGAGCTATCGGGCGACACCGTCTCCCTGCTGTCCCAGTTCGAGTACATCCCCCAGGTAACGCGCGACGTGGCCTTCGAGCAGAGGGATCCGGAGCTGGAGCTGTACCTGGCACAGAACCGGCTGACGCGTCTCCCCGGTGCCCTCTTCGACGTCGAGCACTTGGCCATCCTCAGTCTCAGGAGCAACCAGCTCGAGGAGCTGCCGCCCGCCATAAGCCGTCTGAAAAACCTGCAGGAGCTCAACCTGTCGCAGAACCGCCTCCGTCATCTGCCTGTCGAGCTGCTGGACTTGCTTGGTGCCGACTCCAAGCTGCGCACCCTCATCCTGCATCCCAACCCGTTCCTCCACCCCAACCAAGGCCACGACATTTTTGAGATTCTCGAGGACGGCGGCCCCGCCGTCTACGACAACTACGACCTCGACATGGAGCATGAGCCCAACACGGAGTTTACGTACCCGCTCGCGGTGCCGGATGATAGGCTGCCGCGGCTCATGACCCGCCGTCTTGGCCGGTCACCCCTCCAGGTGTCGGATGCCGGGGGCAGGGTCCAGTCCACATTCCGTCTACCCGGTGTCTCATCCTCTGCGGAGCCGGTAGAGGTCGAAGTCATCTTCAAGAGGAGGCTCCTATCGTACGGGGGGGTTCCGTCTGCGCAGGAGACGCCGCCCCTTGCTAAGAGGGACGGCGGTGATGGCAAGGTCCCCAGCCTGGTCGAGGCCGCCATGAGGAGCTGCGTCAAGAGCGTGCACCTGCCCGACCTGCGAGACATGGTACCCCCAGAGTTCACGGACCTGGGACAGCTGTTTGACCGGGCCCTGCGACAAAAGGAGATGGGCGGGCTCGTGTGCTCCCGGTGCCGCAGGGATGTGGTGGTGCCCGTTCTTGAGTGGATCGAGTGGCGCGAAGTCAGCACGCTCTCCAAGTTCCGCAAGATCAGCGGCAAGTACCGTCTCGACCCGCTCAGCGAGAGAAAGGACGAGCTCGTCGTACCCTTCTTGCACAGAGCCTGCTCGTGGGCATGTGGCCCCCGTGAGGAGAGCAGTGGATGGGAGTTTCCCAGCGGTTGTGAGGGTATGACGGTCGGTTATTGTCTCTACAATGGACCGCCTGAGTCAGAGGGGCAAGCAAACAGAGCTACTTGAGAGGCATTATCCAATATCCTCCTCCTCTCCTCTCCCCTTTTCTCTTGTTTTTTTCCCCTTGATATATGCACATTATATGGGTGGGAGTTTTGTTCTTTATCATTGTTACTCAAGCAGCCTGTTCTTTTTTTCCCCATCTTTCTCTTTACTGGTACTTTACAACAACTGTATATCATTACTATGTTCATATAATAGCAAAGTATTATACACCGTTATCCAACACTATGTACACCCTGCAAAAAAAAAAAGGCACAGGAAAAGGAGAAAGTTTGTTTTCTTTTTGCCAGCAGTCTTCGTTGTCGATGATACCAAAAACGTGACCCGCTATGTCTTGGTGGGGAATAGAGTGCCGCGTATCTTTCGCGCTCGCACCACTAGCACTGCTCGGGTCATCCTCCACAAAATTGTTAGGCTTCATGACTTCATCACCGTTTCATGAACCCCCTCCCCCTCCTCTTTAACAGAACAACGGTTAGGCTTTGATTAAGGAATCACTCTTTTTTTCTTTCTATTCTTCCTTCTTTCCTTTCTCTTGTTTCCTTTGTCTCTTTGGAGTGTGGGACTTTTGGGATTTTCAACAACCTGTTGGGCACGGTTGCCCCTGGACGATACACATGATGACCTCGCCATCAACACCACGAGCGGTCTCGCCGACCCCGTCACAACTGCCACCCGTGCCATCCTCTCCGGGCGGATACTCGATTGCGTCGACGGCGAACCAACTATCGACCTTTAGCCTGCCGCTGCCGCCGCCGCCACGACCGAGCCACACGGTGCTGACGGCGGGGGATATTGAGCGGTCGCAGGAGGCGTACGCGGGGCTGGTATCGTCGGCCAAGGAGTACCGGCTCGCGCTGGCGGCTCTGGGAACGGCGGCGTCGGCGTTCGGAAGTGCTCTGGAGTCGTGCGCTCGCCTCAAGGAGGCGCGGGCTGAGCCCATAGGAGCCAGCAGCATCAGGCTCGGGTCGGGCAGCGGCGGCGGCGGCGGCGGTGGGGGCAGCATCAACATGACGGCCAGCTTCACCAACAAGGCGGCGGCCAAGCCGTGCACGGCCGACACGCTCATGTCTGCGTCGGGCGTGCAGCACCTGGTGGCCAACCACCAGCAGATCCTGTCGGAGACGGTGTACCGGTCATTCGAGGTACCGCTGCTGGACGACCTAGACCGGTGGCGGGCCGTCATGGATGACGAGAAGGACCAGTACGAGCAGCGGGTTCGCGCACAGTCTAGGGAGATTAAGCGGCTGGAGAAGGAGGGGCTGAAGCTGCACCGTCAGCGGCACCGGGATGTCGGCCGCTTCAGGGCCCACCTCGTCGACCTGACGCACCGACTTGACGGGCTCACTGGCCTGCATGCCGACTACTCCCGCACCCTGCTCCACGAGAGCCAGGAGACTAGCGCGCGAATCGTCGATGCCAGTTGCAGCCTCGTCCGTGCCGAGATCGATATCTTTGAGAGCCTAGCCCGCAAGGGCTGGTCCGGCGGCGGCCTCGACGACATCCTCGACAAGGGCCACGACCTTTTCGCCACAGACGACCTGGCCGTCATGGACGACGACCTCGACCACCCGACCACCACCTTGGGCGGCGGCGGCGGGCCCTCGTCCTCGTCCTCTTCCAAGCTCTTCTCCATCCTCCCCCCCCGCAGCATCCTCGCCGACTCCACTGCCTCGTCCGACAGGCCGCGATCCAACGCTGCTGTCGGCGCAGGCAGTGGCGGCAGTAATACCGGCCATCACACCCGTGGCGATAGCTTTGACGCCGACCACCACCGCTACCAGCCCCTCACCGCCGTCGCTGAGTCCCATGCCGCAGTCGGCGACGCCGACAGCGTCATGTCTGCCGAGTTCATCAAGCCTCGCAACGCCAGGCCCTTCTCCCCGCAGCCCATCCGCCGCAAGCCCATGGGTGTCACAATCGACTCCCTCGCCGCCCTGACGTCGTCAACCTATCATAATCCCCTCCCGTTCGGCGACGTCGACGACGACGACGAAAATAAGGAGAATAGCGCGAAGCTGGGAAAGGCGGCAGGTGAAAAAACCTCGGCGGAAACAATACCAACACCACCGCAAAAACAGGAGGAAGGGGAGCCTAGCGAACAGCAGCAGCAGCATGAAGAGAGTAATACCAATGATAGCGGCGATGCTGACGCAGAAGGGAGTGCGTCGCCAGACTCGCCCAGGGGCCGCAAGTCACCCGAATTCATCACCGATGAGAGCTCGCCTGAATCTCATCACTAATTCAGAATGCACGTAAGGCAGGAGTTGGAGCGGAGGGTCCCTGCTTCATCCTTGCATCTTCTTTTTCGTTTCTTTTCTACCTTCGTTGTTTCATCCTGCTACTGGCCCTTCTCGCCATGTCGGTGTTCAGTGTTTGGGTTTCACCTTAGAGCAGTCCATCTTCATGTCATGTTACTTCTTGTAAGATGTCCTCTTTTTTTTGTTTCCATTTTATGCAATAAATGGTACATTTCGTTGTGTATTACCCTACCACAAGTAGGTAGTAGACAGATCCCTTTCCTTGGATTTTCTTATGAGATGAATAAAATAAAAGTATGACCGTCTTAAAAATCTCGCCAAAACGCCCCTATTCTACTCCCCTCTCCCATTGTGAATGTAATCGTATAGTAGAAAAAAAAAGGCCTGTCTAAATAACGGAGACTCGCCCTCACTTTTTCTTCTGTCCTTATCCTGATTCCCTCCGCCCGTCATTAGTCATCCTTGTCAAAGCTGCTAACATCACCCTTGAAGAGCCCAAAGGTGATGTCGAGCCACCAGATTATCTTCCAGTACAAGCTGGCACGGTTCCAGTCAAACTCGCCTGTCTCGGTACGCGGCACCTCGTTGCCGATTATGCTGCCGCCGAACCAGCCGAGGAAGGGAACGGCGCTGACGAAGCGCTGCATCACCGACTGTTGCGGCCGCAAGGCCTGCTCGGCAGGAAGGAGCTGGGCCCTGCGGGCAGTGGGGATGCGACGGCAGAAGATGTCATCTTCGATCTCCATGGGCTTGATGGCTGATGAGGAAGCAGCGGCACCGCCGGTTGGTAGGTTCATCATGGGGCCTAGACCTAGGGGCTCCGTGGCCGTGGCGCTACTAATGGTCCCAGTCTCGAGTGTCTGGCTAGAGTTGGACGGTGAGTTCTGGTTGTCGATGAGGCGGCTGTGCCACGAGGTGGGGCCGCTGGTGCTCCCCGTCCTCTTTGGCGTGGCGCCAAAGGCGGCCGGGACGCTCTTGGACCGGGTGTCCATCTCGTCGTCCATCAGGCCGTCGAGGTCTGGGCACGCCTCGTCCCTGGCGGGCGGCAGGCCGCGGTAGGGCTCGGCATAGACTAGGTGTCCCAGGATGCGTTGGGGGCTGGCGTACATGGCTGTCTCGGCGGCGTCGGAGCTCTCAAACGTCACCTTGACCCAGTGCTCGCCCGCGTCGGCGCAGTTGACAAGGGTCAGCTCCTCGCGTGACAACGTCCTTTGGCGAGTGTAAGCCGGGTCACGCAGCTGTGACTTGTACCGCCGCTGCGAGACAGGCGGCTCTCGCGGGTAGTCTTCGAGGATGACGCCTGCTAGGGTCTCGTAGTGTGCAATGGCCGCGTACTGCTGCGTCGTGGACCGGTATCCGCGCAGTATCATCTGGGTGGGCTGTGAGCGAGGCTGCTGCAACGCTTGCTTCTGTTGCTGCTGCTGTGATTGGGATGCCGACTGAGGCGTCTCCTCGTGCTGCTGGGACTGGGACGTGCCCGTGTTCTGTTGCGCTGCCGCCGCCTGCTGGCTGGACACCCAGTCGCCAAACAACTTATCCGCCGCCGCTAGTGTCGGGTTCTCTCTTCCGCGGGCTGGTGTGCCGGTGCGCGATCGTGACCGCCGTGTCGACTTGCCAAACGACCCGGTTTCGGCTGCGGCGCGTCGTGCTCGGGTGCTTCCACCGGTAGGTCCATCTTGTCTGTTGGTTGTCACACAAGCCTCTTATCAGTATTGTGTTTCCTGTTTCCTTTCTCCAACCTCCCAGCCACGGCCGATGCTCGAATTGCTTTGGGTGTTGCTGCTGCTGCTGCGGCTACAGCTGATAACACTTACTGGCTGAAGACCATGGCGTACGGTCTCTTGACGCCATCTTCACCAATATAGCACTCGTCATCGGGGACGTTATGCAAGATAAGAGGAGCCATGGCAAGCTAGAAGGTGTGCGTGTTCCACCCTTCTTCCCGTCGACGTCTTCTTTGTTTTTGAGGGTTCGGTGATGTGTAGGATTGGTGGTGTTTTCTTGGTGTTCCGTATTTTGTTCTGCAAGGCAACCGCGACCCGCTAAAACTCAAGCTCCTGCCTTGGGGATCAGAGCCCTTAGGCCCCCGGGCCAAGACTCACACCTCAGGCACAAATATTTTTCCCGATGCCGACACTTTTATAGTTCACCGTGACTAAGTCTACAAGTAATAATACTGACTGAATCGATGCTACGTAATAATATTATTACCTGCACTTTCTTGTTTCAACCCTCATTTCTACCTACTCGTGCTTCATCATTAACATCTATTCAACCCATCTTATCGCTTCTATTGAAAGATTGACCGATTCGTATTGACTTGCATCGTTTAATCGGCCCGCAGCTTACAAATTCTCACACCGCTCTAGAAACTCCTCGTACTTGTCACCAGCCAGAGCTATAATGTCATCAGATCCATCTTGGAAGGGGTGAACCGACACCCGGAACGGTTTGCTCCCCTTGGGAGCCTCGACTGCTTTCAGGATGGCATTGGATACAAGTTCTGGGCTGGTATCTTTAGGGAATTGCCTATCGATATCATCCATCATGACCGTTTCAACACCTTTCAAAGGGCCTTCCCGACCAGTGTACTCAGTCGCGATTTTCAGGAAACCAGGCTTTCCAGAGATAGCAAAATGGCTTGTGCCAGAGGTAAAGATACCTGGGTTGGATCATCAGCTATCTCTATCCTCGTCAAAATCCCTAGAAATCTCTATATCCAATTTACCGGGCACAACTATGGTCGTCTCGATACCCCAGCAGGCAATCTCGGTGGATAGCGACAAAGCAAGCGAGTGCCTAGCCGTCTTAGCAGTGAAGTACGGCCCCAACAGCAGCCCACTTCCACCACGAGCGCTCGACGAGCTCACCCAGATGATATGGCCCAGTCCGGCTTTTTGCATGATGGTAAGTACGACCTGGTTGAGTCTGTGGGCACCGACTGCGTTGACGTCGTAGTAATTGTGTAGCTGCTATGCCGAGTACGACTCGATAGGACCCAGGCACATATGTCCGGCGTTATGGATCACGCAGTCGAGCTTTCCACCTGTCTCTGACAGGATCTTGCCCATGCCGCTATCGATTGAGTCTTGCCTCCTGATATCTATGACTATGTGTCGTATCGATCCTTCCGAAAATGTCTTAGCGAGCTCGTCGGTGTCGCGTAGGCCCCCGTACATAGCATGGCCTGCCTCAGCAAGTGCCTGGGTATCGACTCGTCGGAGCTACCAATAAACTCGTACTCATCAAACCCGATCTGACAGGATCGACGACTTAATCCCGATGAGGTGAGCATATACATATGCCACTTAGAGCAAAAGCGGAGCACATTTCACATGCATTGATACCGATTGATATAGCGGAGAACATCAGTATAACTTAACGGTGGCATTATGGCATTTTCCCAACATAATACAGGTGACGGTCCTGGCGATTATCCATCTCCTTTCCCCAGTCACCAGTTCCTCAATGGTGATACCATACATCCGTCTACCAAACTCACGCACCCCTCTCCTGAGTCGTCCATCAATCGCTTATAGAAAACCCAATACCCTTGACAACGTCCCCTCCGTGGAAGAATCCCACGTCTGGGAGCAGTCGGCTGGAAACCCGCCTCGCTGTTGTGGCATGCGATGATCCGTCGCCGAATGGACTGTCAACTACCTATCCGATGGCCATGTCGCTCCAGTAATCTGAATCTAGTCCCTTGCTATCTCCAACCCGTAGGATTGACGAGATGTCACGACCAGGTGCCTGGAAGCACACCGACTGGTCCTGAAGAAACTGATCTACCTGCCCATCTGGAGAGGTTGAACGAGTCCTCACATGTCTTGAGAGCCAATTAGACACCTGTAAATAGCCGGGAGAGAGTCTCATCCAGCTTCTCTCGCAGAGGCTCGTGGAGGAATATCGGCGTGACCACGGTGATGTCGGCACGTCGGATCTGGCTAGACTTGGGGTGTGGGTATATCTTCAACTGTGGTTGGGACAGCAACACCAGCTGACGGCCAAGCGGAACAGGAAACACTGTGACCTCTATCCCACCCTTTGTGGGCCGGCTGGTGTTCTAGAACCTGCGAATCGTAAAGCAAAAAGGAGGTTGGCTCCCGGAAGTAGATCATCGACGAGGCGTATGTACGAGGCCCCAGAGAAAGTGGAGCGACGTGAGAATAGACAGTATTGTTCCAGGTCCGTCATACATGCGGATGTGCCGTACCCGAGTTCTTTACGTTGGATATGGAGGGGCACGAAGTATCATGATAAATACGAACCATGGAGACACAAGCTTGGTCGTGCCGCAGTCATGATGCGGTCTGAACGGGGACAAGCCATAGATCTTTCGGTCTCTCGGTCCTGTGGTGACATACTACCAGTATTGATATAGACTCATCAATCACATAGCAAAAAAAAAAAAAAATACAAAGAGAGGGATGTCGTCTGTATAACCAAGGCTGAATGCAAAGGTCTCCAGCATCAGGCGTATATGTGTTACCCATAGGAACAGTGCCTGTGTGAATAGACAAAGATGTTTTCATTGCAAAATGCTATCTAGAAGATACATGTGGAGATTAGAACAAAGTTTTTAGAGGTAAAGGACAAAGGGGAAAGAACAAGTATAAGGAGAGTCATCATGCGTAGAAATGTGGTTCGTCATCATTCGTCGACCCACTCATCCTCGGACTCGTCATCCCAAGGTTCCATGGCCAGGGCCTCCTCTCCCCACAGCTTGAAGATGCCCATGAGTCTCCCGGTTTCAGCGGTGGTGAGCGTCACGTACCAAGGGGCGACGTGGTTCTCGGCCCAGTTACCCTTGCGCGTCCTCCACAGCTGGCGCATGGCGGCGTATTGGAGTCTGGTGGGTGTCGTCGTTGCCTCTCGCGGGCTGATCTCGATCTGCTCCCACAGATTCCAGTCCTTGATACGCGCCATGTCCCAGAAGACGTACGCGCGTTCGCGGAGCCCCGAGTCCTCGGCCATCATGGTCACCACGATGGGGATCGCCGTCTCCTCTTCTCTGGGCGTGGGCTGGTACTGGCGGAGACTCGTCGTCGTCGCCAGGACCGCCGCCGCCGCCACCATGCTGTCGTTCGAGAGGTCCCCAGCGGCTTGGGATCCTTGGGACCCGGCTTCGAGGAGATCTGCAAAGGCGTAGTCAAACGCGCTGGGGGGGCCGGAATCACTGTCTAGGGTGTCGCGGGGTTTTTTGGCGGCCAGCCTCTTGTTCTTCAGGTAGACGTCTTGCACACCTTGTAGGGTGACAAAGGGAGCGGCTGAGTCATTCTCTATCAGGGACGTCTTCAACAGAATGCCCTTGTACTCTGTTGATGCTTTGGCGAGCTTTGTGATGAATGTGGCGCCTTGGGAGATCTTTGATGCAATGTCAGCTGACGTCTTTTCTTTTCCAGATGTAATGGGATGATCACGATGGTGAGGGAGGGAAGAAAGGGGGGGGGGGGGGGTGTAAAAAAAATAAAAAATAAAAAAGGGGGCAGGTCAGAGATACTTACCCAATGTTGTTTCTTGGGGTTCGCCCCGGGAGTCAGAAAATCAATGCCCATGGCGCCGAGCTCGACATCCTCAAAAAAGGTGCGGAGACAAGCTGCAGAGTTTCACCAGTTAGACAAGACAACATTCATCATATGTGAGCCATATCTGGAGAGAGTTTTTCAAAAACATACCAATCATGAATCTCTTCTCGAGATAGTCGTGCACACAGGCAATCTGCTCAATCTCGAACTGGGCAAAGTTCCTGAGCAGCCACAGGCGCCCCTGGTGAAGAACATCGGGGTCCGGGGAGTCGGAGCTGGTGCGGAAGGCTCTGAGGAAGATTTCCGTGCGGTAGAATGCGCGGAAGAAACGAAAGGCCTCGGTTGGGGAGAGGCCGACGGACCGCGAAGGGTCGTAGTAGGATCTGGTGTGGTCAAAGTAGAACTGCTCCCAGGCGCGGTCGGCGAAGTCGAAGGCCAGATCGGTGATGGAATCCTCGGTCCTCATCATGGAATAGACAGACTGCAGGGACATGGAGCGCAGCTGGCGATGCAGGAGGCGGCCGTCGTTGACGAGGCCATCGACAAAGTCGCCGACAGCCTGGGCGGTGCGCGGCGCGGGCAGCACCCGGTTCAGCTGCTCGGTGGCTACGGCCAGGGCCAGCCGTTCGGGCTCGAAGAAGGATACGACGATGCTTCCCGCGATGCTGCGATTCTCGACAAAGGCATCGAGAAACTGGCGGCTGACGCATATGGCGTTGATGAGATCTTTGAACGTCCCGAGCCTGCTGAGGATGGCGGCGATGACCTCGCAGGGTAGGTCTGAGATGGTGGCCATGATGACGGCTGTGGGGGGGGCTTCTTGCGTTGCTCTGCGTCGCGTTGCGTTGCGCTGCGTCCTCCGCCGTGAGGTTACTTCTAGCTAGGTGCTGATCCTCGCCTCCTCAACTCTTCCCGTTGTCTGGGCCCCCAGAAGGGCTCCTCTTGGCGTCGGGCTGGAGATTGTTGTGAGAGATGCGAGCGTCGCACACGAGGCGCGCGGGCAGGTGAAAAATATCTGGTTGGTGGGTCCGTGGAGTTGAATGACTTGAATGTATTCAAGTACTGATTGCAACTAGTAATAGGTGGTGATTGCTGAGTTGGCGATGGAAGTCAACGACTGTCAGGTTGAAACCAGTACTATCTTTTGTTTGTCGTTTTCGTCTCCAGAGAGACAGAAGATCATCATGTATTTATACCTCGTCATCCTCATCTTGTGCTCTCACTCATCTCCCTTTGTTTACATTTCCCTTTTGACTTCAACCTTGTGTCGGTGACTGGGAAGACCCATGACTGGACAGACGACGAGCATCCAAACCGTATACGAATGGATCTTTCTAGCATCGAGGAACGAAGCCGAGCACGATTTATTTAAAATATATTCTTTCCGAAAAAATCACTAGTCACTATACTTGGGAGTCTGTATTGTGGACGCAGTCGCCCGGTTATTAGTTGATAGGCGTGGAGGAGTGACCTTTGAGGAGGTTCTAATGGGAACAACATGCGTATAGAATAAGAAGTGATGGGCTATCAAAGTATCCCATGACGGATACGGATGAGACTTATTTTCTGTTCTCATCGAATGGTGTTGATAGCTCTGCAATTTTGCATTGAAGGGAGATCTGAAATCTGCCCTCTTTGTTGGGCGACTGGGTCGAGGTCAACTCAGTGCGATTATTCGGCCACAAGCCTCAATAGTGAAATGGGTGCGTGGTATGTTTTCTCGTCGTCGTCGTTGCAGATCATATCAATATAGCAATCCATCAACCTCCAGCCACCGATTGCTTCTTAGCGGTCATGGATGGAATCAACAACTACAGAAATCCAGTAACCAGACAATAACAACCCCCTGTCTGTTTTGCCCCTGGAGCCATTGGGACATGGCCTATAACACGTAGCCCTTGAAAACTCAGCCCTATTTCGATATGTAAACTAGTATATTGTAATATATATATATATATATATATATCAGCAGAATACCACTGGCAAAGCCTTGTCTGACTGACATGACCGTTCAGAGCCGCCTTGCTATCTATTATACGACGCATCCTCCCTTGTACTTGCACACCGGGAATCATCATAGCATCATTCATTATTAGTCATTACTAGTCGTGTCCTGTTACAAACGCCAGGCGCCTCAAGTGTTTCCTGTGATGCTTCCATCCAAGCTGTCGTTTCAGTTGTCAAGGGCCCGTCAGAATTCCTTCCCTGCTTACAAGAATGCGGCATCGAGCAAGAAAGGTACGAACCCGCGCCTTCTCCTCTCCTAATAAAGGAGGCAAACAACGGTAAGCCCGAACGTCGGTATGAGCCATAGAGGATGACAGCATCGAAATCTCCATCACAGAGAGGCAGGTCGCCCCGTGACGGGGAATAGTGGTAGGCTATGCCTCACGACATCTCACAACGACCTTAAGCTTGGACTTCTCATCCATGGCCCCGGATCATGCTACTTGTCAGCGAGTGCTCTTCAATTTGGCTTGGAGTCCCTCGCCTTCATTTTATCCAGGTGCTACTATGGTCCTGTCTGCCTGGTTGGGGCTCGATATGTCACTGGATGCCTTCAAAGTACAGAGTCCATACGATTTTACACATACCGAGTCCCAGTACAGGGTTGCGTGGTCTTGCCGCATATTAATACTAGACAGCGTGGTCGAAAACGGCGTCGACGCCGATGGTAGGGATGAGCGATAAACCACAGCAGATTCCTCTACCATGTTCCGATGAGACTTTTATGGCTCAGTGTCATCGAAGCCTACTTTTTATACCTGGCCAAGGTAACGCATCAATCCCTTGTAGTGAAATAAAATAGTAGCAGATTGGTATTGACGGCAGTTTCGTTCCGGGAGTCTTCTCATAGTGTCGACCGAGCGGACCAAAATCCCCCCCTGATGAAGATGATCAACTCCCTGGATACTTGGAAGGAAAGCATCCCTGCTGGGCTGCAGCTCTCTGACATCAACATGACAACATGTCCATCCATAAAGAGTTTCGATCTGCAGGGTCCCTCCTTGGGATGCACTTGATGTACCGTTTTGCGCTGTGTGGCCTAATGGACTCTGCATATCTAGCCTACGATCTCGGAGACTGTGCCAGGAGCGATGTCGGTGCCACGCCTGTGAGGCATCGAGAGTACTGCTAAAAAAACAGAAGCTCATCTTGGATCGATTCACGATATGATATATCGCGGCTGCATAGGGATCTGTCGAGATCCGTCCGGATGATTTGCGTTGCCACGATACCAAGGCTAAGTGTCGATGAAAAAGCAGGATTCGGCAGCGACACCGACTCCACTCTAAAGCTCTTGGCTACAACAACGGATCACCCAATACCTGGGCGGCTTGGAATGTTTCCTAGTCGTTTTCCGCAGGACGAAGTAGAACCCAGCAGAGAAAAAGAAGCTTCACCTGGGATCTCTCTATGACAGGCAGCTGCAGCTGCTCTTTATTTATGTCCATCCATCGCATTCATCAACCTATCGAGATTCCATCAGCAACTACTCAGTACCGGGCATGAGCGAGATTGGGGGCACAATTACAAGTAGGACATCTGGTCTTGTCGTTTGGAGTGGCGGGATATCGGTCCTGGTTGTAGGTGGCGTTGAGGGAGACGGCGCCGACGCTGTCTCCGGACTCGAGGCGGATCCAGGTGTCGACGGAGCGGTGTTCGAGGGCGTCGCGGGTGACGAGGACCTGGCGGGCGCCGCGGATCCAGCTGCCGTAGCCGCCGTAGCCGGAGTGCTGGCCGAAGCAGAGGTTGAGCCCGTTGCCGTCGACCGTCATGCCGGTCAGGACACCCTCCCACTTGTAGCACCAGGTATCACCGTGATCATGGCCGGAGAAGAGGCCCAGGAGGCCGGGGGTGGTGGTGACGGCGCGCATAAAGGGGAGGTCCTGGCCGCCGTACTCGCAGTCGTCGCCGTTGGTGCCGTCGGCGCACCACCCGCCTGCCTGGGGGGCGAGGGGCACGTCGTCGTTGATGCCGGGTTGGCAGTTGGCGTCGACGCCCCTCTCCTGCTGCAGCGCCCGGGACGCGTTGGTGGGGATGTGGACGAAGGCCAGCGAGGGGATGACGCGGCCGTGCTGGCGGACGAGCTGGGCGTTTGTCGTGCGGAACCAGTCCACCACGCTTGTGTCGACCCAGTCGGGCTGGGCGAGCGGGTCTCCGTCCTCGTCAAACTCCTGTGTGTAAAAGCCACCGCGGCTGTCGAAGAACCAGAGGATCAGGTCCGGGCCGCACGGCGGCTCCTCGGCCGCAGACGGCGCAGGCGGGCAGCGCGCCGGGTACACGGGGAGGTAGTAGTTGGAGACGCCGGCGAGGCGGCCTGAGACCATGGAGGCCGTGCGGGCATTGGGCCAGCGGTGTTCGCGCTCCAGGATGCCCTGGCCTGAGATGTTGGTGTTATGGTCGTGGTTGCCGTACGTCGACGCCCACGTCAGGCCGCGGTCCAGGATCGGCTGCACGATCTGGTCCACCAGGAGCGTGCTATTGTGCAGGTATGTGTTCTCGCCCGTGATCAGGTCGCCGTTGAGCACCACCAGGTCCGGAGGGTCAGCGTCCAGGACCTTTTCCAACACCTTGACCGACTGGATGTCCTGCTGGGGGCCCCACGAGTCCCACGGATCTGGCGTCGCGCACTCCATGTCAGTACATTCATCTACGTCCCATCACACGACTTCAACCGTCTTAAACTGAACTGAGAAATTTATCTTCTTCAAGTCGACAACAGCGTATTGAAGGAAAGTGTATATATACTCACTCTCGCCAAAGTGCAGGTCCTCAAAGATGGAGATATGGAAAGACCCATCATCATGGAAGCGCAAGGGTCCAAATTGACCCGTCGACGGCGATCGGCTCACGAGCCCAGCAAACAGGGCGCCGCTGAGGAATGAGTCGACCCGCATCCTGACTGCCGCCACGCTCAGTAAAAGCAAGATGGCACGGTACCAAAGACGACGAGGTAAGTTGCTGATTCTGCTGCTGCTGCTGCTATTGCTGCTATTGCTGCTATTGCTGCTGCTCTTCTTCCCTGCTAGGTCAGCCATGTTGGGCGAGATGGGGACGCGCGACTGCGAGTATCTATATAACGACGTGTTGTGCTCTGCTGGACTGCAGTCATCCTGATGTTCAGCACATATCTCCACATATTCAAGATGCCACCCACACCCCTCGAATTGCGGGGGGCTGTTGGGCTTTCAAGTCTCGTTTTAATCGATGGGAGGATATAGTCCACGCCTGAGCAGTGAAGGTAAAAGAGAGAGAGAAGAAGGAGAGGGGGATCGTTGTCATTTCTCAGCTGATATTTTGCGACAGCCGTGGTACGAGTATTTCTTCCTTGTACTAATACGAAGTCGTACTTTCGGCTGTCGTCAAAGGGGAAGGGGGGGAGGGTGGGTGGGTAATAATTTCCCTCCAACATTGGGAACGTGGGTCGTTATGATATATGCTTACACGTGGAGAGCTGTGGGTTCCGTTAAATGGAGGATTCGTCCATTCAAATAGGCAAATGAACAGGTCGTAGGAGAGGTTCGGTAACTTCCAGAGAGGAGGGGGAAATATAGCGGGACGCAAAATAGATGCCAGAGATTGATGATTGATGCAGTTGATGGAGAGGAAGAGAGGAGGATGGAAAGCCCATTGATGAGCTCACGTGAGAAACGTGCCAAGACAGGCAGCAACAACTGATAATGCTGCGACAAGGTCATGCATGATAGAGAGCTGTACGACATGACAAAGCCATCGCTGGTTCATTCCTCGTCTTCATCTGTCTGTTTTCAAAGGGGGGGGAGGGGGGGGGAGTGTATAAATTCATAAATGTGCACGAGAGTACAAGATACCCTACAGCTTCTTCTCTTCCTCCAGCATCTGTCCAAAAATGCCGCCTTCCCACTGAGCATACGCTCCCGAGGGAAGGGACCCCTTGAGCGGCAACCTGCCTCCGTTGAGGTTCCCCAGGCCGTGCACCTTATATATGGCCTCCTTGATGCCCACGATGCCGAACTTGCCGACAAACTCCTCGGCCGACGACACCTTCCACTGCAGGCGACGCGTCTCCTCGAGCGTGGCTTCGTCCAGGGGTCGCTTGGCGGCGAGGGAGAACAGGCGGGCGACGGTCTTGGGGAAGATGGCGGCCAGGCCATCGATGACGCCACCGGCGTTGAAGACGACAATTGGACCGAGCTGTTGGCCGAATCCCGAAAAGACGCGGAAAGACGAGTGGTCGATCTCGGGGTGCAGGGATACTTGGACGTGATAGCTGACGTTGCCGTGGGACCTATTTTGACGTCGCGCATCGCGTCAGTGTCATTCGTTCGAATGTTACCAGGGAGGCAGGACGGGATATCTCTTACATCTTGCAGCCGACAATGTTAGGGTGGGCAGCCAACTTGACGTATGTGTCGACAGTGACGATCAGGTTGTTGCTGACGCCAGGGTAGTTGTAGCTGCCGGGTGGGAAGGGGGGTGTTAGCGACACGTGCGCGACGATCACGGTTCGACAGCACCAGGAGGGCAAGTCCGACATACATGAGGATCGGTACGGGGCTCTTGTCGGCAATGACAGTGTACCACTCGATAATATTCTCCTGGGTGGCCGCGGGGCCAAAGTAGCCCGGGGCCAAGACGAGACCGTAGTTCGCGCCGGCGGCGTGCGAGTCGCGCAGCCACTGGAGCGTGTCGTCGATGCTGTTGACCAGAACGCCGGCCATGATGGGGTAGTCAGGGTAACCAGCGGCGTTGAGGCCCTCGCGCACGCCCGAGATGATGGCGCTGCGCTCCGCCGCCGACATGTGCACAGCCTCGCCGGTCGACCCCATCAGCACCACGCCCGTGATGCCCGACCTGGCCAGGAGCACCGTGTGCGCCGCCTGCGCTTCGACGTCGACGGCCGCTTGCAGAGCCGAAGCCGACTCGGGCTCCTCCTTGAAGAAGGTGGGCGAGGGGACGTAGACACCGTCCCGGGGAGTGGTGGGGGCCATGGTGGGAAGTTTGTTAATCGGATATCCGGCAGATCTGCGAATCGACGGGGTAGGAGATGGATAGAGAGAGATAGAGAGCGGATGATGCCGTCGGTGATGGGGCAACGAAGGGGTCGTGCTGATGATGAAGAAAAATAGGGTAGTGAAGGTTAGAGTTGATGAGAGTAGGGGAGAAGGAAAACCGTCGTGAGCCGTCCGTCAACTTCCCGTTTTTCCCTCTTCTCATGATGGTCTTATGGAGCTCCCCCTCTTTCTCCCATCACCGGCCAAAATTCCGATCAGCGTATTGCCCCGGTGGTGTCCAGGACGTTGATGTTTCGGTTCCTTTTATCCCGAGCCCCGGCTCCAGTTTGCCCCTCCTCTCCACGCTTGGCCGGCTTGGCATCGATGGTTTATGTTTAGTTGGTTCATTCGTTTCCTAATATGTACATGCTCGTGTATACACATATACAGTATATGGTATACCTACTCCGTACCTTGCATCTTGATATATATTTTCCTTCTTTCCCGATATAGAAGGGAACCCTGGCTTTATAAATCTACGATACAGGTGTATCTGACGTTTTACGATGGTAGCCTGCAAGCATGGATGCGAAGAATGAATACAACCTCAAATTGCCAAGCGTTTCTCTTGGCTAGCTGGGTTGTGTGTAAACTCTTGTTAATTGATTGGTGCAATATATGAAGGAGTGATAATAATAATAATATACTGATGCATATAGTAGCCTCTCACCAACAACATTGATGGTGGAAGAAGACAAGACTGTAGATGTCAATTTCGGACGCTTCTAATAAATCAAAAAAAAAAAAAAAAAAAGGAAAAGGAAAAGGAAAAGGAGAGAAAGAAATCTGACCGAGTATTTATGAACGGTCAACCTACCTTGCGAATATAATCTCTAGACGTACCACCTTGGTTCTCATGAATATTACCCCTTCACCCTCGACTCTTGCCTCACCTGAGACTGCTATGACGCCACTGGATCAGTGATTGCCAAGTGCTACGTCAATAATAAGCTCGCTCCTTTCCGTGGGAGATTCTAATTCACGATAGCTCCCGCTTCGCTCCAGAGAAGCTCCAAGATTCGACCGTGATGTGCCCGGCCAGGTCTGCTCGCGCCGTCAAAGTTAGAACCCCTCCCAGCTGGAGCGATGAGGGGCGACAACAGAGACTGCGTGTGAAGAGGGAGCAGTAGGAGGGGGGAAAGAATGGCCCGATGACTGACTAGTAAACTGGTAGTGGTGGTACTCGTAGTCGTAGCTTACGATCACGTAAACCAATCAATGCGGCATGACTCCTCATCATGACAGATAAAGAGAACGGTTGATAGAGAGAAGAGAGAAAATTCAATCACTTGCAGTAGACATGCACAAAGCGGGGAAAGATCCTAGTTCAACTCTTGTCTCTCTCTCTCTCTCTCTCTCTCTATTTTACGTATAATGATAGTATCCATGTCGCTGCCGGGGGCGACTGGAGACCCGGGAATGATGACGAGTCCAGGTGAATAGTCCGGAAACATCCGTCGAGCCTGTCTCGCAGCCCAGGTGGCCCATCTGAGGCTGGAAGGGCTCATCGTGACCTGCCCGTTCATGAGACGGCGCAGCGTATCTGCTACCCGGTGCAGCTCGAGGGTTGAGGCCGGCTGTATGATTATCAGAGACTAGGGTACGGAGCAGGTGGGCCCAAAACGCGCAGACGGCAGTGGCACCGGGAGCATTGCATACACGGAACACTCCGTGATCATGTACGTATACGTACACGTAATACCGATCAAGAACAACTACCTGAAGGCAGAGGCAGAGAGCACTGAGCAGAAAAGACTGCAATCCACGCTGCCTCCTGGAGAGGCATTTCTGGCCTCTGCATCACCAATCTAGAACATACTTCGTCTCACAATGTGCGGTACGGAGCAGCATCCGAAGCCGTCTACGAAGCGGCACATGCATTCCCGCTCCTCAACACCCCCTCCCTCCTTCAGTATCCGAGCCTTTCGGGTTGACTTGGGAGCTTGCTTACAGCATAGAAGGGAGGGAAAGGGAGAGTTGGCATGTCGCCTCTGTCTCGACTCTTGACAGAGACCTCCCTCCGGCTGATATGCATCCTGTGAGTTCGCGTGTGCGCGTTGCCGCAAGAGGTAGGTGGCGAGAACGGGACTCACGGCAGCTCTTACATCGAACATGTGCGGTGCCAGTTGACAGGATACAGAGCGCGACTTCGGGCAGCTCAGCTCACGGACCGTGCAATCTAACAGGCCTTGTTACCCCGGGCCGGCATCGAGCACTCACAGCCGGTTATTATCAGTATTGATATTATTTGGTATCAATACATACATGCCTCTCAACCCGCACCTCACACGCACGCACAGCGGCACTCGCGCACTGAGAACTGAGCGGAGAAGGATGCCCACCAACTGATCCGGGAAGCCAATCGAAAGCTGTTCCTTCCCTATTATTCGATTGCATGTATTCATTTACTCGAGTGCATGCACGGATCCCGTACGCTTTCCCTCAAGTTTCAAACCGCCCAGTCTGTGCCCGTGAAACCTGGTTTTTGCTGCCCCGGGAATGCGGCGTCATAAGACGGTATTAAGCGGCTTGGCAACAGGCACTATGTGCCGGCAAATCCGATCACTTCCCACTTTTCTACTCGGGACTTGACCAACCTCTGCTGTGATCTACTCATCCGATGCGACTAGGCGACAAGGGCAATGGCGGGGCCACCAACCATGAAGACTACGTTGAATGTTCTGGTCATCACCAAACTGGAGCGGGAGGGCACCTGTCATCACGACATTGTCTACCACGCATGTAATCTAACACCGGGGTCCTTTTTTGAGGTAAATTTCTGCTGCATCGAAGATGGTAGAATTCTTTTATATTTTAAATAATTTTTTTTAAAAAAAATCGAAAAAAAAATATGTTTTTGCTCTTCCTGTGCTTTAGTATCTCAAGTTCCCTGATCGTATAAGTAATTGCAGCTCTCGCTCCAGGTTTCCGTCACATCAACTACAGATGAACTGCTTCCTGCTCTTTCTACGAGTGCTGACTCATACGTGCCGTTCGGACTCGGCAAACAAGGAAAGAGAAGTAGAAGAAACAAGCGAGGATCTTGTCTTACCATGGGTTGGGTCACGGATCTCGCGGTCGACTTGGGCCGTGTCCAGCGCTATGGCCTGGCTTTCTTCGTGCTCATGGCCATCCTCGCCGTGGCGTACCGTGTCTTCTTCACTGTCCGGTACTCGCCTGACCTGCCTCGAGTTGGGGCTGATGCTGGTATATCATGGAAGGAAATGAGAAACAAGTTTCACACCGACTGCCTGTCCGTCTTTGAAGATATTTACGAGAATGTAGGTTACCTCTCTCTCTCTCTCTCCTCTCCTCTCTCTCTCTCTCCTCTCCTCTGTTTCAACCTTTGCTGCCTTGCCTTGCCCCTGTCCTTGCTTCCTGTTTCTTCTTCCATCTCTTCCCTGTTCCTTACCTTCTATTTCCCCTTGCCGTACCCGTCTTCCCATCTGACCGTTCACGCCTGCATAGTACTCCAAGAAGGGAAAGGCAGTGTTGATGCCCGTGTTTGGCCCTCACGATGAAGTCATCCTACCGCCCTCGGCATTGGCCTGGCTCTGTAAGCAGCCGGACCACGTCATGAGCTCCCTCGAAGCCCAGGTCGATTCGATCCAGCTCCACCATAGCCTGGGGAACAAGTTTGCCTACGACCCTTGGGGTGGCATGCTGATAAAGTCGGATCTCAACAGTGCCATCGAGACTGTCTGTGCTGTCTTGAACGACGAGCTCCGTGCCGCCTTCAGCTCATGCTTTGGCGAAGACACGGAGAACTGGAATGAGCTTGACCTCTTCCCCGCCTGCCGCGTCATCGGCGGTCGCGCGACCCTGCGCTTCACCCTCGGAGACTCGACCGAGGGACGTCGTCTCTGTGAGTGTGCATTCACTCCGTTTGCGTGTGTCACCTGTACCTCTAAAGCTGACCGGGCGTTCCGCATCAGGCGCCGATAAGGGATTCGTCGACTGCTGCTACGATGTCCTGGATGGTATGCTCGACACTGCCGGAACAATGGCCGCCTCCCGCAAGATTGTCAAGCGTTTCCTCGGCCCCTGGGTAAGCAGGGCTATGCCGGCCAAGCTTCGAGACCTCGCAAAGCGCATCGAGCCTCTGCACCGCGAAAGGCTCCAGATCATCAAGGACCAGGGCGAGGGCAAGGACTGCGAGGTCCCTCAGGACCTGTTCCAGATGATGATGCAGTATGCCGCCAGGGAGCGCCCGAACGAGCTGAACAACGTCAACGATATTGCCGGACGTATTGCTGTGTCCAACTTCGGCACCATGCATCAGACCATAATCACCCTGCACAACCTCTTCCTCAACATCATCGACTCGAACGGCGAGTTTGACACCCTCAACGTCCTCCGCCAGGAGGTGGTCGAGGTTCTCGGCTTGGACGAAGGCGGTGATACCACCACCAAGAGATGGACCAAGGCAAAGGTATCTGCCATGGTAAAGGCCGACAGTGTGGGCCGTGAGACCCTCCGTGTAAACTCCTTCATCGGCCGTACTGTCCAGCGCCTTGTCATTGCTCCTCAGGGGATCGTGACGGAGGATGGCATTCACCTAGCCAACGGAACGATGGTGTCCATCCTGGCGCACCAGGTCCAGACCGACGAAGAAAAGTTTGAGAAGCCGCTCAAGTTCGACCCGTACCGCTTCTCGCGCATCCGCGAGGCTGCCTCGGAAGCCGGAAAGGGTGGGTTGAACAACCTGAGCATGGTGTCGACCTCGTCCGAGTATCTGCCTTTCAGTCACGGAAAGCACGCGTGCCCGGGCCGTTTCCTGGTCGACTTTGAGCTCAAGATGATTATGGCCTACGCTGTCATGAACTACGAGATGGAGTTCCCCAAGGAATACGAGGGCAAGAGGCCACCCAACACGTGGTTTGCCGGATTCGGCATTCCGCCGTTGGAGGTGAAGATTAGGGTCAAGAGGAGAAGAGCAAACTAGCTAGTGTCTAGCGAGCGCTCTAGGGGGTCCAATCCGCCCCATAATCAATGTACATATTTGGAAGCTGGCATCTCATCGTTGGCCGCCGACTGATGACGAAGGTGCAGCCGAAGGAGCAGCCGAAGGAGGGAGAGGGAGAGAGAGAGAGTGAGAGAGAGAGAGAGGGAAATAAAAATAAGAATAAAGCACGGCAAGAACAGTACATCAATGCGCCGGGTACGCTCTCCAAATTGTGGGCATGGTGGCCCGGCGGGAGGAGCCGAAGATGTATGCGGCGCGATGCAAGAATTGCCAAATCAAGGAGAACACTGTGTCTAGTTTCGGGATACGACTCTCGATTAAGAGAGCGTCGCGTGAGGTTTCGGATTAAAACGCTCGATCGAGGAGGGCTCGGAATGCGAGCCTGGCCAAGGCCGTCTCCTCGGCTGCCTAGACCGTGAGATCTCTTCATCCTCATATGAAGGCCATGAGCTATTACTACGACGAGGGCTATAGCATTGATCCGACCAACGAGTGGAGGGCGGAATCCGTGGCAAAAACAGGGCCAACGAAAAAGTCTGAATCTCCTGTCATGAGGCCAATAATACATGCACGAGTAATAATAATCGCGAAGGAGGGAAACGAGTTTTGCAATCATGATTATTATTAGAAGAAGAAACATGTGGCATACGAGTACGACCGTGGAAGGGAAGGGAGGGGAGGGGAGGGAGGMGGGGGGGGGGGGGGGGGGGGGGGTGTATAGATGAGCCTGACCAACCGGAAAAAGGCGCAGGTCGAGAAGTCAAGAGCATCGATTACCTAGAAGAAAAATCCTTCATTCGAGTTTCCCTGATTGGTACGGAGTATTCTGCTCTACGAGTTCTCGAATCCGTACAGGAGATGGTGGTGATGATGGTAGTGGTGATGGTGGGCGGCTGTTGGCGGGATCCTCCGTGGTTCCGATATTACCGACGCCATGCCGGACGAGTGAATCACATGCAACCTATACTATGGGCATCTTCATCGAAGCGTCTATCTCGACCCAGCATCGGTTCAACAGAGCGGCAGGTATCATGGAACGAAGTACGGATAAAATAACGAGTGTCGAGTGGGACACGCGTCGTGCCGCGAGCGAAGCCGCCAAGAGAAATACGAAGACACCACAACCAAGATGAGAAGAAAAAGCCCTAGGTGTGTGACTAGAAAAGGAAAGAAGAAAAACGATATAGGTAGTCGCTTCCGTTGCACACAGTCCGTTGCATAACCGAAGGGCAGAAAAAAAATTCGACGGTGGGTGCTCCATAACAGTATCAATCCACCGTTGTAGGTGGTGAGTGTGGAACGATCTGATAAGATCATCAATAACTACTAGTTCCGGATTGAGTAGCCTAGTGCGGCCCTTTTGGCCGAGCCGACCATTCTTCTTCACTCCCGCCACACACACTCGGAAGTTCGGCACGCCTAGTGTCCCACCCCTGTTGGCTTGGCCACCATTACAGGAAACTGAACGACCTCTGTACGAGTTGCACCGTGGACCGTACCTCTCAACCGACCGACCTAGCAGGTGTTTCCGTCTACCTTCCAAGGCCCTTGCTGCTAGGCCCGCTTTCTCGGCCCTGGCTCCTTGGCTCGGCCCTGTAGGCCTGGCGAGAGAGGGAGAAGAAGAAAAAAGACTCGCATCTGCAACGACAGGTGGTATCATTATGGTTATATATCCCTACGCGATTCCTCCTGCCCCCCCCCCTTCTCTCTCGGTCTGGTTGTGGACGCGAACAGAGAGATTCATCATCTTTTGAGTAACATCACTCTCAGTCAGAACTACTTCCCCGCCCCCTGAAGTTCTTCACCAACTTTCAGATAAACTCTCAAGATGAAGTTCCGTGGAGGCTGGCTCGGTACCAAGACCGCCGCCGAGCGCGACGGTGCTGCCGTCACCTCCGGCATCGATGCCACGACCCAGCCTGTCGCCGCTGCCGAGGGCGGCGTCGTCACGTACGGCGACGAGAAGTCACCGAGCGGTCACCCCAAGACCGGGGAGCACGCCAGTGACAGCGATGCCGAGAGCGAGAGGTCGCTCCAGTACGGTGTCCAGGTCGCCGAGGCCACCCTCCAGGTCTGGTCGCGCAACCACCTGATTGCGGCCTACATACTGTAAGAGACATGATCGAGAGCTGAAGAGCACACACCGAGGGTGTAGAGCCATCGTGGACGCTAATTCTCTCGCCTCTCCCGCATGCAGCATCTGGTGCGTCAACTTCATCCAGGCCTTCACCTCGGGTGTCAGCAGCACTCTGGCCGTCTACGTCACCAGCTCCTTCGCCGCGCACTCCCTCACCGCCACCACGAGCATCGTCTCCAGCCTGCTCGCCGGCCTCATCAAGCTTCCCTACGCCAAGGTCCTCGACATCTTCGGCCGCCCCATCGGCTTCTTATTCTCCTTCTCGTGCCTGACCCTCGGACTCATCATGATGGCCGCCTGCAAGAACGTCTACACCTACGCCGCCGCTCAGTGCTTCTACTCGGTCGGATACAACTGCATCGACTTCACCATCACCATCTTCATCGCCGACACCTCCAAGCTCAGGAACCGAGCCTGGTGGATTGCCTACTCCAGCAGCCCCTGGCTCATCACCACCTGGGTGTACGGCCCGGCCTGCGACAGCATGCTGAAGGGTATGGGCTGGCGCTGGGGCCTGGGTATCTGGGCCATCATCTTCCCCGTCGTGTGCGCCCCCCTCTGGGTTCTCCTGTACTGGAACCAGCGCAAGGCTGAGAAGGCCGGTCTGGTCCACGTGCCCGCCCACGGCCGCGGCATCCTCGCCAACGTCTACTACTACCTGGTCGAGTTTGACGTCGTCGGCATCCTCCTCCTCGCTGCCGGTCTCGCCCTGTTCCTCCTGTCCTTCAGCATCGAGCCCAACATGGGCCACGGGTGGGACTCCCCCATCATCATCTGCTTCCTCGTCTTCGGCCCGCTCCTCGTCGTCGCCTTCGTCCTCTGGGAGCTCTACGCCGCGCCCGTCACCTTCTTCCCGTGGTACCTCCTCAAGAACCGCACGATCCTGTTCACCTACACCATGGTCGGCTCCCTCTACATGCCGTGGTACATCTGGGACTCGTACTTCTACAGTCTGAACATCGTCGTCTTCAACCAGAGCGTCACCAACGCCACCTACATCAACAACATCTACACCATCGGCTCCACCGTCTGTGCTCTCATGATGGGCATCGTCCTCCGCTACTACGGCCGCCTCAAGTGGCTCGCCGTCTTCTTCGGTGTCCCCCTTACCATCCTCGGTGTCTCCCTGATGATCCACTTCCGTCACCCCAACATGGAAGTCAGCTACATCGTCATGTGCCAGATCTTCGTCGCCTTTGGCGGTGGCTGCCTCGTCATCTGTGAGCAGATGACCGTCATGGCCGTCTCCAAGCACCAGGGAATTACTGCCGGTCTCGCCGTCGAGGGTCTCGTCGCCAGCGTTGCCGGCTCCATCGGATCTGCCATCGCCGGTGCCATGTGGCAGAACCTGTTCCCCAAGTATCTCCTCCAGAATCTTCCCCAGTCCTCCCAGGCCGACTTCGCCACCATCTACGGAGATATCACCGTCCAGTCCTCGTACCCTGTCGGCAGCCCCACCAGGGATGCCATCAACAAGAGTTACGGACAGGCCCAGAAGCTTATGCTCATCACCGCCACCTGCCTCTATTCCATCACCTGGGGTAGCACCCTGATGTGGGAGGACATCGACGTCAAGAGCATGAAGCCGCGCGCTGGCTTGGTCATGATGTAAGATGCCACCGTATCTTTCAGAGTATACCAATAAGTCAACTTCCGTCAAATGACGTCCGTTCCAAATCGACAACAAGCCCCCCCCCCCCAACTATAGAGATATCCCTTTGGGGCCAACACTTTCACTACCTAATATATCAAACCTGTACATCACCTTTCAAGAACCCCGCAGTCACATCTGGTCCCCGTGAGATGGATCCCATGCTTTGCCCGAGACTTTCCCACACCATGACGCTAGGAAGGATGCTAGGGAGCCTCAAGCTGTATACCTCTGCAGTCTCTGCAATCTCCTTTTCGCAGGCTTAGGTCCTCAGGTCCTTATTGTGACCTTAGAGCCATGGCGCAGAGGCCATCTCGGCGGATTACCTTAGCACCGAACCGCAAGATCGCATGTGTGCAGCAGGCGGAGTCCATGACAACCCGGGGCGTACGACTTCAACACTGCAGCAGTTTGGACCAAGTGGCTTTCCGCGGTCATCTCCGTCTTGCTGCATGGTACATTCCAGCCGCTGGTCTCAACACCACGCAATGGAGTCCGAAGCATCTGAAGCGTTGGAGGTGGTCTTTCAGCATCATCCACAAACGGATGATGGTGCGCGTGGGGCAGGATCTCCCCGGAAGGAGGCCGGAGATCTGTGATCGGTCTTTTCGAAGGCGGGCCCGGGTTTATTCTGCGGGCCATTTTCCTTAAGTGTTCAGAGATCGTAGGGGGAGTGCTTTTTAGTTCGATGCGACACCCTAGTATGCTAAATATATATATATGTACATGCACGTATAAAAGTATGCCATCCCGGACGCATAGTATCATGCCAATGTCATCATATTGGCTGGTTGGCTGTATCCAATATGCCGAGCACCCAAGACAAGTGCCTCGCTACTATCCTGTACCCCCCTCTCGAGGCTGAATATTCACAGCAGCGATGTTAACTCTGAGAAATCCAAGACGTCCATCCCCGTGAGGCCCATGATGAGATTTTGGTCGTCGCCATTCATGAGCGAAGTGAAAGTCTCGTCGGCCGCTGTATACATTTCCGAGTCATCTAGCCCGTTACTGGGACGAAGTAAAGGGTCTGTCAATGTCGGTGATACGTCATGCAGCAGATCTATTCCTTCTCTCTCATTCCAGCCAACTCCGTCTTTGCCAACTCCGTTCTTGAATACCGGTAACGACTTCGGCAGAGCTCTGTGGCCTTCCGGGGTACCGATATGCTCTCGGGCACCTCCGGAATTCTGCTTGAGCGAAGCACTTGTACCGCTTCCTGCTGACGTCTTCGTCGTGGAAAGCCACTGTGACCATCGCGCATACTCGGCGGCCGTGGCAGACGGCATTGATGCCCTGGACACGCGGGCCCGTACATTTTCCACTGCCTCGTTGGTGATGGATCGCAGCGCTTCGACGAACCGGACGCCAACCATGGCCGTCATGTTCCCCGCGGCCATGTTCCTGAGACAGCCAAGGCCAAAGTCGACCCTAGCATCGTAGTCTGAGTCCCTGTCGAGGACACCAGCCAGCAGCGTAACGATGGTCGCGATGCTGCACCCCTGGAAGTCGGTAAAGGAGAAGCCCGTGGTGCATGTATTTCTAGTTCTCGTGATCGTCTTGAATAGCCGGATGATCTCGCCGGCGGCGTCGATGCACTGCGCAGATAATTTCTGCATGATCGGGTCGATCGGAGGGACCGTCTCGCCCTCGCCGGATGTACCCAGGTGTCGGCGTAGGTGGTTGCGGACAACGGTGACGACTGACATTTTCCCCATGACGATCCACGCATAGTAGTAGTTCATGTGTAGGTGGAAGACAACGCGGTAAGTCGAGGCCCGTGGGTCAATCCTGTCCAGCTCGAAGTCGGGCGGCAGTGACTTCTTCCAATTCTCGAGATCTGTTTCCATGCGCCTCACATAATCTGCATTATGTGGTCCTCGTGGGCCACTGGTAGTTGGGTGTGCAGTTAGTCAGATCTGACTGCTGTCCCTCCGAATGAGATAAAAAGTCGATGAGTTGAGTGGCATACCCAACATCAGCTACGCAGTCTAATATCTTTACTAAACGTATGAACGCTCGCTGATGTACAATATTGTTGAAAGATGCCCCGTCGTCCATATCAGACAGGGGAGATGGCAAAGGCTGCACGACATTTTCGATACCGATAGCTCTTGGGCGGTTGAGCTTTATAGATGTGATTCTGGAGGCATATGTCAACGAAGGAGGATCCAAGCTCTTTCTGTGTGGCAGACAAGTAGAACCATACCTCTCCAAAGAATAGACAGACCACCAGACTCGCCGTCGAACTTCACGCTCCCTCTCATCGATAATGGCTTCATCAGTGCTTTGGTGTAGGTCGAATGCCAGCGCTTTGCGCAGCGCAAGCCCCAGGTAAACATATGATGACCCGACGGCACTCGCAGGCATGAGGTAAACCCCGACGATGAAGGGCACTTGCACTGACCTCAGGCAGGGCATCTCGATCAGATCGGGCATGAGCGTCTTGACATGACTGTAGAACATCCAGCCGGGATCACGCTCGTCCACACTGAATGTCGCATCCGAAGCCGCACCCTCCGGCCTCTCCAGAATCGTCCACTGGCTGCCCAGAGCGAAGACGGCGAGGGCCAGGCCCACGAAGCTGCAATCAGAGCGCAGTTCCGAATTCGCATCAGTGTAGAACTCGTCAATGTCGGAGATGAACTGCGACTGGTCAAAGTAGAAGAAGTTGTCGGTGCCGTGTCTGATGCAGACCGAGATGAGAAAGTCGGCAATAGGACGTGGTGGAAAGGCTTCGATGGCTCTGCGTAGACGTCGCAGCTCGACGGGCTGGAGAGAGCGCAGACCGGTGATTCGCTTTCACATTTCGTGTTAAATTCCTCCAACATTGCAGACTCGATGAGTTGTAAAAGGTTGGAGAGCCGAGACTTACGGCCTGCATGGCCATCATGTCGTGTGCTTCAGGTGTCGTCGTCTGGAGATCCAGGAAGAAGGCCTCTCGGAGCCGTGAGAGGAAGCGTGGCCACAGTATCCTATCTGTCTGTTCTACAACCATTGATTGTATCCGTGCTTCTTAGCATCGTGAGATCAATCAAGAAAGGATGGAGGAAATGGACAGGGGCTGTCCCTACGGCTTTCGATGGAGATACTATCAGGCAAAGTCGACGCTGGATTCACCATGGTCATAGTATTCGGCGTGCTGTGAGCCTGGTTGTCCTCGATGCTCAGCTCCCGGTCGAATCTACACGGTATGTTATTCGACACGCATCTCTGACAGCGTCCCGGTATAGTCTCTATACACCGAGACTTGCGAGCTTTGCAGCAGTCACATCTGCCGGTCCCATATAAATGCAGTCAGCGATTGCATGGACGCGATGAAGGCGATACACCGATTCCGATCGTCAAAGCACTCACGCTCGGGCTGCACGCTTCCTCTTATCATCAGCCACGCGCCGGCGGCGACGTCGGCGCGAAGGCGCAGATGAAGATCCGTCCATAGTATCGATAGTTGGAATGAAGGTTTCAGGAGTTACTGAATGAGTTGTAGACGCCAGATTTCGAAGACAAAAGAAGTATCTCGGACAATGATAGCAGATAAAGTGGCACGATGGAGAATATAATATGTGACCCACTTGGTCTGATAGCAGAAGACCGTTATCGGCAGACGATTACTTGTATTACGAAGGTCCGACGTAGTCTACGCTACTCTTTTCCTTCTTGAAATGCCATGGCTGATCGATCTCAGACTTCTGTTGAGATTTCCGGGCCTGTCAGGAAGGCAACACGGTTGAGATCTTCCTACATTGATATATTCAACAATGGTTTCACAGCAGTAATCCCAAGCCCTATTCCGATGAATGCCGACGTCAAGTGTATATATATATATATGTATTACCCTGCTGTTTCACCGTGCAGCACGACCTACGCCCATGCAATATATAAGAACATTTCATGATGATGAGTGTCTATGTACTCGACCTTCCAGTTACTCGGCGCAGGTTTTACGCTGTTCCCTAGATTCGCACAGGGGCTGGCGCATCCTCACTTACACCATCCCACCTGCTCTTATACACTTTGCCTTCCTTCATCACGGCCAGTAGGTTCGCCTCTGGCTGATCAAGGATCGAGACATTCGAGAGTGGGTTCTTTTCTAGGAAAAGAATGTCAGCAATGAATCCCTCCTTGATCTGACCTAGCGACTCCGCCCTTCCCATCATCCTTGCTGGGTTGAGAGTGGCACTCTGGAGCACCTCCGTAGACGAGAGGATCTGCGAGCGAATAGTGAATTCATGAGTCTGGGCCGATCCCATGGGACCGAGGAGGTCACTCCCGTAGCACAAGGTGACACCGGCATTGCACGCAATCTCTATGGCCTCCAGACCAGCCCTGAACACGGCCGTGTTCTTGGTCTGGGACTCGGGAGGCAGGTATCCCTTCCACTGCTCCGATGCCATCTGGTCGTAGGTGACTAGAGTCGGCGTCATGTAGATGCCCTTCTCAGCCATGAGCTTTGCGGTGGGCTCGTCGATAAAGTTGCCGTGCTCGATGCCGCGCACACCGTTGTCTATGCAGTGACGGATAGCCTTGGGCGTGTATGCGTGGGCCGTGACATACGTGCCCGCATTTTCGGCACACTCCACCATGGCCTGGATCTCGGATCTGGTGAACTGGAGATGATCGATCGCGTCGGTGGGCGTCGACACCCCGCCTGAGCCCATGATCTTTACAAAGTCTGCGCCGGAGCGGATCTCTTCGCGCACGGCCAGGATGCACTCGGGGACACCGTTGCATACGCGGCCGAGACCGTTGGTGTGTCCACCGCAACACTCGAGGTCGTCGTCGTGGCTGCCTCGGATGTCACCGTGGCCACCAGCCTGGGAGATGGCGTGGCCCGATATGAAGAGGCGTGGGCCGGGAAATACCCCGTCGGCAATGGCCTCCTTGAGGGCCAGCTGCGCTCCCCCGCAGTCGCGCACACTGGTAAAGCCTCGGTAGAGCATCTGTGCTGCCACATAAGGCTGTCGTAGAAGCGACACGTCGCGGTGGTTTCCAAACGCCTTTGAGAGATCCTTGAAGCCCGGCACGGCGCAGAAGTGCACGTGTGCGTCGAACAAGCCGGGGCAGAGGTATTTTCCCCGACAGTCGATGACGGAGTAGTCAGGGAAGGCGTCCTCCTGTGCTGGCGAAGTCATGACCGATTCAATAGTGTCACCCTTGATGGCCACGCTTGCATTGGGTATAATAGTCCCCGACTTCACGTCGACGACATTGGCGTTGACCAGAAGACGATTGGGCGCCAGGCCTTGGAACCATGGCTTGATGTCGGACTCCGAAACCATGATTATACTAGTGACGGTGTTGATGAAGAGAGAAAGAGAAGAAGCTGATGCCAAGATCCGACTGAGAGGCTAGTTTCATCACCGGGCTTATCCATGATCTTGTACGAGACCTTTATCGTTGCCGCGATGCTCGTTTGCAGGTGTCATTTCCCGCATCCTATCAGCGACAGCCTCCTGACTTACACAGGCGTCGGCAATCAGGCCCCTGCAAGTGGCAGATTGCCGACCGTCAGCATCGGATCTCTGCCACTTGGCGTCGGCATCATGGTGTTGACCCGTGCGGGTCCCACTGCGATATCAGGGCGGGCACATGGAAACCGGGTCTTTTTTATCTCGTATCACCTCTTCCCTGTACGGTGTGCGTCGTCGCATGACATTCTAGTGGCTAATTGGTATCTGGAGAAGTCGATTGTATAGCATCGGTCGCATGTACTTAAGCATGTCTCGACCCGCTCAGCCTGTGCATGGTTGAGGTGTTCCGCCACGGATGCTTTCTGCATGCAACTGTATCCCCCCCTTCTTACTACTGAAGATGGCGTCAACTGTGGAATCCAAGAAAGATCCGTCTGTGGACAACATGGCACGAGACAAGGAGGAGCTAGCCGTCACCATCGACAACCAGGCCTCATATACGCCCGAGGAAGAGAAAGCCGTCCTACGTAAGATTGACCTCGTGGTCCTGCCCTTCGTAAGTCTACGTCTACGCGCAGGACTGCGGTGCTTGTCAGTCACTGACTCAGTTGAACCTTTGGACAGATGTGCTTCGTTTTCATGCTGCAGTACCTCGACAAGCAGAGCCTCAGCTACGCAGGTGTCTTTGGTCTGATCGAGGACCTCAACCTCACCAGCTCCCAGTATTCCTGGTGCAGCTCCATCTTCTACATTGGGCAGCTCGTCTCCGAGTACCCTTTTATTTACCTCATGAGCCGGCTTCCTCTGACTAAATTTGTCGGCGGGACTATGTACGGTCGCCCCCACCCACCCACCCAACCTGCCTGAATCCCTCGATGCGGTATGAAGAGAGAAGATTGGTTTGCTGATCTACATGTACGTGCACACGAAACAGTATTGTCTGGGGTGCAGTTTGCATGTGCCTCGCCGCGCCGAATAACTATGCGGGGTTCGCCGCCGTGCGCTTCCTGCTGGGATTCTCCGAGGGTGCCGTGTCGCCGGCGTTCGTGACCATAACGTCCATCTGGTGGCGCAAAGACGAGCACACGCTCCGCACGGCCCTCTGGGTCACCATGAACGGTGTCGCCCAGGTTCTCGGCTGCCTTCTCATGTACGGCATCGGGCGCAATTCGTCCCTGAGCATCGCGCCCTGGCGCGTCATGTTCCTCGTCTGCGGGGCGCTGACGACGGTGTCGGGAGTGGCATTCTTCATCCTCATGCCGCACGGCCCCAAGGACGCGTGGTTCCTGAACGAGAGGCAGAAGCAGGTCCTGGCGGCGAGGATGGCCCAGGATAGGGAGGGCGGTGACAAGACCTCCTTCTCCGCGGTGCAGCTCAAGGAGGCCATGCTCGACCCCAAGGCGTGGCTGGTCTTCTGGTTCGGCGTCCTGGTGACCATGCAGTCGCCTGTGCTGACGTTTGCGTCCCTCATGATCAAGTCCATCGGCTACGACGAGTTTGACACGATGCTGTACACGGCGCCGTCCGGGGCTGTGCAGGTCTTGATGCTGTGGATCGGCGTGGCCTTTTGCCAGATATTCCCCAAGAACAGGTCCTTGGTGGCCGTCGGTCTCATCATCCCCCCCATAGTGGGCAACGTGTTGCTCATAAGACTGTCCTTGGACCAGAGATGGGGCATCATCGCTTCTGCATGGCTTGTAAGAGCGAACCCGGCGTCGAGGACGAGGCACCTTGGCATGGGTGCATGTGCTGACCTGTGTCCTGTCTAGGCTTCGTGCATAACGTCCATCATGACAATCTTACTCTCGCTATCTGCGTCGAATGTAAAAGGCAACACAAAACGTTCGATTGTAAACACCATGTTCTTCATCGGTTACTGCGCAGGGTGTATTGGTTCGCCGCAACTGTGGACCAATAGCCCGCGATACAAGGAGGGCGTCATTACCGCCTTGGTGACATGGGCTCTTCTCTTCATCTGCATCATTGTTTACCGCTATCTATGCGTGTACGAAAATAAGAAGAGGGACGGTGAAGTCTCTAATTCCGATGTTGATGTATCGCAGATTGTCGTGCTGGATAAGAATGGTCAGCCAAAGTCAGATCTAACGGACAAGGAGGATCACATGTTTAGATATAGTTGGTAGATCTGGGGGGCAAGAGATCTTCACAGCATGCTTCTTCTTCTTCTTGTCTCGTTCCAAAGCAGGCTGTTCTTTCCAACTCCAAATCCCTCGATGTATGATCATGTACATTTGAAGTTGCTCAACTCCAGTCCAACGGGATCCGGGACCCTCATTGTATTCGATCATGGCCCAATTAATTAATGTGTGAGCGCCACAATCCCTATGACCATGACCATCCCCACTGGTTCAATGCGCACAGAGGATTTTTTTTTTTTTTAGAATTTTTGCTAGAATTTTTTTCTGCGCCTGCTCCTCAAAAGTGGCCTAGCGTGAGGGGAGGTTCGTGATCCCATAATATGCCATGACCCATAATCTGTGGTATTACGGAGTAGCAAGGTACATAATATTAATTAGTATCAAACAACCTTACTAACTCTCTTCACCTTTAATTCTCCTGCGTCAACCTGGGGTAAGGATGAAGTGATTGTCTTCCTCTCTCTCCCTCACTCTCTCTCTTTTCTCTCTTTCTCTCCCCATCCCTCTCCCCATCTCTACACAAATAGTTCACATCTCTTGCCCCCTCTACCGTCGTATCATGACCTTGACTGTTCTCTCGGACCATCAGGTCCAATCCATTCTCGAAGGCTTGACAGCCGACCGGCTCATCGACTTCAGTTCTGTCTTGTCGGCAGCGCTCCACCAGTACTCGACCAACTCGCAGCCTGGTCCCGACGGTCCTTATCAGCAGCCTCGTCGCATCAAGACCTTTCATCATGCCACTCAGGCCACCAGTCTCTACATGCCTTCATGCGGGCCCGAAGGCATGGGATGCAAGAGTAGGTGATTGCCATTATTCAATCTTTTTTCCATCCCCCCTTCCACCCGATCGTCTTCCTTTCATGAGAAGGAGAGAAAGAAGAGCGGGACAACAGACGAGAAAAAGATTAGAAGACACTAAAATCGAATGAATCCTCATCAGCTATAAGCTTCTCCATAGGCTGTGAAGACGCCCAGGACTCAAATGAAGGCAGCAAGGCGATTGCGCCGGTGGGAGTCCTCAACCTCTTCTCACCGGCGGGCGAACCCGTAGGGCTGATCCACGCCAAGACTCTGACGGCGTTCCGCACGGCCTTGGCGTCGCTGTGTCTCGTCATGCGGCGGCGGAAGTTTGAGCGCATCCTCGTCTTCGGGGCGGGCACGCAGGCTTACTGGCACCTGCGGCTGGCGCTCATGGTGCGCGGCACGTCGGTCCGGAAGGTGTACGTGTCGAACCGCAACTTCACGGGGGCGGCCTCGCTGCTCCGGCGGCTGGCCGCGCTGCCTGATGAGGTCAAGCAGCGCGAGGGCTGGTCGGGCACCGAGTTCGCCGTCATCACGCCCTCCTTCCATGACTTTGAGCGCCTCCTGAATGACTACGTCTTCAACGCCGACATCATTTACTGCTGCACCCCGTCGCGTGAGCAGCTCTTTGACGGCGGCGTCCTCACGTCGCACGACGGCCGCCGCAAGGGCCGCCTGATCATCGCCGTCGGCAGTCTCACCCCGGATATGAGAGAGCTGCCGCACGGCCTACTCGTCCAGGCCACAAAGAAGCATGACTCGGCCACCCGCCGCCACTTCCACAAGCATGCCGACCACGGGGGCGTCGTCATCGTCGACTCGCTAGATGGCGCACTCCACGAGGCTGGTGAGATTGTCGCGGCTAATATCCAGCCTACCCAGCTTGTCGAGTATGTTGATTACCCTTTTTTTTTTGGTCTTTATACACACACACACACACACACACACACACACATGTATATATATATATATATATATATATATATATGTATGTATGTATCTTATATCTTATGTGTATCCTATTTCTGACAATGATCATCATCAAATGACAGGCTTGGAGAACTCGTCATGCTACGTCAAATTGACAATCAGGAGTCCGAGTCCGAGACTGAGAGCACACCTGCTACTCCCCGTACCCAGAGCGATACACCCGATGAGATGCCGGCCACGTCGTTGTCGTCACCTGCATCGTCGAGGCCGCCGAGCCCTTCGAGGGGGAAGCATGATTCCAGGACATCCAGCAGCACCTCTCTCGGCCGTCTCCCCTTCCGCAAGTCCGCAAGCAGTAGCACCATTCCGTCTCACAAGAGCCACCAGCACGGCCACGCTGCCAAGGACGAGACCGCGCTGAGTCGGTGGCTGCGGGACGGTACAGTCATCTACAAGAGCGTGGGGCTAGGCATGATGGACCTGGTCGTCGGGAACGAACTGATGAAGTTGGCTGAAGAGAGGGATATTGGCACCCGTATTCCCGACTTTTAGATTCGGAAAGAAGTCAGACGTGTCCGTTCTTTCTGTTTGTTTGTTCATTTCTTACTTTCTGTCGTGAACTCACGTCTTGAAAGATTTCATTTCTCAAACCGTCACCGATATTATGACGCATATGACCAATTGTGTGCATATGCCTTCCTTTTTTATTACCAGATATTAACGGAACCTATTTTGTCCCCCGACTGAAAACACCCAAAGCGCCATATTCAACTCATCCCACCTGGTCCAGGCAAGAGATCCTGCCAGTACATGCGGTTCGAAGTTACGCCATAGCACTAGAATCCCAACCAGGCACATTTCATGTTTCCGTCATAACCCCTCTCAGAAACAAGACCCCTCTTAGCACAGGAACGGCTCTGTGACTCGGACATCCATCTCTCCTCGCCGGCCGACTTGATCGTGGATGAACTGATTGAAAGAGTTACCAACGATGGATCGGCCACGACCGCCGAGCTCCCAGAGTGTGTCCTAGAAAGCAAGGTAGCCAGTCTAGCGACGATAGTGATCGTGGTCGTGGTCGTGGTCATGGTCATGATCGTGATCGTGATCATGGTCATGGTCGTCGTCAGAATCGGAGTCATCACAGTCGGAGTCGGAGTCCGAATCATGGTGATCGTGGCCGTGGTCATAACCAGCGGGGGCGGGTGTACCACGATCGTTGAGCTTGTGGAGATCGAGGTCGTCCCAAACAAAATCGTCCGGGAGGCCGGCCTCGCGACGATCGTGGTCATGATCATGACCGTGGTCATGGTCATGGTCGTGATCGTGGTCATGATCGTGGTCATGGTCGTGGTCGTGGTCGTGGTCGTGGTCATGATCGTGGTTGTGGCCGAAGTCAATATCGATGCCGCGAGCACCAACGTCGCCGTGAGGCACCTTAGGGAAGGGGATCTTTGGCAAATCGACCTCAGGGACGGCAGGGACGTGGTGGGGGAGGCCTCGAGCCTCGTTTTCCTTCACGGCCGACACATCGACCGGGCTGGCACGGGCAATAGCCAGGATGGTAGCTAGGGTGAAGAAGGACTTCATGATGAAGGATTCGTGCAGATCTGAAGGGGGAGGGTGAGGGTGGTTTGTGTATGAATGTATATAGTTTATATGACTCTTGAGGATGCTTCTGAGATGTAGAGATGAGAGCCTACATGGAAGAAACATGGACTTCCGTCGACCTTCTTATACTTTTTTTCATTCCTTCTTCCTCCCTATCCCTCTCCGTCAATTCTGAGGTTTCTCGCGTCTCGTTCAGTGACGTCTTGTCTCTTGGTATCGTCAGCCGGCAAGAATTCGACACCAAACTGGATCGAAACCAAGGCTCCCCTCCCCCCTTCCGTCCCGTCTTCCTGTCATAATTTCCATCAGCCGTGTTTGACGTCGAACACCCAATTCTAGTAGTAGTGTAAATATTAGAATTAAGGTAATTGGTGGTGTGAAGGACACGGCTCTCGAGCCTTGAATTGAATGCAAGACACGGAATATTTCTCATTCTTCAGCACGTCATTCACACGCATGTAATCTGTAGACAAATTTCGTTTCATTTCATTTCTATTTTTTTTTTTGGAGGGGGGAGGGGGCCTTTCTATGTAAAAATAGAACCTTGACGGGCTTCTTCTCAAACTCCTAGCAATCAATGAATGCCTTCCACCGTCAAAGTCTGTTGACAAGACGGAATACCTGACAGCCATCAACATCCGCCATCAGAAAGTCTGTCTGCGTTCATCATCCATGGATCCCTATTGGCGAATACGCTTCGAAAAGATTCCATCAATGGAAATCGTCCCATATGACGGCAGAACGGCAAATCGGCAAGTCGACAAGGACGGCATGCTGGCCTCCCCGGAACGCATCTGTCTTGGAGAGCTAAGACAGTGTCAATCGTACGCAATCAGCAAGTTCCAGGACAGTCTGACATTCCTCCGCATTGCCCTCGTGTGTGTTTGCAGCTATATAGGCCGATGTATTACATTCATCAGCCTAGACGGTCCCTTGAGAGCAGCCCTTCGTCTCCAAGCCGAGGGCTGGCTCGCAACACAGTCGAGTCAAATCTGCGCAGTATGTACATTCCCCAATGTCCCGTTTACAGACATCCACGCATCCGGAAACGGAGAGCAGCCTCAGACTATGTGTACTGCATACAGCCTACAGCCCATAGTATACGGGCTAGAGGTTACAGGTAATGTGCTTTGTTGAAGGGCAGCCAACCTATGCGACGTAGCCTAAGTTGGGAAGCGTCACATATGAGATACCTCTCGGGGTTGAATACGTATACTGACAATACGTATGCTGACAGTGATACGATATTTCTGCAAAGTAGAGACAACGAATTCCCATGCCGATCATATACTTTGTACAATGTTTTTTTTAACTCATAAGCTATCTTGTGTGTGTGTGTGTGTGTGTGTGTGTGTGTTTGTATGTAACATCGTCCTTCCTTTTCTGCATCTTACTCAGCGACCCAGACAGCGCTCATACCCATTCCAGTACCAACACACATGGACGTGTTGCCAACCTTCTTCCCCGTACGCTTGAGCTCGTACAGCAGAGTAGACACCTGCCTGGCTCCAGTGCAGCCGAGGGGGTGACCGAAGGCGATAGCTCCCCCCTTGGGGTTGATCTTCTCCTGAGGGATGCCCAGCTCGTTGGCGCACCACAGGCACTGGCTGGCAAAGGCCTCGTTGATCTCGTAGATGTCCACGTCGTCCCTGGAGATTCCGGCCAGCTCGAGAGCGCGCGGGATGGCCTTCCAGGGGCCCTGGCCCATGAGCAGGGGCTTGACGCCCACCACCGACGCGCACACGTACTTGCCGATGATGGGCTGGCCAAGCTTCTCGGCCGTGTCGCGTCGCATGAGGAGCACGGCCGCGGCGCCGTCCGAGATCTGGCTGGCGTTGCCGGCATGGATGCTGCCGTCCTTGGCGAAAGCCGGGCGGATCTTGCCCAGCGCCTCGGCCGTCATGCCCGGGCGTACGCCGTCGTCCTTGTCGACGACTACCTCCTTGACCTCGCCCGTCTTGGGGTCCTCAAACTTGACCTTTAGCGGCGTGATCTCCTCCTTGAACAGGCCCTCCTTCTGCGCCTTCTCAGCCTTCTGGTACGACGACGCCGCAAACGCGTCCTGCGACTGCCTCGTGATCTTGAGGTCCTTGGCCATGTCCTCCGACAGCAGGCCCATGGGCACCTTGCAGCTGGCTGAGGCCGGGTGGCTCTCGAGGAGTTCGGAGAATTCACTGACAGCCGCAGGGCTGCAGTTTGGCATGTCAGCATCATCCCGTTCCTATCTAGGCAGTATGGAAGACATACCCATAGTTGTTGCTCATGCTCTCGACACCAGCACCGATACCGACGTCAATCATGCCCGTCTTGATCTGGTTGGCCACATCCACGCAGGCCTGGAGACCCGACGAGCACTGGCGATTGAGCGTCCGCACAGCCGCCGTCTCGGGGATGCCCGCCACCAGGCTGGCGGCGCGCATCTCGGTGGCGCCACCGCCGGGGGCGAGCACCGTTCCCACGCAGATGTCCTCGATCAGGGCCGGGTTGATCCCGGACCTCTCGATGACCGACTTGAGCACGCCGGCCACCAGGTCCGACGCCTGCGTATCCTTGAAGCCGCCCTTGCCGCCCTTGGTGAAGGCTGTCCGCGTGCAGGCCGTCACGACCACGTCATCCGGACGCTTCTCGAGGATCTTGTCGCGGCCGCCGGCCGTGGGGTTTCCGGAGACCTGGCCTCCTATCTGGGAGATTCTTTCGATGGCTGTTTTTTCCGTCAAGAAGAAGAGAGCATGGGCCGTTAGTAAGTTATGAAAGATCAACGGTCGTCTATGGAGGTGTTCGACTCACCACCCATGTTTGCGGGTCGTTTTCGATGAAGAAAGGGGGGAATATGAATTGTTTGTGTGTGTGTGTGTGTGTGTGTGTGTGTGTGTGTGTGTTGTGTATAAAGAAAGGGACGAAGTAGATGGGGAAGATGTAATCAGCAAGGTACAATGACGGGGTTCAAATAACAAGGACAAATGTTCAATGAGCCTCGGTCGGTTGTTGGAGTTAGGGGAACCTAGCTGCTCTGCCCTTGTCAGACTGGGGAGAGCCGCTGATGTCAACTGTGAGCTATGGCCTATTCGACCGAGGCATGTGCAGGGAGGGTTCTTGGCGCTGGCCCAGCTGTCGGTAGGCTATCAGCCTATTACCCGCCCGTATGGAGCGTATGGAGTGCAATCACATGCTGCCGGAGGGATGCTCTGGGGGAGATTACTCATTCGACAGTTCTTTTGAATTATGTAATGCCACAACGGCATGCACACCGGTCACAAGACTCAACATCTTTCATATGGTCATCGTAAAGAGTAAGATGTGGCAATCACTTTTCTCCCAAGGCTATCGACAGAAAGAGTACCTGATAAAATCTCAATAGTGATGATAAATCATCCCCCTCTCTTGTGAAATATCAATTTCCTCTGTCTCATGATATAGTCTTGCTCTTTATTGCATGGAAAAAAGACAGGATAAGACAGAGTATAAGAATATGATGGAAAAAAGGAAAAAGGACGATAGACGGTTATCCCAAATTTATACATAAAGTCGTTCAACAAAAGCAAGAAGCTATATATCACCAGCGCCCAAGTTTCTCTCTTGCCACATGTTCCCGGGGACGTTCCCGGTTCCCAACAAAGAGCAGAAATGTTTCTAAATAATAATGATGGAAAATTGAAAACCACGCCGGAGAGGTGAGAAGGGAAAAAGAAAACACTATTAACCATTTCGTTTTACATGTACAAGCCCAACACGGCAGCAACGACGAGGGGCACGGCCCACGACGACGAGAGGGACACGGCAGCACTGTCACCGTCATCGCTGTCACCATTGGTACCGGTGCTGGCAAAGGTGGAGGAAGATCCCTTGGCGTAGTCCTTGCGAATAATCTCGCTTGCCTTCTCGGCGATTCCGTACGTCGAAGACATAAGATGGCTGCTGAACGATATGGGAGGGACACTGGCGTCGGCGACACGGAGGTTGGCGAAGCCGTACACGCGAAGCTTGGCGTCGACGACACCACCCTGGTCGCGGGGAAGCATGGCACAGGTAGACGAGGGGTGGAACTCGGTGTCGGCGCTATCGTTAAGCCACTCTTTCCACTCGGCGTCGGTCTGCGTGTCGATTCCGGGAGACGTCTCGTTGACCAGCAGGCCACTGTAGGGGCTGGACTCGGCGACGCTGCGGGCAATCTTAAGACCCTTGATGAGCATATCAAGGTCTGGATATAACCGTTAGTCTCGGTGCCATCGCGGGACATGTTCATTTTCCAGGAGGAATGACGTGAGACGGGGAAGAGGTAAGTGGGAGATGGAACATACCAGCAGGATTATCAAGGTAGTTGGGGTCAATTATGGGGTAGTCCAGGGGGTTGGACGAGTTGACGTAGACACGGCCGTGGCTGAGGGGGTGCTGAAGGGCGGCGGTGATACCAATCTTGCCCCAGGCATCGCTGTTCATGAGAAGCAGCTCAACCTGACCGATGGGGCTCTTCCAAATGGTCGAGGCAGTCGTGTTGAAGATAGCCTGGTACCCGGCAACAACGTTGTCCTCGTAGGCCGAGTCAGGCTTGTACTTGTCCCGGTTGGAAAGAGCGTCGGAGCTGAAGGAGTCGACATCGTCGCCGTACATGAAGGTGGAGTTAACGTAGGCAATGGCTGAGTTGATGTACGACAGGTACAGCGTATCGGTCTTGTCGGTCCCGTTCCGGTACCAGATAGTGCCGGCAGTTTCGGTGTTCGCGGCCGCCTCGTACATGAGAGTGGCACTCTGTTCCGAGTCAGTTCTTCTAGTCTTTTTTTTTTCTGCGGGCGCGCGCACGCTTCGAGGGATATACTCACAAGGTGGTCCTGGAGGTGCTGGCCAACACCAGGAAGCTCATACACAAGATCGATACCGGCATCCTTGAGGACGTCCTTCGGTCCGACGCCGCTGTACATGAGGACGGCGGGGCTGCCAATGGATCCGGAAGAGATGATAACCTCCTTGTTGACCTTGACCTTCTTGATGGTCGTGCCGTTGTTCATGGTGTACTCGACTCCGGTGGCCGTCAGGTTGTCAGCACCGGTCGAGTCGTCAAAGACGACTCGAGTGACGTGGGCGTTAGCGAGGACATCGTAGTTGCCATTGTCAGGGAGTGGGTCGAGGTAACCAGTACGGCTGTAGGAGCGCGTCCAGTTGGAGGTGTTGATGCACGACGTCGAGATCTCGGCACCCCAGACGTCACCGCCGTACATGTTACCCGAGGGCGAGACGCCAATGGAGTCGAAGGCCTTGGTCCAGTTGCCAACCTCGGCAAAGGTGCTGCGAAAGACGGTTAGCATCACGACGTCAAAGGAAATTAGAGAACTCTTGGGCAGCCATACTAGCCAGGGTACGAGGTGTGAATAGGTCCGGTCGAACCGTGATCGGATGTGTTCCAGAGGATGTTCGCTTCGGAGGCTATCGACTCAGTAGCGCCAGTGAAGTTCTCGCTCTTGATAAGAGCCTGGTAAAATGACGACCAGGTCCAGGCGTCGGCGCCCTCCATGTCGCCGAGGAGCTCATGCCAGGCATCGAGATCCTGGGTTCCCGGACGGGTCATGTAGAGACCGTTGATGGCCGAGGAGCCTGTTGAGTATTACGGCCACGTCAGTCCAGCCATTCCGGGAGAAAAAAGGACTGAGGATTTTCGGTGGTGAGAAACAAAAGCTGGTGAGTGATGCGAACCTCCAAGAGTCTTGCCGCGGGGCCAAGTAACCGCACGGTTGTCCAGGGCGGCTTGGCCGGTCGTGCTGAAGTTCCAGTTGAGAGGGGTCTGCCAGAGCGAGTCAAAGTACGAGTCGGCAGGCGTGTCTGTAGGGCAAGACCATTGTTAGTCACCATTTCTCCCGGTCCGTTTCATCTTCAATTCAAGCCCCGAGAGATGAGAGGCGTCTCCGGAAATCGTGACGCACCTATACGCGTCCGGTAGTCGTCTCCATCCTGACCAGCCTCAAGGACCAAAACGGTGTGGTTCTTGTCTTCGGACAGACGGCCACCAAGAACCAGGCCGGCCTGACCACCACCGACAATGACGAAGTCGTAGGACTCGGAGATTTCCGTGACTGGACCCAGCGCGTCGGTGAGTTGGGCAGCGAGGGCGAGAGCGACGCCTACGCTCCGTGGAGCAGACAGTTGAGATCCGAACCGCATCGTCGTCGTCGTCGTCGTCGGTATTGATGTAGTCAGTGAACGTGAGAGAGAGAGAACGACGAAGCGACAAAGGGAGGGAAGAAGAAAAATGAGGCCGTCGGCCGTTGTTTTAACAGGTGCCAGATATTAAAAGGATGGTGGAGGAGGTGTGGGCAGAGGGGACCGGTTCCTGAAAAGGATTTGCGGATCTCAGAGCACGCACACAAGTTGGACGAAACCAACCAAGGGCCAATGTCAGTCGCCTAGTTGGGAAGCTAGGCTCCCATGTATCAGACGCCCCCGTATCCATAGTCCCAAGACCTAAGTCAATTGATATGCACACACGAGATAGGTACGATCAGCAGCATTTGCTGTTTTCGCCGCCAGGGGGCCGAATGGTGGGGGGGGCAGGGGTAGGGAGCAGGAAAACAGGGGTGTGGATCATGAATGGATACCCAGTTCTCTATCCCCGCAGCCCTTCCGAGCCGTCCTATCTTGCTGCGGCGCGCTCCAAGGCTCGAGAGGACTGCACTCGTAGCCGTAAGTACCGTACTGTCCCTCGAACACGGATTCTCTCTGCGGAGCCCATACTAGTACGCGCTGTCGAGTCTCCGTACTGGTACGAGTGTACTCATACTGGTAGAATGGGCAATAATAATCATCTCTGTCAATCCGCAAGGTGTGTGCTGGATAGCGAATCTTGGCAGAGTCAATGAGGGTCTGTCAACCAGGAATTTCATATGGCGGTTGCCGTGCATCACCAGACTTCCTCGTACGAGTCTGATACGCACGAAGAGAGGGATTCAACGTTCAACGTCAGAGGAGGCTCTGTTGGCATGGCTACTACCAGAACAAAGCACCGTAGCCGGCGTCGGGGCGTTTCGTCGTTTCTGGCCGCTGTACTTTGTTCCCTAGACGACCGAGTCAGCCAGTGAGAGTGGTGGTGGGTGAGGATTGGACAGTGCTGGCCGCTGGTATGCGGGAGTACGTACTCAACGACGCTGTTTCAACCATATCTCTCTCTCTTCGGCGCCAAAGACCTTTTTAGCACCGCGATCCACCCGATCGTACCTACTAATAGTACGCAGGCTGATTCGGAGTACTCGTGGTCGTAGTCGCATTACATGTACCTGTACCTTTAGCAGCGGTCGTGCCGCTAGTAGTAGTATTAGCAGCAGTAAGCAGCGTACGAGTAGCTCAAGGTACCTAGGTGGTGTATCCGCTCCAGGAACCTGCCGAGTGCCATCACTCTCTTGAGTCTTTGGAGGGTAAATTGTTGGACTTGGCACGAGAGCTGGCTGACTGTCCCATGCATTCTCATTTGTGACCGGCAGTCGCTAGTACAACAGTATATCCTTTTTCCTTCTTGGGAACACGGCGCCAAGGACAAGGCATGCAGGGGTTGGATCGCAGTGCCATCAAAGCTGATGCTCCTGTGTCCTTTCCTTTTTCTGGCGCGTCTCACGACAAAGTGACGGGGCCGGCAGCGGGGCGGACAATACCGTACAGGTAGTCGAAAGCAGACGGGACAGCGGTATGACGAGTACATGTAGCCGTACGTGTCCTCTCTTGTTCTTGTTTTTCGGAGCAGGTTCTGCACACGGACAAGCAGGGACGTAGATCGTACCCGTAACCTGTACAAGACTTCGTATCACGAAGATTGTATCCGTAGTCGTCATGTGGGATGCACTCGGAAAGACGGCAATGGTAGATAACCAACGTGGCTCGCGTGTATTTCTGGTGGCGATTGATGATGGGTAGAACTTAGAAGACGAGAGCGAGAATGGAGGGGGAGGGCGTGGGAGAAGGGAAGGGAAAAAAAGTGGAACAGAGGGTTGTGCCTTCCTTCAACTCCGTCAAGCCTTCTGATGCTCGCTGCCCTCAGAAATATTACGAGAAAACGTCCGGGTAATTATAAATAGCGACGTGATTGGCATGGATGGGTGTCGACAACCCGGAGAGACAGGGATACGGGCCCTCTTCAGCGCGTCGGGTAGGCCTGCTCCAGGGCCTCAGCACCTACAATAAGCTAAGAAGACTCTTCCGGGCTCTCAATCCACTAACCAGGCCCTCTTTCAGGGCTTGGGGGGGGGACCGTGTAGCCCAACGCATCCAAGTAAATCCAAGTAAGAATGCACGCTCGTATAGCCTAAAGGCCCCCTTCGGGGATGTGACCAAGTCTTGCGTCCTCTCCAGATTGGACTCTGGCAAGTTGCAAGACTTTCGGGGGGGATCTTGCCCTCGTCAAAATGGCAGCATGCGCGGACTTACCGACCTACGCATAGGTAGTATGTAGCGGTCAAATGTCACCTCGACAGGTCGAAGGTCTGTTTTTTCTGTATCGGGAGCGTGGCTGTATCTGTAGGCTGTATCCATATATGTACTCGTAGGTGGTTTGGTCCACTATGACTCTGTGGCTCAGTGACGCTCCGACAATCGCAATTTAACAGAAGTATCCGCAATCTCCACATTGCCAGGTCCTGAAGGCTGAACCTGCCGAAGCTGAGGGGCATCCTCTTCTGCCGCCTATCTGGATTCGGTTACAGAGTATTATTGCTCCGTAACAGCGTCATGATTACAGTAAGACCCTGCAGAGTCTGCTTGGTGTAATTTGTTGTTCCTCGTAGCGCAAGAAGGAACTGAAAAGGATCCGAAGCATTGTGAGATCTGGAAGGAGGGGGGGGATATGGTGTGGAGGTGGCTATCGTCACCATCACCAGCCGTGGGCCCTTATGTCGTCAGGATCCCCTTCTCCGGACTTCAGGCAGAGAGTATTATTTAGTATCCTGGACAGATTAGAGAAAGTAAACAACGTAAGTAAGCCTTGACTCGCTCTCACTCTCGCTCTCACCTCCGCCTTCTCCTCACCACCCCCTCCCCCCCCCCCCCCCCCCNCTCTACAGAGTACGACGGTGCTATCACTGGTGTGAACTGGGACAACTTTCATGCATTGTTGTTTCTGAACACGAGGTCCCTGCCCCAGTTCTAAGGGGCTCAGATGGCCAATGGTGCGAAGCTCAGTTCGCCTTCTCAACTCTCTCAGCCTCTTTCTATGGCTTCCCGTTCCCCCTTGTGAACAGAGATGAGACCCACCACACCCGGCGTGTTGGAAAGCTGTGCTTCACTACCACGGCTTGTTGTTGTAACCAACCGACAGCCACAACTCAGGGGGCGTGCGTGCCAAGTAGTCGTAGTGCCGAGTTGCCAATGTTGCCACTAGCAAGGATGTCGATAAGTTGCTAGGTTTCCCATCCTCTTGTCAAGATCTGTCTACAGATTATGCCCGGGCGCCTTCCTCTTTTGGTTGTAGAGGTCATGATAATACTTCGTATATTATATCTCTCTCTCTTGACAATATATGATAATATACCTGACCGAACAGCGCACGACGTACATAAGCCCCCACGGTCCTTGGAAATTAATTGTCAAAACTTTGGACGGCTCCAGTGATAAGGGAAATGAGAAGGTAATCATACTAAATACGAGCGACGGGCACGTGAGATCTCACAGTAGTAGTAGTAGTAGTAGTAGTAGTAGTAGTAGTAGTAGTAGTAGTAGTATTAGTATGGAGTCCCAGCACAGGATTGGTGTTTCGTTTGAACCGTTTACCCAGGGAGTAAGTAGTATTGATACTAGCATCACCACTTCTCTTCATACAGCTCCCTACTCGTACGATTAACGCCTATAGTTCGTACAGAACGATCAGTCGTACAATCACTTGCCTGGACACGTAACCCAAGCTTACGACATGCATACGTCTCAGAGTAATAAATAAAAAAAGGCAGACTGCCCGTTGAGATGGAATGTGTAAGAATGCGGGTTAGTCTTGCCCCATGCGCCATGGCTGCCACGCGGCCTCCAGTCCTGATCCCATACTACTGGAGGGTTGGGAGGATTAACCACGGAGTCTTTTTTTTTTCCTTCATTTGTTTTCGCATTCTACCCACACTGGCGATATACCGTGTATACCGTGCCGTAGATCTGGACTCTACTCCATAGATTACAAACGCGCACATGGACTCCGTACTGCGAGTCCTACCTAGTACACACGCAAGCACGGTAAGGATGGAGAATTTTTTTTTTTTTCTTCTTTTCTCATCTTATTTTTTTCTTACCCACACGGGGCCACCCAGAGAACTAACAAGAACAAGCGCCTCTCAACCGTTCGGTATCGTCTGCTACAGCAAGCAAGTACCTATACACTACAGAGCGAGAGAGGACCAAAAAAAGGAAATTGGCCTACGTGGTGACAAATGGTCAGAGAATAGAAACCAGCTAGCTCTGTTTAGTCATCTCGTCGACTGATTACCTAGAATCGCAACAATTTGAAGAAGAAAAAAAAGCGTTAACCGCTCTGGAATATTCTCTCATCGAGGGGGGGTCTATAGTCTGGACTTGTACTGGATCTGAAATGGGAAATAGGCAATCTACTCGTACTCACACGAGTAGCAGGAGTCTAACCTCTAGTAGCTGCGTTACATGTAGTCATGGTAAATGCTGGTATGTGGTATTATCATGATGTTGACGAGAAAACAAAAGTGATCTTGTACTTTGTAACTGGCACTTACACTATCAGAGAGAATAGCGACGAAAAAAAAGAAACTGTTTTGTTTTATACCTGATTCAGATTCGACGGATGCAATCGTCAACCACTACCGATCGCACGTTGTCCTTCTGCCCTTGTTGCAGATCGTTACCCCGTGCCACCCTTGCTCGTTGCTCTTCTCATGCGACCGGAATGACTATAATATGTGTTGCTCCGACCTTGAATGGATTCTGCAATATGAACACCTGCCCAACTCCCTGAGACAGCGCATAGAGAGGGCATGAAACCACGAGGGGCTGGGAAATGACTGCCAGATAGGTATGACTAGTGTTAGCTGTAGAATGAAAGAGTATGGGGAAGATGAGCTCTGCATTATTTTCAACTGTCTCGCCGTCTGACATATGCGGCTATCGTACATCAATTCTTCATTCGATTTCACCGTGAGATGCTTGCGGTATGGAATTTCCTTTCATCGGCTATCATTTATGCCATGACGTCTTGCCGCGTCAATCCATGGGGAATCTTGTCAACCGGGCAACCTCGTTACTCTGTTATCGTCATTTTTTTTCTTGGTCATGCATAGCACATGGCACATATTACCTTGCGGCGAGCCCGTGCCCACGCTGCCTGGCATTTGCCGTCAGTGGAACGTCATTGGTGTATAATTACTACATGTTCCGAGACCGTGTATAATGTGTTTACCGTTTTCGTCTTTCAAACCCCTCGTCGCCCGGTTGGCGAGGTGAAGAAGGTATGCATCCTCAAGTGATACCTCGAGCATCGTGTGCAACGCCCGCCCGTGCTATCATAATATACGGCTCACATATTATCTTCTATAAATAGGACTAAAAAAAAACATACTCGTAGTTACACAATGAATCGTGTGTACGGCGAGTGGATGCAATTCACCATATGGAAGTGGCGTTGTTGATGCTGATGCTGATGCTGATGCTATACAGATAGACCAAGCTGCTGGGCCTGCCAATATCCGTACGTCGTACAAGCATCGCTAGACGTTGTGATATAAGAGAAACGAGAAGAGACACCACGTCCTTATGCCAAGTGCTTACAAGAGCCGTTACCCGTCGTTGCCGACAAAAAGAAAGAAGGCATTTAAAGCCTATGTCATCTACCCGGCAACGAGCATGCATGGCGGCGGCGCAGAAACAAGGGAGAAGATACAAGGAGAGAAAAATAGGCAAGATGCATGTGGCGCCACTCACGCCATGCATGCATTGGACTGTCCACGTCACAACGCCGTCATAGAGATGAAGGTATTTGCCGACGTCACTGTGCTTGAATCTGCTTTCTTTTGTCGGCGGGCAAAGGTTTGGTGAGAGATTGACAATGAACATGTTGCCTTGTAATGCCCATAATAGGTCATCCTACGACTTCACGCTTCACGATCGGTCCGTAAAGCTCCTCACCGCAACCTCCTACCCTGACACGCACGCAATATCCCAAGTCGGCATACCCCAAGTGTCAATCAATCTTCTCAGTAAATAAACATCATTATCCTCGTAAACACGACTACGCCTAGCAACATCCTGCTCGGACAACCCAACAACGACGACAATGAAAAAAAAGGCTCGTGACATCCTCAGCACTACATAATCGTGCATTTAACACAATCATCCATCACATCACATCCTCCCGGCGCAACGGTCATGCCTTCTTCTCGTCGAGCGAAAAGTTGAGGCTAACACTGTTGACACAGTGCCTCTCATCAGTCGGCGTAGGAAACCCTTCCCCCTTGAAGACGTGGCCCAGGTGGCCACCGCAGTTGGAGCAAGTGATCTCGGTTCGAGTCATGCCCAGAGTGCGGTCCTCGTGCCTGGTAACAGCCCCGGGAATGCTGTCAAAGTAGGCCGGCCACCCGCACCCGGAGCTGAACTTGTGACTTGCCTTGTACAGCGGCGCGGCGCATCCGGCGCACGTGTATAGTCCTTCTTCAGGGTAGTGCTTGTCGAATTTGCCGGATCCCGGGGGCTCGGTGCCTTTTTCCCGGAGGATGCGAAATTGCTCTGCATTCTTTCACGTCAGTTCTTCATCTAAACCTTGACGGTGGCATAAAGGAAGTCCCTTCTTTGAGTCCAGTCTCTTTTTGAGGGGGAAAGGAAGGGGGCACACCCTTGCTGAGCACCGCTCGCCACTCATCGTCGGTACGCTGGTCGGGATAAGTCATGTCTGATGAGGATGGGGTCGATGTGCCGAAGAAGCCCTTGAGAAATGACATGGGCCTTATCGATGGAGTTTGATGGATGAGGAGCGCTGGCAGTCGTGATGCTCTAGCGAGGCCTGATGATGCTGAAGCTCTGGTCAAGCTAGATGAGGCCAAGAAGAGAGAGCCGGCTAGAGTCAAAGGGCGCATTCAGGCGTTTTTTGATATCTTTTCTCCGTTGACGGCGTCCTCGGTCTGAATATGCATCCGAACAACACGAGAGCTCGTAACGGTTGATGCAGAAGTTATGAAACTGTGAGGGGCATACGATATGGACCAATCTGCTTACTAGTAGGTAGTATCGACGACTTTTTTGATGAGGCACAGTTCATTGCATCATGCATCCGCCACCCTGCCACATGTGGCTCATAACGCCACACGTTGGCGTGCTAGGACTTACCCGATATACAGCTCGAGATGGCTTCGATTGCAATTTTGGCCGACATTTTCCAGAAATGGGATTATGGATACATATAGATATAAAATTCACGTGATCCAAGACTCTCTGATGGTAATCAATTGAATAGGATTAAGGCAGGAGTGCCGTGCTGTGAATAATCATCACCATCATCGTCATCAGTTGTTACCTTATCCAATTCTACTCACTCATTACATGGGCTAATTTCCGTGCTGTCTGTACGGTTCCTAAAAAGAAAAAGCCTGAGCCTGAAATTAACAGTAACCCCACCTGTTTACTTCCCAACCCTCAAGACTTGCATCGGATATCATCTGTACATGATATAGAAAAAAAATAAAAGAACAAAACACTCGACGCCAACTACATTCACGCCACATCGACAAGAGTTCATCTTCCCCACAAAAAAATCGAGAAGGAGCCACATCTCCCGGGTAATCAAAAGTCAAGGCCAGGTCACCGCACGACGCAGCTGATAGCAACAGAACGACCGCCGCCGCCCTTTTCGTTGTACCTTGCGCCATAACCAACGCCCCGCCACGCATTACTCCCTTCCATCGAGTCGCGAGCCCTCCTCCCTCCCAGATCCGCCCTCTCCTCCTCTAACGTGACGACGACTGCGAAAAAATACGAAGACTACGACGACGACAATGTCCAGGAGAGCACCCAACCCCGCCGCCGAGCGGGCGGCCCAGAACCAGGCCACGATCAAGAGTCTCCTGAAGCTGGAGCCCAACAAGATATGCGCCGACTGCAAGAAGAACAAGCGTATGCTCCAAACATTACTCTGTATCTACCTCGGGATCAATACTGGGTTGCTGACACCTCTCTCTCTCTTTCTCCCCCCATTCCCCTAGACCCCCGATGGGCTAGCTGGAACCTAGGCGTCTTCATATGTATCCGATGCTCGGGCATCCACCGTGGCATGGGCACGCACATCAGCCGCGTCAAGTCGGTGGATCTCGACTCGTGGACCGACCAGCAGATGCAGAGCGTCCTGAGCTGGGGAAACGCTCGCGCCAACAAGTTCTGGGAGGCCAAGCTGTCCCCCGGCCATGTCCCCTCCGACTCCAAGATTGAGAATTTTATCCGTACCAAGTACGAGCTCAAGCGCTGGGCCATGGACGGGCCCATCCCGGACCCGGCTACCCTCGACGCTGGCGCCGATGACGACATCCCCCTCAGCGTAGTCAAGGAGAAGCAGACGATCGAGAGGCGTGAGTCGGCCCGCAGGGCGGGCGGCAGCTCTGCTTCTGCCCCTTCCCAAGCTGCCGTCCCGGCACCCGTCGTCGACCTCATCGGGGGATCCTTCGACAGCAGCCCTGCTCGTTCTAGCTCGGCGGGCCCCTCCGCAGCAGCCAGGGTTCCTCCCAGGGCCGAACCGGCCGCTGCGCCTCCCAAACCCGCCCCCAGCAACTCGTCCCTCCTCGGCCTTGACTTCCTCGGAGATTCGTCTGCTCCCCAACGCCCCGCCAGCACGACTGGCGTCAGCGCCCCCGGCAGCCAGTCGCGTCCTGACCTGAAGCAGTCCATTCTGTCTCTGTATGCGTCGGCGCCTAAGCCCCAACCCCAGCAGCAGCCGCAGAAGCCGCAGCACGGCCATCAGGGCTCTTTTGGTGGCATGACGTCTCCTCAGCAGGGAGGCTTCAACGACGCCTTTAGCAGCTTGAGCATCGGCGGCAACACTACCAGCCCCAAGCCCGCCGCCGCTGACCCGTTCGCCAGCTTCGGAAGCGCCTCTGCCGGTCTCGGCCGCAGCACACCTACCAGCAACAACAGTTCTTCCTTTGGTGGCCTCGGCAGCGGTAGCTTCTTCGACCCCAAGCCTGCCGCCCCCGCCCCCGTTTCTTCCCTACCAGTCCAGCAGAGGAAACCCTCGGACGGCGGCTTCGGCGACTTCGGCTCTTTCACGTCAGCCCCCGCCCCCGCCCCCACCCCTGCCGCGGCCTCCAAGGCCGCCTCTACCTTCCACACAAGCGACCTGTTTGACCTGTCCGCTCCAACCACTACAACCTCGCCTCCCCCGTCTACCACCTCGCCGCCCGCATTCTCCGCCCCGTCCGTCTTCGACCTCTCAGCCTCCCAGAAGGCGGTGGCTGCACCCCCGCAGCCCAAGCCCGCTCCCGCCGCAGTCTCCGCATTCGGCGCCAGCTCTTCGGCCCTGTCGGGTGCCGACGTCTGGGGGTCAGGCAACGAGTGGGCCACGCCTGAGCCGGCGGTGGCCCCAGCCCCTGTTGCTGCCACTGCGCCGAGCATCACTCCCGTCACCGCCACGGCAAACACTTCATCGACCAACGACTTTGGCTGGGGGTCCTCGTTTTCAAGCACACCCATCATTCCCGGTGCCGGAGGCGGGTTCAACCCGGCCCCTCCAAAGGTGACTGCCGACGAGGAGTTTGGCGGCTGGTCTAGTAGCACCGGTCCTTCAGCGACGACTACGACTGCCGCACCCAAGCCCGCTACCGGCATGGGTGGTGCAGAGGATGACCTGTTTTCTAATGTCTGGCAGTGAGAAAAAAAGCGGACTGAAGTGCGGAAGAACTAACGGGACCGTATATATAAGTATAGATTTCACAGGAGAAAGAATAAAGGGTTGCTTGGGTTGGGTACAAAAAAAAGTCAATGAACAATGGCCGTTTGAAAAAAATTCCCTGCGTTCTACTCCGTTGGGGTAGATAGTTCCTCCTGATGGGCAACAGGGCGGCAAAGCAGGCAGACATACATTCGGGCGTTTTTTTTCCGTGTGTCTGGCGTCCCTCTTTTGCTCGCAGATTTCCAAAAAAAAAATAACACAATTATTCAGAACTCCTTTCTATGTCAATTATAAAAAAAACCAAAAAAGATAAAAAAGTGCTACGATAAAAATTCAAAGGGTGAAAAACTCCAGCTCCTTGAACAAGCTCTCCCAGCGAGCATTGATGCAGAGAGAGCGAAACCGTATGAGAGAAACAATAAAACCGCAATAAGCATAGAAGAAGTATGTGATCGAGGGCGCTATCACCAACCGAAAAGCAGCTTGGTAGCATAATATAGCACCAAGAACGACCCGATGACTATACCCGCCAACTTCAGGATGGCAACTTTGTTGCCCGATGCGGCCATGCGCGTCAACCGTCCAGCCGAACCCTTCATCTGCGTCCCCATGGTGGTAAAGGTATCGGACTGTGATGTATGGTCAGCACTTCTTTTTATTTTATTTTAATCTATTTTCGTTCTCCGTTTTCGCCCCTCTCAATGTTTTCCCCTTTGATTTCTTTCGTATGCATTTTGTTACCAGGTGCAGGTGCATACCGTGTTGTCGATCAAGCCCTGGGAGCTGGCCTGGTCGTAGATGCCGACGGTCACACCGCGAAGGGTAGACACCTTATTGGAGAGCTCCTCTAGACGGGAGTTGTTCTGGCGTTCGCGCTCGTAGGCTTCCGACATGGTGGGCAATCTTGGTCTGGGCGAGAGTCGACTGGGACGGGAGGTCTGGCGAGATGGGGTGTATGTCGACAGGGATGTTGGGACGCTGTATAGAATCTGTTCGAAGGTGTTTTGAGCTTCCACGGTCGTCGCTGCTAGCTAGGAACGGGTATCGGGACGTTTGAGGAGGATGCGTCGTGGTTGTCGTGGTCGTCGTCAAAGAGTTGACAAGGGGGCCATGACGAATGGAGAGAGATTCTCAATTGTGTTTGGGTGATTGTCATGACGCATTCATGCACAGCCACCACAGCCACAATGCCAGTGTCATCTGCTCACTACCATACTACTAGCCTGTAGGTGCACTGTATAAGGGTCCTAGAATCTAGAAGCTACAGCGGTGCTAGTGGTCCCCTCCACATCGAACACAGCTCCTGTGCCCGTCTTACAGGTCTTTTCTCTCCCCGCCAACGCTTAGGCCTTATCTACCGGGGTCCCCCCAGTTGGCATTACTTACATAATGCCTCGCAGCCGGACTACGGAGTACATGGAGAAGAGAGCCAAGGTGCTACGATTTTGAGGCTGTGCAGTTCTGCCGCTGACGGCTGCTGACTAGKTWWTGTTMTWWYKAYTWGYRKSCCATCSTCMTYCYYYCCSCCCCCCCCCCCCCCCCYCGGGATTTCCTCCTCATCAACACCGATTAATCCTTTTCTTACCCGCGCATTCTCCAGGAAGAAGCGCACTTGTCCTCCTTCCATTCGTTTAAAACTCTTCTATATCGTCCTCTCGTGAACTTGAGTCTAGTTTGACCTAAACCTCCCACCATCTCAACTTACTCTTGTCCTACCTACTACGAACCCGATTCCCGGATCGACCGCGCGAACACATACACATTGAACCACCCCCGCCCAGGACGAAAAATTAACACGGCGGCACACACCCCCCCGAACAAACGAAACAGATAAAAGCGAATATACAGAACAAGAGAACAAGGGGCAACAAACTCCTCTCTCTCTCTCTCTTATATCTTCTCAATCACCACAGAAAAGCCGGGGCTACCCGTATATATTCCAACATGGGCATCAATAACCCTCTCCCGTCGAATATGGCGTGTAAGTAGACATGCTCCCATTTTTTTGAGCAGCGCAAGACTAGCCCAATGTCTCGCCGTTATACATGTGCCGTTGTGCAGATTCAGTATGTGCTGACATTGAGAAAATAAACAGCCGAGTGCAAGAAGTGCGGCAAGATCCTCACATCGTTCATCAACCCACGCCAGGCTTTTGGCCCTGACAAGGTGATACCCCCGTCTATCCTGGCAAACGCCAAGGGTCTAGCCATCATCACTGTCCTGAAGGCGGGCTTCTTGGGGTCCGGCCGATTCGGCAGCGGCCTGGTAGTGGCGCGGCTGCCGGACGGGTCGTGGAGCGCGCCGAGCGCCATCGCCACGGTGGGCGGCGGCTTCGGCGGGCAGATCGGCTTTGAACTGACCGACTTCGTCTTCATCCTCAACGACCACAACGCCGTCAAGACTTTCGCGCAGGCCGGGTCCCTGACGCTGGGGGGCAACGTGTCCCTCGCCGCGGGGCCTGTGGGCCGCAGCGCCGAGGCCGCCGGCGCCGCCTCCCTCAGGAGCATCGCCGGCATCTTCAGCTACTCCAAGACCAAGGGCCTCTTTGCCGGCGTGTCGCTCGAGGGCTCCGGCATCATCGAGCGCCGTGACGCCAACGAGAAGCTTTACGGAACGCGCTACACGGCCCAGCAGCTCCTCGCCGGATCCGTCCAGGCCCCGCCCCAGGCCCAGCCCCTCATGAACGTGCTCAACTCGCGCGTCTTCAGCGGCATGCGCATTGGCTCCACCGACGACTCCATGTACAACGACATGCCCATCTACAACGAGTCAAACGAAAGCGTCGCCTACGACCCCCAGCAGGACCGCCCCTACGGCGGCGGCCGCAACGGCCGCACCGCCAGCACCTACGGCAACGGCGACGGCGGCTTCCAGCGCTCCAGCACCTGGCAGGATGATGTGTACGACCGTCCCTTCGGTGGCGGCGGCGGTTACGGCGGCCCTTCTCGCTCTAACACCGTCACCTCTGGCGGTGCGTTTGGCGGAAAATCCTCTGGACCCGCGAGGCCCACGGCTCCCAAGCCAAACTTTGCCTCCAAACAAACTGCCGCACTCAAACCAAACGAGGCCGTGGCTCTGTACAACTTTGACGCCGACCAGCCCGGTGATCTGGGCTTCAAGAAGGGCGAGGTTATCACTATTCTCAAGAAGACGGACAGCACTAATGACTGGTGGTACGTCTTTTTCTTTTTCCTTTTCTTCTTCTCCTTTCTCTTTCCTTAAAAGGCTACGACACCTCCATCGAAACTTGCGTACCACCTCTCTAACTTCTAACACATGATATAGGACCGGCATGATCGGATCACGGCACGGTATATTCCCTAGCAATTATGTCAAGATGGGATGATGAGCTGGGGCGATTGAACTAAAACGAAAGAGAAATTATAACCACGAAAAAAACATTTGCTATGATGAATGGGGGGAGGGGGTTCTTGTCAGGAGGGAGCGTTTCGTTTCGCATTTAAAGCACATGGTCGTACTCTTTTTTCTCTCTACTTTTCCTCCCAGCTAGCAACTTTGTTTCATATCCCGCTTCGTATGTTCTTCGTGGAGGGAGGAAAGACTAGAGTCGGGCGAGAGAGTTTGGTACATCTGAAGAGGGGGAATATAACCTGGTTTTTTTTTTTACATGATTGATACTCTACGAGTACATTTCCCATTTTCCCATTTTCTAGTAAACTGTTGCAAAGCCATAAGATCGCGCCTGCTCCTTTTCTATCCTCGAATCTGCAAATGCGTCATGGAGAGCATGTAATTACTATAATGTTATGTATCATCATCAAATACACTTCTGCTCGTCTAGTTGACGGCACCAATATTCGCGACGGACAATGGCGATGCGGTCCAGGAAGAACTGAGCCTGCATCTCGGCATGCTTGTGGCACCGAAACTGGGCATCGGCCTCGTACTGGTCTAGAATACCCGAGACGAGCCTGTTGACCTGGCGGAGCATCGACTCGGTGACTACGAGGACTCCGGCGTCTGACTGCTGCTGGCGATGTTGGGTGACATTAGTGGACGTACGATGAGCGATAGTTTGTCGAGTGGAGGTGTCGGGCACGTCAGTGTAAGTGTTGATAATAGTGGCTTGGGTCTCCCGTACGGCCACTGGAGAAAATGGCCTGGAGACACGCGTTCTTCTAGGCGCAGCCTTCTTCTTGGTAGGCTGTGGTTTTTGAATCTTTGTAGGACTGGGTTTGGGGTGTGCTTTCTTGCGCGGGGCGGCTTTGACCGTTGATCTTGTCTTGGCAGCCTGCGGCTTCTGAACTGCAACTGCTTTTTGGATGTTCGTTGTCTCGGCTGTTGAAATCTTATTGGGAGGCTGTGATTTCGGGGATGCATCTGCTTTCTCATTATCTGCTGTTTTGGGGGCAGCCTTTCTCTTCGAAGCTCTTGTTTTCTGAGGTGCTGCTTTTTGACTGCCTGCTTTATTCTTGGAGGCTTGTGATTGTGGAGGTGCACCTGCTTTTTGAGTACCTGCTACGCTGGATTTGAATTGAGCTTGCTTTCGTGGGGTCGCTTTGGCTGCGGGCTTCTTCTTGAAAACTTGTGATTCTTGGACCGTGTCTGAATTCTGGGTGTTCATCAGATCGGATTTGGGCTGTGCTCGAAATACTGACGCGCCCCCTCTCAACCTTCTCCGGAATTCTGCAGTCTTCGATATAGGGGCTTCCTCTGACCGCACCTCCTCGTCTTCAGTAGGCCCAGGCTCCTTGTCCTCGATACTTTGTTGCTCGTCACTTGACGCTGGTTTTCGGGAATTCTTGGCTGTGGGCTTTTGGAGTGTCTCTTTCGCAGGCTGCGAAGCTTTCCTCTGTTTCTTTTTCAGTTGTTGGGGTAGGGATATCTCCTGATCATGTTCCTGGTCTTCGTCATTATCCCCCAGGTTTTCACGGTCTCGTTTTCCTGTTTTCCGTTGAAACGGGAGGTTTCGAGGTCTTGGTAGTAACCTGCTAAAGTCTTGGACTGCTCTGTCCCGCCTAGTCCACTGGGGTAGAATGCCGTTTGCTGCTGGTACAGCGTAGGCAGGGTCAAATATGCCACTGCTATTTTGTGACCATGGCTGGGGAGACCATGGTGGGACTGCCAGGCTCGTTGAAGATTCATTGCCAGCCAGGAAACCCAGAGGCGGTTGTAAGAAAGGGCTGTTTCTGTATACTGTACCATATCCTGGGACAGACATCTGGCGGCTTAGTTGCCCGGGACCGACTGCATTCCGCAGTGGAGAACTGACGCGGGGTCTGCATGGTTCAAGCCCTTTTCTGTCGAGAAACACGTCGTAAGGGTTGTTATGAGATACTTGAGATGTAAATTGTGATGCCGTATCTGCTGACCCCATGGGTGATCCGGGCCAAATACGACTACCAGAGGGTACAGGTGTGAAACGACTCGGCTCATAATTGGTTGTGAAAGTGTTCTCGGGAGATGATGTCAATGTGAGTGAGCTTCTTGGGCTTGCTCCATACTGCAAGATCGTGTCAAGTATGGGGAGTGATGCCAGAGACGAGAGGCGTGGTCCCAAGTCGTCAACAGATTCAGAAGCACAACCATCGAGTTTCCTTGAGAGAATATCTGGCACTCTTGGGCTGCGCTGATGGATGCTGAACCCTGTCCTCTGGAGCATGCAGACAGTCACATTGAAGTTTCTCTCATCCTCAAAGTCGATGAGTACATGACTATCTTGTTCGAAAATTGAGACGCAGATTTGATTGACTGCCGTATCAATTGTGACGACGTCTCGTGTCTCTCCTGAGGGAGCGAGCAGATCAGTGAGTCGAATAGACAGCTACGAGGCTTTGTCAGTGAACAGATAGGGGCTTTCAGGCAAGGCAATGCTGTCCAAGACTGAACTAACCACGCGATGTGATCCAGAATAAGCTCGAAGAACGAGGCCAATTTTCTGTGAACCAGGAATCTTTTGCGTCTCGAGAGTGACGGAGAGACTGTTAGTGGGGTGGGTCGATTCGTAGACCCGTTGGGACTGGGACTGGCCGCCGCAGATTTCGAGGCGTCTGACGGGGCATGCTGAGACGGGAGGGGTGAAGTTTGGCATGCTCGTCTCACTTAGTCAATCGTAACCAAACCGACCGAGTCGCATATAATGAGCCTATGGTAGAGTTAAGAGAATTTGAGAGATGAAGGCAGACAAAGAAAGAAATGCTGTAATAGACATAATGTAGGAGCAGAAGCATCGTGCCTTCCTCTATAAGTCGAAGGCGGTTTCTTAGGCGAGCTTCCAATTGGCCTGGAACAGGCCACTCACGTGCTGATAAGATAAGACTTAGAATTAATCAGGGACGAGGTGCAGGCGCGAAGTGAAAGGCAGATGCAGGGCGGTCCAAGGAATCGCGCGTCTTGGTTGGTGCTTCTTTTCGCCTTGTCCCCATCGCCGTCAAGAAGATCGAATCTTCCCGCATCGCACGATTGGCGCGACTGTCGCACGCAACTCAACTCAAGCCTACGATGGCGCCCCCTCCACCAGAAGTGGTCCACACCATTGACCGGACGCCCGAGTATGAGGAGTTCATCAACCGCCTGCGCGAATACCACATCAAGCGCGGCACGCCCTTTGACCCCGAGCCAAGGGTTGGCGCGATGCACCTGGACCTGCTCAAGGTCTTCAACCACATCATCGCTAATGGCGGCTATGACAAGGTGTCGGAGGAGAAGCTGGCCTGGCGCCGCATGGCCTCAGAGCTAGGCATCTACTCCAACAATGAGGCGTCGACCGCCTTCTCGCTCAAGGAAAAGTTCTACAAGAACCTAGCTGCGTTCGAGATCAGCACCATCCACGGCAAGGAGCCCCCGCCCCGCGATATTCTCGAGGACGTCACGGCCAAGGGTGCCGGGCTTTTGACACGCACGCGCGATAACTTTAGAGGCAAGCGCGAGAGCAACATTGGTACCAGCGCCGCCGACTCGGCCGCTTCGGGCGACGACGGCACCCCCGTTCGCGAGAAGCCTGTTGTCGATGCCGCCGCGAGCGCCAGAGCGTCGCGTGGACTGCGCGAGGCCCCCCCCCAGAGGGTCATCTTCCAACCTGATACCGGCCCATCGCGTACGAGGGCCGCCCCAACCCAACATACGACGGCGAGCCATGCCAACTCGCCCGCTGTCAACCATCCTACGCCCACGCCTCACCCCCACGTCGGCATGCCCCCCGCTGTCCAGCAGCATGGTCATCATCATGCCAACCGGGGGCCCTCGGTCATGCATCAGCCCCCCAATGACAACACCTCGTACCAAGTGACATCGTATCAGCCGAGGCTGCTTAAGCCGCTGCCGTTGCGAGCTGTTCCTACGCCGACCAACGCGCCTAATGAGTTTGCGCAGAAGTCGCGTCCACAGAAGCAGATTGCAGAGGTGGCCCGCAAGCCCATGATCCCCGGCAGTGAGTGACTACTAGAACAACTAGAACATGTTTTTTTTTTCGACATGTTTCGTTTGCCATTCACAATACTAACATTATTTTTTTCCTCTTACACAGCCGGATATGAAGGCCCCAACATCTACACCCGTTGCCTGAATGCGCTTCGATCGAGTATAGTCGCGGAACAGACGTTTGCGCTGAACCACCTCGTTAAGATTTCGTTCGAGCGGGGTGATAAGTACAGGTTTGACTCATTCCCAGGACTTGCCGAGGGCCTCGTCGACAAGGCTCTGCAGGTGGGCAGCATCTTCTACTACATCAACTGGCGTGTCTCATGGGATGGCAACTACGACGCGTCCGACATTGGCGTGTTGGATGGAAACAACGGAACGCCCGACATCCTGGAGAGGATCGATAGCCTTATTGAGAAGGATACGCCAGATGTGCTTCAGACAGAAAAGTACGCCGACGAGCTCGTGCTGATCACCGAGGCGGCTCTGACGATACGCAACATGATGACGCTGTTCGAGAACGCGGCCAGCATGGCCGACTTTTACCCTCTCAAGGACCTCATCTGTATCATTCTACACCTCCCGGTCAGGGACTCGCTCACAGAACTAAAACATCTGGCGCTGGACACTGCCGAGCAGCTCACCCCGTTCCTAGTCCTCAACGCCGACGACCCCCTATACAAGACTCTTCTGGCTCAGATGACGTCGGAGGATCGCGGCACGATCCTAGCAGCTCTTCGGGCTCTGGGCCGGATATCCATCAATCTTGACGCTACCAATAGGCTCGGCGATGTGCCCCAACCGATCCTGGAGCGGGTGTCCAACTGGCTCCTGCTAAACGACGACGAGCTCACGGACGCGTGCCTAGACTTCCTATACCAGTACACGGCGGTAGTGCCCAACGTAGACGCCCTAGTGCGGTCGACGGTGCCGCACGCGCTGGTGGAGCACCTGGTGCGGCTGCTGTCGCACGGGGGCCGCAAGGTGAAGGAGGAGATTACCATCATGCCCGAGCGGAAGATGCCGGCACGCGGCGAGATTGCCCCGATGCCCGAGGATCTACTCCAGGAGATGCTGAAACTGGAGGAGCCGGACCGGGTTCACCGATGGGTCAAGTGCTTCTTCGAGGAGGACAGCGACTCATTCGTGACGCAGCTGGCCGCGTGGCAGGCGTACCAGACGGCGTTTGTCGGGCCGCTCAAGACTATCGGGCAGGCGCTCATCACGCCGGCCGATTTTATCCACAACAGTACGTCGGTGTACAAGGACTCGAAGACGCAGGTTCTCCGGGAGCCGGGGGACCCTCAGCCGAAGTTCATCATCCACGGGCTGCGGCCGCGGCCGCGCCCCTTCAGCCTGGACGGGCGCGAGTACGGGCGATGCTTGTGGGCGAGTAACCCGGAGCGTCGACGCGAAAAGTGCGGGCAATTCTTCCTGCAGGTGGAGCAGATGTGGAACCACATAATGGAGGTGCACCTGGACCGCAAGCGGAACTCGGCCGGGCAGCTGGACAATGTCGAGCTCGAGTGCAGGTGCACGTGGGGTGAATGCAGCAAGTATGAGAAGCCGACGGGTCTGCGCCTCGAGGACTTTGCGCGGCACATCTCGACCCACGTGTCCGCCATGCTTCCCGGCAGAGACGGCAGCAACCCGAACGGTTTCGACGGCAACTGGACCAGAAAGGCGTGGATCATGCCGGCCGTCACCATGGCGGTCACCACAGAGGAGACCCTCACGGTGCGGGACGAGCGGAACCCTAACCTACCACCGCAAGCGGCGGGCATCCCCCTCAGCGCGGCGCTCATCCTGCGCAATATCGCGCGGAACGTGGTCAAGACGGACGCGGAGGAGGAGCTCAGCAAGTCGCAAAAGGCGACGGCGCTGGAGGCGACGGCCGAGGATGTCGCGCAGCAGCGTCGGGGGCAGGAGCAGGAGCAGGGTGGATGGAACGAGGCTTTGTTTCGACCGATGATGGGTCGTTTCTTTGAGATAATGACGGAAAACAAGGCATTGGTAGGTTCCTCTCTTCTCTTCTTTATTTCCCCCGACTCTTTCCCACATGACCCTTTATGAGATCTTGTACTGACTATGATGGGATAAAACAGGCCCCATATATTGCTTCATTGCTAGAACTCATCCGCATAGATGATGTGAATGAGGAGTCTGACTGATTATACAGGGATGGGCAAGGACAATTGAAAACTCTTGGGCGTTATTCCACTCCTCTTTTCTTCCTTTCTTTCTCACTTTCTTTCGGTGTCTTTTTTTTTCTTCAATTTCCCCTCCTTATGAAACGGTTAGGATAGTGTATCAATATCTGTATGATTTGCAATTAAGAATAACAAGAAGAAAAGAAGAAGAAGAATAGGGGGTTAGCTAGCACAGCTGGTAGAACAATGCAAATATCCAGATTTTTACTCTAGGCTTGACTTTTGCTCTATTGCTTTCGAAGCTTGGTTTCAGATTGACCGTCCGGTTACCTCTTGGAGACGTACGAATACAATGTCGTCTGCACACCGCCATTCTAAACCATGACATCATGGCAAGTGACTTGGATGTCGTCTTTCTTCCCCTGGTGCTTTGGGCGCCTTGCGTACGGGGGGGGAGGGCGAGCACGGAGTACATTGAAGTGTGAGGACTCCCCCTCCACCTTTAGGGTGAGAGCTCAGGCAGCCAAAAGGCCGAGACGGTCCTATTTGTTCTTTTCTAGGACCCATGCGGGTGCTACCGTTTCCCGGTTTCCCCGTTTCCCTTTAGTCTGCCGTCGGTCCTTCTTGGGTCTCGGGATGGCGGGGCAGTAATACCTTCGTGGAGTTGCCAAGCTGGAGGCTGGAATGTGTATGCCGCTGCCATGAACGCAGCTTTCTGATCCCTCCGAATTTCGTTCACGTGCGTCAGTCTAGGTCACGATCCCCACCCCCGCACGTTTACAAGAAACGGATGTACTCCAACTTGCATCCTGCAAATACTCTTTCACTGATGACAGCGTATCTAGGTGACCTGAGCCTGGCTTTATGAAGCTGTACACTGGTTGGGTGTCCCTCTGAGCGACAGTGACGGTCTTCATGAGGGCCTTGTTGCCTCGGGCCGCCGTCCCAGAAGAGCGTCCTCTTCTTGTCTAGTCGACAGGTTCCATCAGACTCTCAAAGTCAATCCCCGGGAGCCAGATGTCGAATGTACCCGTTGATAGGAGGCGAAGGAGGACGGGTGAAGGCTCAAGTGTATCGTCACGCACGTCTATCAGGATAATGCTATGCTCGCACGGATGCAACTCTCTGGTTCTTCCAATCTTCGTCGCGTACCCATGCATCGCCATGCACATTTCATTCTAGACTTGAACCTCAGCAGACCACTGGTCAGACAGGAGCTCAGCAGCAGCCAAAGGTCTCTTGGCAGGATCGTAATGCAAGATCCTACGGATGAGGGCCTTGATCTTTCGGCTGTCATCCTGCTCAGTGTCCGGCTCCTCCTCGTCGAAAACGTCTTCCATTGACTTCTGCTCAGACATGAGTGGACCTTGACCCTCCGGAGGTCCTCCAAGATGGAGACTGAAGAGCTTCCTGTTGGAGGTAAAGTATAGCGAAGATGTCTTCCACTGGTAGTGAGGTGGACCGGGGAATGGTTCAACTACGACAGTAATCCGTACCGAAACTGTGGAGGACAAAGCCAAGGGACAAAGCTGGGGGGACAGGGATCTGGGGACGAAGATCTAGACACAAAGGTCTAGGAAATGACAGGTGCAGCGTGGTCTTGCCTTGTCTTTCTTTCGACCAAGGCGGACAAGACAGCGCAAGTACATCACTCCATCTCTCATTCAGTCCCCTCCCATCAAAACGGTCACCGTCTTTCCACGAAGCTACTTCGGATATTTGTAGCTACTACTACTTTGCAACGAAGAAAAAGCAAAAAAGAAGAAGAAAAAGAAAAGAAAAAAAAGTAAACCCTCCGCCGCCCCACGCTCCGCAAAGTACCGAGATACTAGTTCTTACTACCACTCAACCTCGCCCAGATTGCTTTTTTTCCAGATGTGATGCTCTCTCCTCAGTGTGCAGCAGAGAGACAGAGCGCAAAGTCCACGGACCATCACCAGCCTCCAACCACCAAAACCAACTATGACGTGGTACGTGGGTGGTACTTGAGCAAACTTGGCGTCGCCACCGAGCCAAGCATGATACTTTCCTGTGTCCGTGGTCCCGCCCCCCCTGGATGAAGGCAGACCGCCATGATTCTACCAGTGGTTGGTCGTATGACCGAGTACGAACGAGTATACGAGTTATACTGAGAGGGAGGGGACGGAGGGAAAATTGCAGAGTACAGAGTACAGAGCAGGCTGCCTCTGGCTTGCAGTAACCTCCATCAGTTTCCCTCTCATTCCCCTTCGGCCCATCAGTATCACACAGCACCATCATCACCATATGCTCGTAATGGGTAATGGCTTCAAGCCATGGTACACAGGTAGCAGCGACGGTAACTGGATGCAAAAATTGCAAGGTACGTATCGAGTACCATTGCTACTGCTAGCAGCTTCTTGTCGGTATTGCCTATTAATGTATACGATCAGAGGTTCTGCTGGGGAGAAGGGCGTGGAGGGGAGGGGGGGGGGGGGGCGCCTTAGATGTTTGGGGGACAGGGGGAGTGTACATACTATGAAGTTTCGAGTGCCAGAGATGGTATTCGTAGGTACTACAGTACTGAGAATATTCAGTTCACTGATGCTGTGCCCATCTCACCTCGACCTCACCAACCACTCAACTGTCTTTCCGTATTCCCACGTCACATTTGTCCATGTCCTGAGCTTTTCCCCTGTTCACGTTGGGCCAAATATTCCCGTCCCCCCTTTCCTCACCCCCCCTTCTGCTCTCCGCCTCCGACCCTGTGCCTCTCCCCGTACCTTCCTCCTCTTATCCTCTCATACTTATATATGCTCGCTCCTTCCCTCGACTCCCTCGACCCCCTCCGCTTCCTCCGTTCCCTCCCTCTTCCCTCATCTTCTTTCCTCTTCCATCACTCATTCTGACCTTTCCACGCATTGATTGGCCTGATCTTCATCGTCAGGGGTCAAGCCTATCAAAGCTCCTACGATACACCCTTGATTTTCCCAAGATATATAGCACACACACACAAACATACGATAACATGTCCCTCGCTACTTGTGCTCTCCGAATCTCGCGCTCCGCCGCCACCCCTACTGCACGTATAAGTCTCGCCCGCACCTTCTCCGTTGCCAGGCCACGTCTGGCTCAGGACCCCAAGAATAGCAAGAATGCCGTCCACGAGTACGAGGTCCCTTTCACGCGATACGGCGCCGGCCAGGACCACGGCGAACACAGCAGCCTCAACGTCCACCCGGACGATGCCCGCGTGCCGCAGGAGAGCCCGACACCGCGCACCGACGACCCGATCCAGCCCCTGAGCGGCCGCGTGTACGAGGCCCTCCCCCCCACTATGAAGAGCATGAGCGTCTACGGCAAGACCGTCATCGTCACCGGCGGCGCCCGCGGCCTGGGAAACAGCATGGCCCGCGCCTGCGCCGAGGCCGGCGCTAGCAATATCGTCATCTTCGACGCCAACCAGGAGCTGGGCGACGAGGCCGCCGCCGAGCTGCACGACAAGTCGGGTCTCCCCGTCTCATTCTTCAAGGTCGACGTCCGCGACGGCGGCGCCATCAACGCCGCCGTCGACTCGGTCGTCGAGCACTTCGGCGCCCCGGACGTGCTGGTCAACGCCGCTGGCATCGCCGACTCCAACATCAAGGCCGAGACCTACGACCCCGCCATGTTCCGCCGCCTCATCGACATCAACCTCAACGGCACCTTCCTCATGACCCAGGCCGTCGGCCGCGCCATGATGGCTGCCGGCAAGCCCGGCAGCATGGTCCTCGTCGCCTCCATGTCGGGCAGCATCGTCAACTACCCCCAGGAGCAGAGCTGCTACAACGCCTCCAAGGCCGGCGTCATACAGTACGCCAAGTCCATCGCCGCCGAGTGGGCCAAGCACGGCATCCGGGTCAACTGCATCTCCCCCGGTTACATGGACACGGCCCTGAACCGCGTGCCCGCCCTAGACGCCCAGAAGAAGATCTGGAGGTCCCTCACTCCTCAGGGCCGTCTGGGCAACGTCGACGAGCTCAATGGGCTGTGTGTCTACCTGGCCTCGGACTCTTCTAAGTTTATGACTGGGTCTAACCTGATTTGCGATGGTGGATACACATGTTATTAGCCTCTTTTTTTCGTCTTCTGCTTTTTCTTTTTGCTCGGAGTTTAGGAATTATGCCGTGAGGATAGATGTGAATAGAATGTCTGATGTGTCATGTAATACCTTTCACTTAGTGCAACCATTGTGTGTAAGTTGATGGTAGAAAAAAAAACCTTGTAACTCTACTACCCAGCACCCCACTCCAACTAAAAATCAAACGATTCTAATGAATTCCTCCCTCCAAGGGTAATTGTATTTTTTTGATATAAAATGAATTCTCCGCTTGCTCTTTACTATTTGTTTGGAAACTTGTTCTTTCTCAGGTAGAAGCTTCTCAAGTATAAGATGAGGAGGGAAAAAAGAGGGAAGATGTTCCCTTATCCTTTGGATGATGGAACAGTAGCAGAAGAAAGGTGACAAAGAGCGAAGAGTGAAAAAAAAAAGATGAAGAAGGAACCATGAGATCCTATCCATATTCAATATCCAAGAAACATGGAGAAAACAAAGAAAGAAAAGATGTATAAAAAAAGATAATAAAAAAGCTCCCCAAGGTTAAATAAAAAATAAAAAAAAGAAGTAGGGGAAGAAAAGGGGTTGAGAAGTAAAAGACCGGTGAAGAAGAAAGAAGAGGCATTGCTGTGCTGTTGATGCCAATAAAACAAATCATGCCATCATGAGACCCAGGTCAAAGTTTTGGAGTGGCAGGGTTCGATTCAGAGAGAGTCCTATCCACACAACCCTTTTATGAGGGCGAGAAGAGACGAGAGAGTGCGTGACTCAAACTACGCCTTCCCTGCCTTTTCCTTTGCCCTCTGTTCCCTCGCCGCTCGGACGAGGGGTGCTAGCTGTTGGAGGTCGACGCATTGTTTCATGAATTCGTGCTGTTGGGGGGGTAGCAGTCAGCATTCCGTTCAGAAAGTAGGAGGGAGTATGAGGAAATAAAGGAGAGGTAGAAGAGGTAAAAGACATACCCTCAACAGATCATGAGCACTAGCCCTCTTCTCGGGATCGACCTTGAGAGCAAAGTGCAGGAAATCCCTAAACACGGGAGAGAGATTCTGCTCGTCCTTGATCTTGGGCGTGCCGTTGGTCGCAATGAGCCACAGCGCACGCAGCGGGGACTCGGTCAGGTACGGCGGCTCTCCCTCAATCATCTCGATGGCCATGATGCCTAGCGACCAAATGTCCACCTTGCGCCCGTACTCCTTGCGCGTCACCACCTCGGGCGCCATCCAGTATGGCGTGCCCACCATGGTCGTCCGCTTGTTCTGCGCCTCGTTGATGGTCGCGCAGAAGCCGAAATCAGCTGTACATTTCATGTTAGCGTACTAGTGAAGAACGCCTCCGGTGGCCCATCCCAGCGAGGGCGGGCTCCGCTTCGTTCGAAAGGGGGGGGGGGGGTAGGGTAGAGAAGCAAGCGAGTAAGCGAGGAGAGCAAGAGAGAAGGGAGAGAGGCAGAAGGAAGGGAAGCGAGAGTAAAGCGAGAGTCGATAGAAAAAGGCGAGCGGAGCGAGGACCAGGAAAGAACATACTGAGTTTGACATTTCCCTCATTCGACAAGAGGATATTGTCCGACTTGATATCGCGGTGAATCACGCCCTTGGAGTGCAGATGCTGCAGGCCCCTGAGGGTCTCGCGCGACACCGAGGCGATCTGGCCCTCGGTCATGATGTTGAAGGTGACGACGTCCGTCAGGCTGCCACCCTCCATAAACTCCATAATGACCCACAGCTCACCCGACGTGAGGTAGCTGTCGAGGAAGTTGACTATGTTGGGGTGCGAGCTCTCCTTCATCACCATAATCTCGTTGATGATGAGGTCCTTCTTGGGCTGCTGCTCCAGGTTCATTTGCTTGATGGCCACCAGCCGGTTCGTCCCGCGCTCGTACCCCGTGTACACACCGCCCGACGCACCCTGCCCGATCTTGTTGAAGTTGCGGTAGATTTCGCGCGGGTCGCCCTCGGAACAGATCCGCCGCAGAGCCTGCCCCAGGTCCATGTTGTTGGCTGTGCTCTGCCGCGCCTTCTGCCTCAGCCGAGGCTGCGGTCCTACGCCGCCCGTCGACGCAGCTTGCTGCTGCTGCTGCTGCTGCTGCATCGCCTGCTGCTGCTGCATCGCCTGGTGCTGTGCCAGTTGCTGCTGCTGCTGCTGTGGCGGCTGCGGGTATCTAGGTGCAGAAGACGAGCCACCAGGGCTGGCGCCGTTGCCGTCTACCGGTCGCCCGTATCCTTGGGCTGCTGCCGCTGCTTGCTGGTGAGCCACCGGGTTCTGAGGACCTTGCCGCTTACTAGCCGACCGTCCAATCTGGCCCGACATGGCTGCCTGCGCCTGCGCCATAGCCTGCTCTTGCTGCTGCTGCATTAGTTGCTGCTGGTAGATGCTGGGCTGCGACGGGCTCGTCGGCCCGTACGGTGACGAAGGGGATGCGGCGGCGGAGGCTGCGGAGGCTGCGGCGGCAGCCTTGGCCCGCGAGCTGGACCGCGAGAGCAGCTTCTCCACCCTAGACCCGTAGCTTTGCGGTTGCTGGTCTTCCTGCTGCTGCTGAGGCATGCCGATGCCCAATTCCTTGGCTCCGTAGCCGGGCGACTGCGGCTGCTGGCCGTATGACCTGTTGTTCATGGACACGGGAGGCTTTGGCGCGGGCCGGACAGGCTGAAGGTCTTTCTGGCCCCCATGGCTTCTGTGCCCTGGCACGGGTGGCGGCGCGCGAGGATTCTCGAAGCTCCCTGTCGTCGTGCGTCAGCGCTGAGACTGACAGGTGAATGTCTGGCACCGGAACGGGGATGTAGCTGGATGAGGGAGGAGGTGATAGAGGCGTGGCTGACGTACCTTGGTAGTGGTTCGCGTACATACCTGGAGAAGCCGCAAACTGCCTAGGGTCGGCGGGGGCGACCTGGAACTTCTCAATGTTATCTTCGGGTGGCCGCTCTGTCGTCTCCTTGTAGAATTGCAGGATGTTGACCATTGTCTGGGGGTTCTCTCTGCGCTCCTTTTCAGAGATACCACTCTCGTTGATCAACCGCTGCCATTCTTTAGGAAGCCCCTGTGGATACAAGATCAGTCAGCAGATGGTCTGACGCGCATGCACATGCCAGGGACATGAGGGAGATTGGCGGACGGTGCAAGGAGAGGGGGGGGGGGGGGGGGGGGGGGGGGGGGGGGGGGGGGGGGGGGGGGGGGGGTGAGGGAGGCGTACAGTAAACTGGCCGGTAGAGCTGTCATAACCAACATGCGTGACGTGAACGGGGTTGTCAGGCGCTGAGATGGCAGGCTTCTTCTGAGAGCCGACGAGGCTGTTGACGAAGCCAGAGAGGCCCGACTTCTTTCGCAGGACAGCCGATTTGAAATCCCTGGCGGCGCTGCCGTCATCTGAGAAGCGCTTGCTGCCTCCAATGGAGGGGCTCGCGGCGGGCCTGCCGCCTTGAATCTTTTCCGTCACGGACGGGTCCATGCTGCTGAAGCTAGCCGATGCTCTGAGGCGGGGGCTCAGCAGGCGCTTGTCGGTCGTGGAGCCGGCAAAGGCAGACGTGGTAGTGGAGGAGGAGTGGTGGTGGTGGTTGCTGTTGTGCGCCGGCGACGACGACGACGAAGGCTGGGGGATGTTGTGATAGAACAGCGACGATGGCGGCGCTCCTGCTGCTGCCGACGACGAGGTCGGCGTAGGCTGCAGCTGATAGGATGCGGCGCTGGTAGCCTTGGACGAGGACGAGGACGAGTCTAGTCGGTTGAGGATGGAGGCACCGTCAAAGGGTGCGCCGATGAGGTCGTCGGAAGGCTGTCGAGCGAGGTTATTGGGGTTGGGGGCGAGGTGCGCGGTGGAGGAGGTGGAGTCGATAGGAGAAGCGAGGTCGGAGCGATGAGGAGGTAGCTGAGGGTGGTAGTAGATGTTGCTGTTACCGCTGCCGTTGTTGTGTCGTAGGGGCGAAGAGGAAGCGTCGATGGAGGCGCCTGAATGGGCCGTGGACCGAGTGTGTGGAGAGCTAGGAGAGCGCCTCAGACTGTGGTGGGAGCTGCGTCTGCTCTGGGAGGAGAAGTCGTCGAGACCAAAGGCAGCATCGAGTCTGGGGCTTGTAGCGGCCGACGACGATGAGGGCGTGTATAGCTGCTGGAGTTGGACTTGGTTGTTGTGGGAGGAAGGATTCCTCTTGACGAGTTTGCGGCGGCTGGAGGAGGAGTTGCTCTGGAGTGAAAGGGCATCCATGATACGACGGAACCACCACACCCCGATAGAAAGAGAAAAAAAAACGTTTCTTCGATTCTAGGACGGAGAAATAAAAACGGAGCTGAGGTTGGCGGTACCGACGGTACTGAGGGTGTATTCCCGTTATTTAAACGGCGGGTAATGGACACCGAATAAGGGAAAAAATGGAATAAAATAGAAATAATAGAAAAGAAAAAGCACAGACAACAGACTGTGAGAAGGTGGAGAGGAAGTGAGAGAAACAGCGGGGACAAAAAAAAAAAAAAGAGAGAGAGAGAGAGAGAGGATGCGTACTCGATCCACACAGACACGAGACGCAAGACGCTCGGTCGGTAATACGTCTGTAGACCGTATCACACACAGACGAAAGTAATAGTAATAAGTCGCTCTTCTCTTCCTCTTCCTCCTGTGTGTGTGAGTGCTAACTGGTGAGTGCTAGCTGATGTGTACTGCAACTGTGCGTGCCAGCTTGCGGGCTGCAGCATGCGTACTTTTCCTAACAAGGGACTGCTAAGATGCCACGGCGTGATCCAGGGGGAGGGGCACACAGGGAAAATGGGTCCTCCAAGAAGGTGAGAAGGCGAGAGGGAGAGAGTAGGGAGAGAGAGAGAGAGAGAGAGTCCCACCGATCTCTCTTCTGGCGGTTGCGTTGGGGTCACAGGGCGGATGCGGGGGGGGGGAGGGGGGGTCTGTCTTGTTTCTCTGTCTGTTTGTTCTCCTCTGTTGCTCTTTTGCTTCTTCTTCTTCTTCTCCTCCTCCTCCTTCTTCTTCTCGTCCCTCTTCTTCTGTATTTCACGCACTCGAGTAACAGACTGTGACGTGGATGTTGGTGATAATTATCAAGGGAGGGGGGGCACGCGTTTGGTATGGGATGTTGTTGGGTGTGAGTTACTCCCGAGGGGGGAGAGGAATAGACAGATTGGTTATACAGCCGCTGTAGCTGTTATTATTACGTTGTAACAGTGGTTTATTACGAGTACCAAGGGAGGATCCAGAATGAGAGAGATGTCTTGTTTCGCCTCTCTCTCTCTCTATCTCTATCTCTCCCTCTCCCTCTCCCTCTCCCTCTCTGTGCCTTTAATTTCCTTTTCTCTTCTCTCTCCTTATCCTCCTTCTTTTTCTACCATCATGTCAACTAGCACGTGCATGAGTATTTGAGTAGTATCAATAGTAGAAGAACCAAGAAAGAAATGTCTAGTCATGTCATTAAACCAT